CCCTTGAACCATTTTGCGAACTGTAGCATTCCCTTAGGTAATTGCTCTGTGCCCACGTCCAGCTTCCTTTGTAGAATCGGCAGAATATCCTCGTCTTCGGACAGTTGGGGTGCCCAGATTTCGGTCATTCGATTCCGAAGAGCAGCCGAGAGTTCGCGCTTTCCATAGTCACCACCAGGATTCATTGTAGACAGAAACTGAAATCCTTCGTCTGCGATAACCATAGAGTTGATTGGGCCCTTTTCTGCAAGCAATATCGAACGATGAGGCTCGAGAACACTGTTCAATCTTTCCAAAACAGAATCATCTGCCAGAGAGATTTCATCTAGCAGGAAAAACTGGCCAGTCTTCATTGCAGTGATCAGACTTCCATCAGACCACTCAAATAAAGCATTCGAACGAGCCACGTTTCTCTCAATGCGTGAAACCAATTCGGCATCGAACGATTGCAGCTGGTCTGCGTTCAAAGCACCAAAGGCTTGCTTCAGTTCCTCGAGAGACCCTGACTGTGCGTTCTGTGAGAAGAGGCTTTGCAAGTCACTCAGCAACTGACTCTCGATTGCTGCCCTGTTTCTTACGGGCCGTTGAGCACCTATCAGGTCTCCGGTCTCGAGATTCACGTGGGCATTGACAATCAACAGTTCCTTCTTGTAAATCTCGGCAACTGCCTGGCAAAGCTGGGTCTTTCCGCAACCAGTTTCACCAACAAGCAAAGTAGGCTCATTATTTTCAATTGCAGTGGCAACGAGTACGAAAAGCCTCCTCATTGCCTTCGTCCACACAACGCCTGGGGCTAACTGAGCAAGATGGGGAGCACGCTTTTCCATCTCAGAGGAACTGTATATAACGTCTTCGTCGATCTTGACTTTCATCACTTCTTCGATGACGCCCTTCACAGCAGCTCTTTCCTGCGGATTTCGGACCCGCTCCGCAAGGAGCATGAAACCATTGATCGCCAATTGCTCCCGATCATCTGCTCGGCGGAGCGCCCATCGGAAAAGATCACGCAGGGTAGCAAAACTATTCTTCTGTTCAAACAGCCTGTTTGCCTGGCGTAACAAGGACAGCTTCCGGTATACAGAGACGATCCTAGTGCAAAAAGAGGGGGCAATCTGAGACCGCTCTTTCAGGATGTATTCCAACTCGCTCTCTGGTATGTCATCGAAGTGCAGCTCCAAGAATCGGTTTCGGAAGGCACGCGACAACACCTTGCGGCCACCGTAGAGGCCGGCAGGGTTTTGGGTCGCAAAAAGCATGAAGTTGGGGTGTGGGCGCACTACTTCCTGCGTCTCGGGGATGAAAAGTTCGCGGTTATCATCCAGAAGTCGGTTCATTGCTTCCAGTACATCAGAAGGGGCCAGGTTCAGTTCGTCCAGAACAATCCAGTATCCGTTTCTGAGCGCCTCTACAAGGACACCCTCTTGATAACGAAGTGTCCCATCATCACCAGAGACATAAGTTCCCAAATATTCTTGAAGATCCGTGTGCTCATGGTTGTTGATACGAACAAACTTGTTTCCTGATACCTTGGCGAGATATTCAATCATACTCGTCTTTCCTGCAGAGGTCGGTCCTTGGAGCAAAACAGGGAATCGCCGAGTGGAACTTGCTCTCACCAAGTTCTTCAAGTTCTTTTCGATAAAAGGCGTAATGATATAGTGAGGCTGCTCTTCGGGAGCTAGGTGACCACGGCGCATCCAGTAATGCTTGAATTGGACATAGTCGTTGCCGTCAGTCGGTGGTCGTGGCGTCTGGTTCAGAAGTCCTCTTGCATTCTTGACGTTGCTGAATAAATGTCTCTCGAGAAGTGGTGCCAGCAACTTCTCCGAATCTTGGCTGAGTACAGTCAGGAAGCTCATAGAGAAACCTTCATATATTGCGCGGCGCAGCCCATAGACGTGAGCATGATCAGCAACATAGATTAGAGCTCGGACGAGGGTTCTGATGCTGAAATGGGGGCGCTGTCCAGCACCATCGGTGAGTTTGTTTTCGGTGCTGAGTTTCTTAGTCTCCATGTAGAGTTGAGCTAGATCGGGGACAGCTCTGGAATCCGTCATGGCCAAGTCACCAAGGTATTTGTGAATCAAAGCCAGGAGATCGTCCAAATCACTGTCCGGCGACTGGACATAGAACTCAGTGAACCGAGACCGGAGACCCGGGGGCAGATCTTTCTTCCCTGCGTCCGTTGCAGGGTTCATCGCGCCGAAGATGCGGAATTCGGGATGTCCAAAAACTCGTTCCACATCACCAGCCTCAGAAAGTAGTACGGATGGAGAACCTTCACTCCCATGGTGCAGAAGACTGGCAATATTCTCGAGCGTGTCAGGCGAGGCCAGGTTAACTTCGTCAAGAAGAACCCACTCCCCGTTCCGCAGGGCCCGAACAATTTTGCCTTGAACAAAAGCAAATGCGAACTTAGCATCTCCCTGTGATACTTGAGACTCGAAATCATTCAGCTGTGCCGAGAATCTCTCCCATCTTTGCCGTAAGAACTGATATTTTGGTGAATCCAGTTTTCTCTTTTTCGTCGGTTGCTCTTCGGCACCTGGGGCACCGCCACTCGATTTGAAGACGCCGTCAGCCAAGCGAACGGCTTCATGCCACAAGTTGACTAGGCGTACCCAGTTTCCTGAAGCAACGCTTTTCCCGACAGACTGGAGGAACTTCTGGTTCTTCTTGGCAGAAAACGTCAATTCAAACAAGGACACGAACTCGTCATGCATGGGCACAGCCATAGTCCGGATATTCACAGGCTTGAAACCTCCCAGGAGATCAGAGCTTTCACTCTGTTGTGACAAGTTCACAACCGTCAGCTTCTGACGCATCAAGGTAGCCAGTTGCTGAATCACAGTCGTTTTACCAATACCAGTTTCTCCAACAAGGAGAACAGGCTCTGCCATCTGGATAGCAGCGGCGACCTGTTCCATAAGTCCCAATGCAGCCCGTGTGGAGGCAAATCGAGACGAAGCAGCAGCAGCCTTTGATGCCGAACCTCCCGGGACCTTGATCTTGCGACAAATTTCCCTTCCAAGTGTTATGCTATTTCCCTGGTCTGAATACGTCGGCGTGCGCTCGTGCAGACAGAACCGCGCTCGTTGGGGTGAAATCTGGAGAGCCTCGGAAACAACCAAAGCAAGGGTGTCTGCTGTATTCTTCTCGGGGATATATTTCAAGAAGACATCGACAAAATCCAGGAAGATCTCGTCCTCGGCACCCTCAGGCGTAGCTTCGTAGCCAGTCTTGGCACCGAGGCGTTGCAGACGCCTGTGCATCCGGCTGCAAAGCTTGACAAGATCACGGAGTCCAGGTGTACGTCCTTGGGAGCTTTTGATTGCAAGACTGCCATGGAAGGAAGCACAAAGTCTTTGGTAGACGTCCATGATTGTCCGAACCCGGGACTCAAGCAGAGGGAATTTCTGCGTGATTACCTCGCGAACTTCGTCTATGGTCAGAGAATCGATTTGTACTCTCTGCCACAGCCTGCTGCCTAGGATGTTGGTGCTTGGGGCAATCTCTTCGCCTGCAATGTTGTAGGACGATTTCATGGTCGCAATGATCTTGAACCCTTCGGCGCACTTGATTCTTTCCCTTCTACTGGCGATGGTCAGCTCTCCTCTCTCGATGATTGGCAGGATAAGTCCGATGACTTCAGAAGGGGCGCGATCCAGATCCTCGATCAAGATCCAGCGGCCCTCTCTTGCAGCCTTGGTGAGGACACCAGGCTGCCACGCGAACGAGCCCGTGGCAGGCGATGTTGAATACATCCCGAGAAGACTCTTCGCATCAGTCTGCTCGTTCAGGTGCAGTGTAACCATCGATTCAGACTGGCCCATTGTCGCTGCGACATCGTTGATCAATGTGGTTTTTCCAGAATTCGGCAATCCAGTCAATAGTATAGGCTCAGGAGCGATTAAGGCTGCCGCAATCTTCCGCAAGTTACCCACAGCAGTGGGAGTTCTCACAATGGAAGACGGCGGAGGTGATGTGCCCTGCTGGCGGGGTATAAGCACACCACAAACCTCGGCGGTTCTAGCGGTAAAGTAATCTCTCAATGCCTCAATTTGTGACAGGCTTTCCGAGGCTGACCTGGAAGTTCTTGCAAGTTGGACTTGCTTCTCCAGGACATTCCACCGACGTTCCTCCCATAATCCGAGGCAGCGGTAGTCGATGGTAATACCTTCCCATTCCCCCTCAATAATGTTGTCTGCAAATTTTGCCCTAATTATATCCTCCGTCGCAGCATCGGCTGCCATCATGTACATAGCAAAGCATCGAATCGCCAGATAACTCACGGACGGGTCACCGTGTCGGAACAAGGTCTGGAGTTGTGATGGCGATACGGCTTTCGAGAAGGTCTCTGTGTCGTAGGAAAGAAGTCGGAAAATCGCTAGCAATAGGGCTCGGAGGGTGGCATCATTCATTTGAGAAAGCGTTAGCTCATCGGACGTAGCCAAAGCCGACAGAGGTCCAGCCCGAGACATGGCATATTGGCTTGCAAAGGAACGCAGATATGGCGCAAGCGGGATAATTCGCGAAAATGCGGATAGAACATCGATTTGATCGACCTGGGACTCCGACAGAAGCCAACGGGCTGCCAGGTCCACGAAGATCGGTTCGTACAGGCAAAAGAAGCTTTCCGTGCATCTTTGCCTCAACGCGCCCACCGCAAGCGCATTCAGGTACTGAGTCCCCGACGCGGTGCGAATGAGTTCCGCAATCTCATTCGGGAGCTGTTGAAACAGCTGGGACTCGTTAAGAGTCCCCTCGTAGGAGGGTCTAGCATTCATGCTGAGCCCTACCGCCAAAGGAACTCTGGATGATGTGAGAGGAAAGAAGAAGAGGCACGCCAATTGCTTGCACTTTTTTTTTCTTTGGAGAACCGTTTTCTGCCGCCGCAATGAGCGGCACCGCCCCACAGCGCGGGCCTTCACCGCCCTGGCCCGGCCGCGGAGGTTCAACTAATTGTGGCACCAGTTGCCGGTCGGAAACGCAATCAATCGCGGAGATCAATCGCTATTCATAGGCACCCGTCGACCGTCGTTGTTTAGGATGCCACTTGACATGTCCCTATGATACGTATCATTCGCGATGTCAATGAGTCGACCAGGGCCACAGTCAGAAGCCCAGTCATCGCTGCACCAGCCCTATAGCGATGATGAAAGAGCTCAGGACAGCGGCCTTGATCCACAGCATCCCGATGTACCTTTAAGCGGCGGGCTGCGTGAGCCGTGAGTTTCTGGCCAGCTTAGCACCCGCTGCGACAAGTCGTGCGCTAATAGCTGTACATAGGCTTTCTTTCAAACGCAAACAGAGACAACAGTCGCGCTCAAAATTCCGTTTCCCCAACTTCTTCTCGAATAGTCCTGCTGAGTCTGCGACAAATACTGGGCTTGGCTCTTGGTTTCGGAACGAACAACGCTCGGATGACGTCCAGCCCTTAGGGGAGCCGATCAATGGCAACAGCAACGGAAACCTGGCGCACAAAGACTCGGGCTTCTTGGACTGGTATGTAGAGGGACCAGGACGACGAGTTGGTTATGACAACCTTACGGCAATCGATTGGATTTTCGAATACACCAAAGAAAGACAAAGAAAGAGGCTCCTCTATGCGAGCGGACAAGGCGTTGTTGGATATTTACGCAAGCTATTGGACGCCAGTAATGTCTGGATCGTGTTGATTGCTACAGGTGTTTTGGTTGGGATCATTGCGGCTGGCATTGATGTTGCCAGTGATTGGTTAGCAGATCTCAAAACTGGTTACTGTAAAGCCGGCCCGGGGGGCGGCAGGTTCTATCTGAATCGGAGCTTCTGCTGCTGGGGGCATGACGGTGAGCTGGTTTTCTCACAGATCTCTGTTCCCAATGCTAACGGAGTCACACCAGATATCTCTGATTGTCTAGACTGGACACCATGGAGGAAAGCCCTAGGCGTCTCCTCGCGGGGTGGGGGATATGCCGTCGAGTATACCTTTTACATTCTTTACTCTGTACTTCAGCCTTTTCGAATCCCATGAAGCAGTTTGCTAATCAAGGATCAGGTGTTCTTCGCGATCTGCGCATGCGTTCTGGTTCGGACCTATGCCATTTATGCCAGGCATAGCGGTATCCCCGAAATCAAGACCGTCCTTGGTGGTTTTGTTATCAGGCACTTCATGGGGCCTTGGACTCTTGCAATTAAGTCTTTGGGTCTTGTACGTATGAACGTGTGCCTGTCGCTTCGTCCTCGCTGACACATTCAAGTGCTTGTCCGTCGCGTCTGGCATGTGGCTCGGTAAAGAGGGTCCTTTAATCCATGTCGCATGCTGTTGCGCTAGTGTTATCATGAAGCCATTCCATGGCCTCAATCATAACGAAGGTATTTCTCATGATCTCTTACTGAATGTCTTGGGCTAATTGTACAGCGCGGAAACGCGAAGTGCTATCAGCAGCGGCCGCCGCGGGCGTTTCCGTCGCTTTCGGAGCGCCCATTGGTGGTGTTCTGTTCAGTTTAGAGGTAAGATTCTGCGGTATTTACGGGGGAATGAATCCTAATTATCTGCGAGCAGCAACTGTCGTACTACTTCCCGGACAAGACAATGTGGCAGAGCTTTGTCTGTGCCATGGTGGCATCGGTCACCCTGCACGCGCTCAACCCATTCCGCACGGGCAACATTGTCCTTTATCAAGTCAAGTATACACGTGAGTGGCATCGCTTTGAGATGATACCGTTTGTCATTCTTGGTATTCTCGGCGGCCTTTACGGGGCGTTCCTCATACGTCTGAATATGAAGATTGCAACATGGCGACGGTCTCGGGGTTGGGCTCGTCCAATCATTGAGGTTGCGGTTGTTGCTCTTCTAAGCGCCCTGATCAACTTTCCAAATCTGTTTATGAGGGCTCAAAATTCAGAACTTGTTCATTCCTTGTTTGCAGAATGTGGGACTGGATCGGGGACTGATGATCCTTTCGGTCTTTGCAAGACGGGCGCCTCATCGGCCGGTACTATCGCCCTCTTGCTTATGGCTGCTCTCCTGGGATTCTTCCTTGCCTCGTTAACCTTTGGACTGGACATACCCGCGGGTATCATCCTTCCGTCAGTTGCCATCGGGGCACTGTATGGACGTGGCTTGGGCATGACCTTTCGGATGTGGCAAGAGGCTTATCCGGGATTCTTTCTGTTCAGTAAATGCGAGCCAGATGTCCCGTGTGTAACCCCTGGAATATATGCAATCATCGGTGCAGCATCAGCACTTGGAGGGGCCACGAGGATGACTGTATCGATCGTGGTCATCATGTTCGAGCTCACTGGTGCTTTGACTTATGTCATTCCCATCATGATTGCAGTCATGTTGTCTAAATGGTGCGGTGATATATTTGGAAAGCGCGGTATCTATGAGTCCTGGATTCAGCTGAACGAGTACCCTTTCCTGGATCACCGTGATGATGCGACTCCACCGGACGTTCCCGCTCATAAAGTGATGACCACTGTCGATGATATGACGGTCATCACCGCTGTTGGTCATACGATTGATTCACTTCGTGGCCTTCTCCAAACGACCTCTTACCGTGGGTTTCCAGTCGTTACCGATACGTCAAATCCCATCCTGCTGGGATATATATCGCGCAATGAGCTTACGTACGCTCTCAAATACTCTACCAAGCCGTCGGACAACGAGTTGTCAGGCGCGACGCAGGTCTTCTTCAGCCATCAGCCCTTTGCGGATCCCGCTGAAACCCTGGACCTTCGGCCTTGGATGGATCAGACGCCCATCACACTCAACAGCAACACAACGTTTTTGATTGTGCTCCGGATGTTTCAGAGGTTAGGTCTCCGCTATGTCCTGCTCGCCGATAAAGGCGTTCTCCAGGGACTGCTTACGAAAAAGGACGTTTGGTCTGTGGTCAGCGGCCCGGACGCCTACAAGGACGACACTCTCCGCGAGAGAGCTTTCACCCCGGGAACTACGGCAGAGGAAGTTGGCTTGCTTGACAGTGATGATAGGACCAGCCTTGCCAGCACTATAGAAAGACGACAGTCGCTTTGAAGAGTCTATTGAGCGATGCACCGAAACATTTACTTTCCATCTCACTCAATCTCGAATCCATTGACCTATTTCAGATGTCGCGTTATGTGTCGGGATACCTGGCTATAAGTCTCGAGATATGTATTGAATTTGGGTAACTTGGAGTTTACTAACGGGATCTTGTTTTTCTTGGTTTGTATGCCTGAGATAGTGTGGCTCATGGCGGCAGTTTGGTGGTTTGCATGCATCTAGACTTTGCTTTAGTAATGTATATAGTACATTTTTAGAGAACGCACCCGTTTTCTAGTTCAAACGTTAATAGTACCACAGAGTATACATTGGAGATGATAAATATGCACGAAGCAGCAACGGTGATGTCAATTGGTATGCTTAAAGCAGAGCACATCACTGGACAAGCAAATGAACCCCACAATTTCTGCCCGCCTTATCGCATCCCACCGCCTAGACAACATCCAATCGGAATGTCTCATCCAAGCCCTCCATCCATCGGCCAGTCTCGATCAATCGCCGCGGCATGCAATCAGTAGTATTACTTGTAGTCACCTTGTAGACTGTCGAATCTTCTTTCCCCCTTTACCTCCTCAATCCAAACATTCAATCCACACTCCTTCCACCAAGATGATGGTCGATCCCTTTGAGGTGCGCATGCGCTTCACAGCGCAGCTGCAGCACCTAAATGCCTCCGTGACCTCATCCCAAAAAGCAGCGCATTATGCACTCAAATACCGCGACATGGACGAGGACCTACACTCGTGCATCCTGGAACAACTAGAAAGAGTGCGTCTCTCCATACCTTCCATTATTACCATTTCTCGTATACACAATGAAGCTAACATATACTATCTTTCTACGCTCAGAACAACATGAACAACCGCGCCAACATAATGTACTTCATCGAACAATTCTGCGACATGGCCACGAAAGAAGACCACGCGCCCTACGTCCGCATGATCCAACGCGACATCCTCCGCATCGTGGATTGCGTCGCGCCCGCCGACGGCTCCGGCGCCGCGAACGTCAAACACGTCCGTCGAGTCCTGAACGGTCTACAGAGCAAGGAGATCCTCTCCGCTGAGACGATCGCGGAGATTGATGCGGGCTTGAAGGATCGGGAAACCCACCCGGCGCATCTCGACCTGGAGGCTGAGGAAGGGGGTGGGGGTGGCGATGGTGGTGGTGATGCGAGGGCTAAGCATGGGACGCCGAGAGGGTCCAAGAGCAGTGGGATGCGTGTGGACAAGCGGCAGATTGAGCAGCGGATTGAGGAGGATCGAGAACGAAACAAGCGACTACGAGAGAGTATGTGGACGGTTAGTGGGGATGATGGAGATGAGCATGGGAAGTTCTGGGATGAGGCGAGTGATATCGGGGAGGATGATTTCTTGGCTGCGAATGAGGAGGTTATGGAGCGGAGGCAGATGATTGGTGCGAGGTGATGCTGTGATTGATGCTGTCGTCGGGGATTTTACAAGCATGTACTTGCGATGGGATGGTGTTTTGGCGCGGTTTGATATTTATCTGCATGGGGTACTTGGGATGCATTGGCGTTTCATTGAGAAATACAATTACAGGACGTTTATTTGACAGCATAAACTAGATTATTTTTACTTGACACGATCAAATTGAAAATGAAGCTAACCATCCTCCTAAACTATATCCGACCCACTTACAGCCGCCCGCCTTCGGAAAATCCCAGGCGCCGACCAAATTTGCTGGATCTCGATCTTGAATTTTTGAACGACTTTTGAGCGCAATAACATTTCTCCATGATTTTACATGTCACACGGGGGACTTTCTAGATCCTCTATGTTCTCTCAGATCGTGACAGCAGCAAAGGGGTTATTTTCTCGACAGGACTCCGACGAATCTTCCCTCAAAAATCTGCGCCCTACAACTACTACCACCACCTCCGGCGCCCCATCTGGAATCAAAAGCAGCTCCAACACACCCAAAATGGTCACAGCAACAAGACAGCGGAAATTCCCCGCTGAGCAACAACAATCCTCGACAGAGCCCGAAGTCAATGGATCGAATGGAAAGCGCAAATCCGAACCCGTGGGCGCTGAACCCACTGAGACTCAGAGCAAGAACAAGCGGCGGAAGAGAAGTAGTCTAGAGGCGACAACACAAGAATCAGAGGGCAAGCCTTCGAGTAACAAGAAGTCGAAGAAGATGACGGAACCGGCTGAGGAGCCTGAGGAGCAGTCGGAGGAGGAAAAGAAACCTTCAGCAGCGCCGGCGGCGAAGAAGCACTTCCGCTTTGATAGCGAGGAGCCGGAAATCCCGGAGGTTGCGGCTGTTGAGGATACCACGGAGGCGCAACAGGATCAGGATGATGAGAGCAGTGATGATGATGAGGCCCCAGAGACGGTCGACAACTCTGCACAGCTGTCGAAGATGAGGATGGAAGCTAAGAAGCAGGAACGGGCTAGGCAAATGTGAGTGATGCGCGCGATTTCGGCCTTGGTACTATTTCTGGATACGATTTTAACGTTTTCTACAGAGAGGAGCAATTGAAGCGGGACAAACGGAAACAGTTGGATGAGCTGCGCAAATCCCAGGCGAAGTTGGCGAAGAAGAAGGAAGCAAAGGCCGAAGATCTGTTGTCGGAAAGCACAGAGACCCTCCAAGGAACTACTACGCAAGATGCGCGACGATCGGCTCTCCCTGCTCTTCTTCCCGATGATATCCTCAATGCGGCCCCCGATGTCCGGCCCCCGACACCTCCCGCGGAAGAGAGGACTATCATGCAGAAGAAGCCCAACAAGCTACGATTCTTGGACAAGAAGGAGAAGCCGCCGAAGGATGCGCGGGTGGGAGATGTTACTATCCGGGTGTTGGATGATGGTGTATCCAAAAAGCCCTCAAAGACGGTTCTGCCGCCCAAGGCCTCAAAAACCGGGCGCAATGCCAAGCAGAATTGGCTGAACAAATCCCGCAACACAGGAGCTTTGAATGGGTTGAGAAGGACGACTGGCGGTTCCTCGGGATTCGTGCGCAAATAGCAGGTCTTGGGCGCTCTTTTACGCTTTCCCGTCTCGAGAATCAATCAATCAAAATATTAATAGAGAATGTTGTGGATCCAACAATGGGCGTAGTGTTACGATGTGCATAACATAGCAACTATTTACTCTTTAGGGTTAGATGAGTTTGAGATGTTGTTGCTAGGATTTGTAGCAGATCGCTTGTGATACTGCCAATGGGTATCTCTGAATCTTTTACCAGAATAGGTTATCAAACGACATATGTGGTACAGAGATATCCCTGATATAAAGTGAAAAATGTACTGTAGTTGTATGCATATTTGACCGGGAGTCGTACAACCGGGTAGAACGTTGGGGAAGTGTACGATCTACACGCTGCAGATCATTGCTTTCTTTTTTTCGAAGCAGCACCAAACCAGGCCTTCGGGAATATTCTAACTTGGGTTTCAAAAATAAAGACAAAACTCAAAATTACTAGCAGAGAAGGGAGAAAAAAAGAGAGAGGGAGCATAAAGAGGAGGGGCACCGGATTGGGCAGATTGGCAGCCTCTGGCGGGCGCACGTGCAGAGCTTGGAGCTCCATTTGATCGGTTCGACTTTCTCTCCATCAACTTCTCTCTCCCTCTCCCTCCTTCTCTCTCCTGTCCAATTTTATCTGTCCACCGTTACCAAAAGATCGTCTGCCGTGTAATTCGCCAATCATTTGCAGATTATGCTCTGAGCAGTGTCTCATCCCTCCACCCCCTATCCCACCATGGTCACCACAGAATCCTCTCCGCTCCTCCCCCAGCATCATCTCCCGAATCCCTCCAATACGTCACCGCGAGGAAACCGTCCGCCGCGGACAGTGACCTTCAACCCATTGGCGACTGTCAGCACTTACCATGACTCGACCTCCGCGGATCCCACCTTTAGACCTCTCCAGTCCGGCTCCTCATCTGCACCGCATTCTCAGGAGAGCCATTACCGACCGACCGGCCTCTCCGCCCTGAATAGCAAGCTCCGCCGGCGGAACAGCCATGGCGCTCCGTTCAGCACCGCAAACACCCCAATCGCTGCAGCCCCCAAAGTCGGACCGCAAAGAACGACGAAAAATGCCCAAAAACTCAAACTGCTTCCCGATCCGGTGACTGAGGCCGAGGAGGAGCTTGGTGGAGATGACTTTCCGTCCGATGTCTATTCGCAGATTGCCCGGATCAAAGAACCCACGGCGAGGAGTCATGCTGCAAAGTTAGGAAAGGCCGACAGAGAGCGTCTGCCGCGAGTGACTGCCTATTGCACAGCCAATTCTTATCGACTGGAGGGGATAATTAAGTTTCTCAAGTCTCGTTCTAAAACCCGCGGGGCCAACCCGAAGCTCTACGACGAATGTGTCTACTCTCCATATGACTACGGCTATGAGGAAAAGCAGAATGGCACATGGGGTCTTTCGAATAATGGAATTGGCATGGCGGATAGTCACCCTGGTCAACGGCCGTCCAATGAGCGCCGCTACTCGGACAGTGTGGTTGAGGTTCAGGATAACACCAATGCTCGACGGGAAGACCTCATAGATCTACGGGACTCTCAATCCCACTCCACCGAGATAGATCACGCTTCGAGTACTGCTGTGTCAGAAAACCAAGGAGATGTACATCCCGACTTCGACACGACGATCCATACCCCTGAAGTGTTTCTCTTTGATTACGGCACAGTCGTCATATGGGGCATGTCACCTGCACACGAGTCACGATTCTTATCCGATGTTTCCAAATTTGCCGCTTCCATCCTCAGCCCCGAAGATACCCAGGTTGAGAACTTCAATTTCTACTATGCTCGCGAATACCAAGCCCGGATATACAACGACTTTATCTCTCTGCGCGACCCGCGTAACCACATGATCAAACTAGCCATCTCCCACGCATTGGCTCAGTCCGTCAAGACCTCCCTATTCGAAGACCTCGTATCCGAGACCATCTCCAACACCGCACCCCTACCCGCCCAGATCGCCCAGACAGGAAGTGTCAACCTCACCCGCCGCCAGATCAACATGCAAATCGGCGAATTGTTCATCCTCCGGATCAACATTCACCTGCAAGGCTCGGTTCTAGACTCTCCAGAACTTATGTGGGCCGAGCCCCAACTAGAACCGGTTTACCAGGCCGTCCGCAGTTACCTTGAAATGGACCAGCGCGTAAGCCTGCTCACCGAACGACTGGACGTAATAGCGGATCTTCTCGCCGTCCTCAAAGATCAATTAACTCACCGCCACGGTGAGTATCTTGAATGGATCGGTAAGCCCCTCCCCCGGCGTCCCCTGCATTAACCCGTTCTAATCGACTAACACACATGACAGTAATTGTTCTTATTGCGGCAGAAATTCTGGTCGCAGCTATCAACATCGTAGTTGACTTGTACGCTGGCGTGGAGTGAACACTACCTACCCTTCCTACTAACTATTACTCCTACTACTATTGCCTTGTTTCTATTCACCCGACAACAACCTTTGCTACACATCTACATCCCCATCACCACGACACCACACCATACTACACTGAGTGTTCTCTTTCAGTATTTGTTCACTTCAGCGGAGTTAAGGGGTTAGGCATACATCTATCAAAGTGGGGGATAGGAGTGAAAGTGGGAATTAAAGCAAACCCTCCTTGCATCGCTACGGACAATGCATATCTATCTATATTTAGTATCTAGTATCCAGTTCCCTCGACATAGCACACGATAGCTTATCTTAGGCTGTATATTACACCCATAATTTGCTCCAAAAAAAAAAAAAAAAGAAAAGAAAAAGAAACATAGTCTAAATCTACCGGGAAGTCATCTAAGCTGAAAATCATATTAGGAGTTCTAAGGGAATGAAATATGTAGGATTTTACCAGTTGGTAGGTATCTGGTTGTGAAAGAAGAGCTTGGACGGGACTCCTCCATAGATGAATCAATGATTTAGTAATTCATCTGCCTGTCATTTCATTACCACGATGATTAGTATATGGTCTTGTATCATGCCATGCCATGCCATGCTATTGACAGGTTGAGTATCCATGACAAGACATAATCGATGCACATATAATATCTACTGGTTACACAGAGCAAAGGATGACTATTCTATAAGTAGGCAGATATACCTCCTACTCCCTCTCTTACACATACACACAAGAAGAGAGTACCGCTTTTGCCCATCGTATACTATAGAACAGAAAGGAAGAATGAATAAAGAGAAAAAGAGGGGCCAGAAACAACAACAGAGGCCCTCACCCCCAAGACAGAAAAATAATAACCCAGAGATCAATAACACCCATTACCACGATAACACAAGAATATAGAGCACCACGGAACGGAAACATTCCATATAATAGTAGGAATAAGAAAAGAGAAAAAAAACGAAAAGTCTAGGGTATGGTTATGGTATAGTTAATCACCCCTCCCTCTCCTCCTTAAGTTCCTCCTTCGCATCCATATCCATCGGCGTCGTCTCATCCTCCGCACCATCACCCCTCTGCTCCGCAGACTCGGGGTTATGGCTCCCGCGATCACTAGCACCCTCCTTATCATTCGAGGACCCGTTACTACCCGGTTGAATGCGGAAAGAAGAGGTCATTTCGTCCTGCGACGGGGCGGGGGCTAGTCGCGGCAACGAAGAGGACGAATCTCCATTACCATTATCACCATCAGCTGCGGCGCCAGATTCCGTCGCGTCCTTATCCTTGGCGTCTTTCTCCTTCTCCTTCTCTTTGCTGTTGCTGTCATTGTTGGTATCATTGTTGGCCGCCTCATCCTCCAAATTAGCGTCATTGGGCAAGTTGGATTTCCTGGATCGCTTCACGCGCAGAGGCCTTTCCTGGGGCTGTACATAATCATCACCATTACCATTAGCGAAAACCTTCAACCCTAAATATATATACCAGGAAGGTAGATAAAAAGACAAGAACTTACAGTAGGCGGCTGCTCATCCGAACTCCCCTCCGTCTCATCCTCCAGAGACTGTGGCACACCAGCAGCACCGTTCTTCCCCGCCTCTCCGCCCGTCACCGCCGCAACATTCGTCATCATCGCTGATGCTCGAGCGCGCAGTTCCGGGTTCACGCCTGCCTGCGCCTCCTCCGTCATGCCGGTGACTTTGGCCAACCGTTCCAGGAGAATGCATGACTCGAGGCGCATTTTCTGGATGTATTGCCAGCCGCGACGGTTGCGGAGACGCATCATTTCATTTTCTTCTTCGATTTCGTTGAGGCGCTTCTTTAGGGCCAGGCATTTGCGTTTGTAGGCGTTTTCGACGCTGGGGGGGTTGGAGGTCGTGGAGGGTTGGCGGCTTTCTTCCATTGTGGTGGATTGGTGTGGTGAGTGAGAGGTAGATGATGGTAGCTTTGAGTGGTGCAATTGATGAGTGTTGTTGTGGTGTTGGTTGATGGTCAAGGGATGTCGGAGGAGCGAACAGGTTGGGGATGATTTTAGGGTGTTCGGAGATGCGCGATTAGGGGTGTTTTTATAGTGCGGGGGCGCGAGTGACTCCGAAAAGGTTTATAAAATATCCAGGGTAATTGATGAGTGAAGAGGGAATCCCCGAGGTGAATTGGATGGCAGCGAGGCGGATCTGAGAGGAATGGATAGGACGAGATTCAAGAGCTGAAGCCGAAGCAGAAGCAGAGCCAGTCACGTTCTGCCGGTCGGGGTGTCGGGCGGTCAGCGGAGTCTGGGGTATATATGAACACTACACTACTGGTATTTACTGAACAAAACACTGAAAGCTTCGTTATCGTCATTACATTGCACTAACTCCTATGATATAGACCATGAGAAAAAGATGGATCTATCTGTTTAAAGAAAGGAAACATAACGCTAATGGCCACCAGTAGTGGGCAATCCCAGGAACACCTTGAACGAGTCGTAACTATATATCTGCGTCAGCATCCAGCCCTCAGCCTTATCACAACATCATCATTATCACTTACATCAACCATTGGAACCCAGTCAATGTACCCAGCATGACAATTCGCACGGGCAATCCATTCCACAAGCCCGAGAACCCAATGTTGCTATAGATCCGCGACACAGCAGTCATAGCTCCCTCGCCAGCTAACACACCATCAGCCATCAACCCCAAACCAGTATACAACAATAAAGAGGATGACTCACCTTTCCGATCCGCATTCAACTTACTCACCATAACATCCGCAGGATGACTAACAATAGCACAGAAGATGCCCGCAATATAACCTCCCAAAAAGCTCACCCCAGTCTGCTGCAACCCATTATACTGCTCCTTGGGCTTGCCCAACGTCTTATAGATAAACTTAACCGTCTCCTCAAACGTCGCAAACTTGGTCATCGTATAGGGGATCTGTCTCGCCCACAGCGGATACAAGCCCTTGTACAATCCGGACATGCCCTCTTGCGCCACGATTTTGCTCCATCCCTCGCGCAATGTATGCGCAAACGGCGGCAGCGTTGTCTGCATGCGCACCTTGATAGCCTCCATTGGACAGAGGGCCATATCAGCGAAGAATTCAGCCGAGGCACTGGCGCCCAGGAAGACGACGGTGCGGTTCGCATTGGGGAATAGGTGGTCCCCGTAGAGGTATTTGAAGTACTCGTAGAAGCCGTATTTGCCGGCGCCTTGGAGGGAGTAGCCAACAAAGGTGGGGGTCCAGCCGAAGAAGATGCCGCGGAGGCCTTCTTTAGATATGATGGAGCGCCAGGCTGAGAGGTTGGAGGTGTAAATTTTGGGATCGACTTGGCGGCGACATTTTACTAGATCAAGGGGGGTGACGGCTGTGTGGGTTGGGCCTGTGGTAGGGATTAGAATTAGGATCGGGGATGTGGTGGTGGACGTGGTTGGAGATAGTATGATTATACGTACCACAGGCTGTTCGAGGAGGTCAGTCTTGGGATACTGGAAGCTATGTAAATAGGGCTAGCAGGTAGACTACTCACCAATAATTCCTCCAAGGGTGCAACTAGCAAAATACTTGGCCGAGTTGGGCTCAATCTTGCCCAAAGGGTACTTGGGCTTCTGTGTCGCCATTTTGGGGGGTTTATCTAGTCAGGGAAGTAGAGGAGGGGAGCAAATCAATTGAAGCTTATCGGAATGAAGAAGAGGAGAGGGGAGAGGAGGGGAGATAGGACAAAATCTCCACGAGAAAGTACGGAATGAGAGATCAACAGGCTACGGAGAAATCCATTGAATGGAAAGTGTACTATCCGCACTACTTATATTTACTTTGTACCCCGTCAGCCCGCAGGCCATGTCGTCAGAGTCTCCAGCTGGGAAGGGAGAAACAAGTCGGTCCAGATCATCCAGTCCAACGGCTAATCGGCACCCGCGCAATGAACTTTCACTGCGCCGGATACGTTCCGATTTGCCATTTCTGGACTTGGGCGTTCTTTGTGTGTGAAACTGAAATCTACAAAAGCCGTGATTTATTCACTTTGTTGTGTTCCATCCATTTATAAGTACTGTATGTTGTGTGTGTGTGTGTGTGCCTGCGATGTCTTGAGGATGTGCAGATCAATGACGTCAGTGCATCCGGGGTGGCCGGAAGGAGTTCATTGAATAGATAGGGAGAGCTATAGCTATACCCAATGTATCACGATTTGATCGAATAAGTCAATGTAGAAAAAGAAAGCCTCGAATTAACAGCTCTGCACTATCAGATGTTGGGTGTTTTGAGCCCGTGGTTCACTGGAAGGATTAGCAACACTAGTATTGGGCTGAGAAGACGCTTTTCCAGCGCCTTAAACAATCTGGGGCCCATGGTTTCATCCCTCTTCTCTGGTCCACACATATGTCCCCATGATGCCTTGACCGTCTGGGAATGAGCAATTCTGATTGTTTCGGGACTGTTGAGAAAGGGGTGTTGCCTGTACTGCTTAACGCAGAATGAAACGCACTCATGTAAATCATTTCAAATTTAGGACTAAGGCACGTAAAAGCAAGGCCCCAATCTAAGGTAAACCATAAGGTCAGTACAAGTACTTGAGTAATTGAGTAGTAGTGGATATATACATTAATCGTAGTAATATACAAGGCATAGTATTTCCAGTCAAGCCCAGGAATACGTCTTTGGAGTAAATCTATGGGCTCTGCCTGCCCTACTCACATGACAGACACCTCCCTCACTGAACGTTCCAGAGAGTACAACTGGGGCATATTCGCCATAGCATCCTCGCCATCGTAACTCGCCAACATAGTAGCCAGCTTGATGCCAGCTTCCGAGCCCGTCCGGGCCATCACGCCTCGGATCATCTGGGTCTGTTCGGGCGTAGCCAGCCCACATGACAGAATATACCACAGGGGCCACAGCATACTGTAGAGGTAGAAAGCTCGAACCCGCGACATTCCCTGCTCGGACGGAGGCATCGGGTTTCCAAACATATCTATTTCCCCAAAGCAGAATGGCACACTCCGACAGGAATCGGAGATCATATCGAGGCTTAGCTGCAAGCCATCTGCCTCATGCTGAGACGCTTCTTGCTGAATCCCGGGAGAATTAACCATGGAGACCAGTGCCCGGAAAAGATCTGCCATGGCACCATGGATAAAGATCCGAAGGACGCGGTAGTGGGCCCAAATAACCGCAGTAATCATCTCTCGGTACGTGAGCACATCCTCGCCCGTGTATGATCGGGTTTCGAGGGGTAGCCAGAATTCCGGCAAGGTTTGGGTCCATTGGACCAGTTCTAAATCCAAGCGTCTACAGGAGTCGATCCATGACGCTAGCTTCGTGATTCCAGCAGATTGCAAGGGATCCGAAGCAGATGAGGGCTCTGAAATCAGCTGCCTGACCTTGGACGCAAGTATCATAAGCAATTGTAGCGGATCCGCACTGTCGAGACGCTCAACCAGACGGTCTGAGTCCAGACTGGGTTTCCCCTTCAGCAGAAGGAACTCGATTTGCTGGATTATCGGTCAGCAATCACACGCCTCTTATCAAAACAAGGTGTCCGAATTGACTCACCATACGAACATACGCATACTTGAACATATCCAGTCCCGCTGCATGTCCAAGCTGACTCTCTCCCCTCAGCCTCGTAAGCGCCTCAAAGCCCACCGTATGCGCACTAGTAAGCCCATGCCGATCCCCCGAGATATCCTCAAATAGAGATAAAATAACCAACGTCGCAAACGTCTCATCTTTCGCCGCCTCAAGCGGCAGATCCAGCGCCTCCTGCAGACGTCGCAGCGCCAACCCGAAGCGATATCTCGCCTGAGTCACAACACCCGGCACATTAACCCTGTTACTCAGGGCCATTAGGGCCGTCGCATCGACAGCTAACCGTAAAGACATTGATGCGGGGTTACCCACATTCTGATCTCGACAATCGGCATACAAAGACGGAAGGAACCCCAGATGACCCATGCCGCCGAATGCATTACATTCGACAATGGTAAACTGATCGAAGAAATAGCAAATGGCTCTTTCTTCCCACGTGGCATCGCTGATCTGATAAGCGGACAATGTCGTCTTTTGGAGATCCTTGCCGCCGCCTGATACATCATGGCTGCTGGGCTGCGTTTGCGTTCTACTTGATGAGGAAGAGCAGGCTTTGGCCTTGTCATTCATCAGTTGTTGCACTTTGTGCGTCTCATTTCTGAAGATCCCATCCGATCGATAGCCCGGACATGGCTTGCCGTATATGCCGCAGTTCCGGCATCCCGGACGGCCTTCATCGCACTGGGAGGGCGATTAGCGTGGGGTCCCACAAATAAATAGCATACTCATTGGGGTGAAATGGTATGCAAGGGACATGATCTGCTATGACATGTCAAGGCTGCAGATCTGTCCTACCTTGATTTTCCGTTTGCGACACAAATGGCACCCCGTACTTGGCTTCCCGCCGTACACCATCTTCGTCTACTTGCTAGGGGCCCAGCTGTGGGATAGATCATGCAGTGGAAAAGACATAGATGAGGACAAATTTTGAGTGCTTCACGAAGCGAATAAACTAAATGCTTGATGGCGTCGTCGCAGCTGGTGCCTTGAAGGATTGACATAAGGAACCGTTGAATACGGGGTCTTGCCATTTTGAGGGGCCAGTCAGGTGATTTCCATTATCAACGAGAAACAACAACTACTGCAATCCCACAACACAGCAGTACGACCGATGATCAACACCGTTCGTTTGACTGAGACATACGTAGTGATCTATTCTGGTCTCTATTCCTCTCTTCTCGGAGCCCTTTCGGGATACTTCTAACAACTGACTATCTGAACACAAAGAGAAAAAGACCCACCAAGGGAGACAAGGCACGCCGGGATGTCGCGGGTGAAAGGTAAGCTCAATGTCTTCGCTTTGTAGGACCAACAGTAGAAACACCAAATCTTCTGTAAATGGTAAATACATCATCTCCCGAGGCGGGTATCATCTAACCCTCGAAAAGAAGTAGAGGTAAACATATCATGAGCCAATCATGGTTCCCCAGATACTCCTGCAGGTACAACGTATCGGTAGCCCACCCTTTGCCATTTTGTAACTCCACTCCACGTTTCCCATAAAATAATTCGAGAACAAGACTGAATATTGAAAGAAAAAAAAAAGAAAAAAAGATCCGTTTAGACCAAACACCCAGAATGCGAATGCTGATGTTCGATGACCTGGCAACGCTGACCGCGCCTCGTTTGCCTAGCGACACTCAGGTTGGACCAGCCGGGTCGTTGAAATCAGGCGCTAAAACAAGAGGTATATAGACGGCAACGCTTGGATTCATAAAGCAGGAAAGAAGGACGTGCTAGTCATTGCAAAGGTCGAACCCCCCATATTAGGAGGCAGGGGCATCCACCATGGTTTGGTCATCGTCACTATTGAGCGGCACACTAGGCGGGGGGTCCGAATAGCGCTCCCTATGTCGGCTGTCGTTGTTCGTGGGGTGCAGACCCGGTGTGCTGGAAGCACTCTCCACTATCACCGCATCGTCGCCATCGTCTTCGGGTGGTGGCGAGAAAGTCCAAACCTAGAAGGCATTCATCACCGTCAGTCTGTGAGGAAACGAAAGAAACAAGGGAGAGTCGGGAGGGTATGTTCCTTACCTCCATCACTGTGCGGCCTGCTCTACTTGCCATGATCACAGCTTTCTCTTCCTCAAAGGCCACCCTCCATACAGCTTCTGCCGGTGTCGACAGCTCTCTGAGTAATTGGCCGGTCTGTAGACTCCACACCTTGACACGACCGTCACTACCACCGCTAACAATTCTCGAACTGTCGAACTGCAAGCTGGTAACGCTGTTATCATGAGCCGCAAGCCGGTGAATGGGAGCCATCTTGGTCAATGACCAAACTCGAACAGACCCGTCAGAGCCACCAGTGACCAGGGTATCTCCCCGCATTTGCAGCTGTCCTACTAGGGAGGTATGGCCCTGAAGGATAGCATGGCACTGACCCGAGTGCGGATCCCAGATTCGCACGCTGGTATCTAGACTGCCGGTGGCGATGCGTCTGCCATCAAACGCGATAGCATAGATTTGGCTGAAATGACCAGAGAGCGTCCGCAAGCACCGCCCCTCAGAAATGCTCCAGATGCGTGCCGTGGTATCATAGCTTCCCGAAACAACCAGATCGCCATGGATGGCCAAGCAGCGGACACTAGCTTGATGCCCAACCAGAACGTTCTTGCAGGTACCCGAGGCCAGGTCCCATATCCGCAGCGTTGTATCGCGTGACCCCGAGATAGCCGTGTTCTTGTCGGACATTTTGAGGCAACGCACGGTTGACGTATGGCCACGTAAGAGGTAGAGACAGGCACTGTAATTTGATTTGCTCGTCAGTAGCGATCCCCGACTGCAAGTCGTCATGATTTGCTTACCCGGTCGCCATGTTCCAGACCCTCACTTCTCGATCGCACCCACCACTCACAAGGATGTCATCCCAAGGAACCATCGCCCATACGCCCATCACATGGCCTTGGAGGGTTCTCTGGTTATCCCCGTTGGTGTCGTATACATGAATCTTGGCATTGTCCAGTGCGACCACGATATACTTGGGGGTTAAATGAAGACTTGTAACCACTCCCTGGTCGGGAGTGATGTGTCGCTGCGTACAGCGCCCACCCTTGTTCCAGGCAGATTCCACCATGTACTTTTGCTTGAAATGCGATCTGTAGGACAGAGGTCGGACCCGTCTTTTGCGTGACGGGTACCCCGACAGGGAGAGCCAGTCTCCCGACAAAGAGCGCGACGACACGTTGGGCAGACCGTCTCGAGGCTGGAGGGTAGACACATGGGGTCTCCTTTGCAACCCGCTCAAGGACTGAGTACTGGACACAGCATGCAACGGCTGACCATGGAAAGGGTCGACGAAGTCCCGGTCATCCTCCGACAGCCTCCGAGATGCATACGAGTGCTTTTCGCACAAGTTCTTCCACGTAATATCATCATTCAGCAGTTCCCGCCAGCGTTTCGATACCTGGGATGATCTTGCCAATGTCTTCGGGTCATCGATGAATGATAGGACCTAGTGAAACCGAGCGAGACAGCTGTCAGCCTTGTTCGAGCGGTGAGACCGTCCGCACCGGAAGAGGTAGTCAACTCACCCTCAAACATAATTCATTGGGGAACACCTGAAACGGATCCTTCCTTAATCGGGGGCTAACATAGCTAGACACAAAGCTGAGATGCTGGCTATCACATAGCCCCAGTATGCCTTCCAAGAACTTCTGCTTCCGCGCGTTGGAGAGAGAGGAGAAGTGTATCCGAGCGTTCAGCAAAAAGGCATCGTCTTCCTCGTCGGGTGTCTGCCAGGTGGGAGGTCTTTGATGAGGGGTCGGACTGGGAGCAGGCGTGGGAGGCGACGCAGGCGCCGAGGGCAGTAAGTTGGGGGGAATAGGAGTACCGGTCTTGGTGGATGAAGAGATCGATCTAGAATGGGCACTGGAAAGTGACGCAACCGAGTCTCTGACTGCAGATGACTTTGACGGCGCAGTCGCCAGCTGCTCAGGTACACTGCGCGGACTCATCCCGGTGTCTACTGGATGGGGGGGTGCTTGTGAACTGCCGCGGTGAGGAGCGGTTGTGTCATCCAGGGGATTGCGTATTCCACCCGACTAGCCTTTCACACGGTGAACGAGATATCCCTACGCAAACCCCTTGAGACCCTGTCTCGTTCATAAACGAAGAAGACGTAACACACAAAACGAGAGAATGGGGCAGCTTTAATCCAAAAGCCAAAACGAAGGCGGAGGGGAAGAGCGAGAGATAAGACGGATGTGGACGATCTCCGCCGGGGCAGGGAAGACGAAAGGTTGGCGGTAGACAAGGGAATAGGGGGGTGGGAGAAGAAGGGAAGAATGAGAGTGGGAGTGTGGATGGGTCGGGCCAGAAGATTTATAGATACCAAAAATGGCTGGAGAAGGAAAAGAGGGAAGACGAAACGACAAATAAAAAGTTAGAAAGTAAGTTGGAGGTGAAGGTCACTGGATGGGGGGGTGGTTTTGGAAGGAGACCGATGGGGGGGAAGAAAGATGAGAGAGACGACGGATTGGTAGTCTACTACTTAGTGGTACTAGTAGACTACTATGGTACTTCGGTACAGCGGACGGAGGAGGGCGGTAAGATACAACTAATCAGGACTGAGTGCGGCCTTCCCGACGCCATCCAGAAGCAGGCGGAGAAGAAGCGACGAAGGAAAGACAAAGTCTGGATCATGCGATGTCGTGACGGGTCAGGTGCAGCCTTCCTCTTCTTCTCCCCCGGAAACCCTCCAAACCAGCCCCGATTACCCGCCAAGCAAAGCCGATGGCGCTTCTTCCTCTCCCCTGATTCGTGCAGCGGCATCACTGGAGTTCCACTAAAGAGTCTCCGTTGGTACTAGTCTAAATTAGTCAGCTTCCAGATTAAAGTACCTTACTAAGTGAAGTTACGATGAACTAGTCCGTAATAGTAGTGCTACTGTCCCGGTCCTGCTCGTGGTCGGTACCGACTATCCTGATGGCGGCAATAGTATGGAGGTTTTGGATACTACGAGCACCAACTGTTGGTCATGTAGATAATAGGTGGTTATATAATTACCTCTGCTTTGTCCCCAGTGGAGAAAGGGCGTCACGGCGCAAAGTCCGTCTGTCTCCAACGGCCGAGTGTTGCCCATTCCGAACTCTCGAGCCGCTCTGGTCCTGTTTACGTCTGTCTACCGTAGTAGCTCTTACGCCCCTCCCACGCCATGCCTCCCTTTAGATTGGGTAGATGGACGATGGTCCCGTCAAAGAGACCGTCGAGCTCAGCTGAGCAGCCAGCAAATAGGACCAAAGTGTCTATTCCGTACTATACTCCCTCTAATACCTACAAGGATCAACCCCACTGTCGTCACAAACCGCTAACTAAACGACGTGAAGTTGACGTCGAGACTCACCCATCTCAAGGCCAAGAAGGAAAAAAAATAGTACGTACTCTACCACAGAGAGAACCGTTTCAAAAAGCAAGGCACCTGCCCGAATCGAGTATGATGTCTCTGGTGCTTCGGTCTAACTTTTCGGTTCCACTGCAAGTCGCAGAAGATATGGTGGTCTGAAGGCGGGAGTGGTAAGAACGGCATGCGTCGTACAACCATGGATCCGTGCAGGTGCCTCCAGGGAACTGATAATGATTCAGTCTTGCCGAATCTTTTCATCACTCTTTCAATGGAGGGCAGATATGATTCTCCGAGAGTTTATACCTTCCACGTCTGAGCCAATCTACGCAAACGTGATCGTGGGGGGAGGAAGGAACGAAACAAATCAAAAAGTAAAGGACACATGCAATTATGATCAAAGTAAAGGATTCAACCGCACCGTGCAAATGCTTCAAAATCGTGGCCATGACGTGTGGCGGCGCTGACTCAATGACAATACAACAAGAAAGGCATAACCCCACAGGGAATATAACACAAATCGCCGCAGTTCCCCAAGCTTGGGAATCCGTCCAGTAACAACTGTCAAAATCTATTACACAAGACAACCTCACGGTGTCTACAGACAGAAACCGTCCGTTTTTGAACCGGTATGTAGCTCGTTGGCCGAGGAGAGCTAGAGGTAGAAGGAAGAGAAGAGACATGGTGTAAATCCAGAAATGGATGTCGAGAGAATTTAGTGGGCATGGCCGATCTGTAGGAACAGTGGAAGAACCATGCCAACAACAGAAGCGATCAGGTCCCTCATAGACTTGTCCGATGCTGATGGTGCTTCTCTATGATCGCCGTATCCGTTGACCTGAGACTCACGTGAAGATGAGTTCGGGCTGTTTTCCTGCATCGTGTGCATGGCAACGTATCTAAAGACATCAGTATCACCCTGTACCGTATAATTGAGCCAAGGAAGAACTTACAGGAATGTGCCAGCAGAGAACAAGAGGAGTACACCGGTTCGCCAGCGGTTCCCGACGTCATCACCTCCTGACCCCGAGCCCATGATTTGCACAAACAAGAATGTCACGAGAGCACCCACAGGAGCAGCCAGACTGAAAATCAATAGATGCGCTCTAGCGGTACGACTAGAAAGGCCCTGCTTCAGTAGCACCGAGGTGAGGCCAAATGATGCTGGGGCCTTGTGAACCATGATGGCCAGGAAGATGATGAAGCTCAGCCCAGTGTCGGAGCTAGATGCACCCAATGCAATTCCATCGGCGGCAGCATGAATGACAAGTCCAGTTGTCGTTGCAAAGCTGTGGCTTCTCCTGGGAATATTACCGGCATCAAGCAAGCCCCCCTCGCGTGACGGCGACGAATTGCGCCGCAGACCAGAGCCCAAGTTATCTAGCGATATGTGATAGGGAATTCGCTCCTGTTTGGAGGATGATGCGAAAACGGGCAATTTATCGATCAGGTACATTAGGATAAAGCCACTGATGAGTGCAATACCTATCCAAGCATGGGGCGAGTTATCTTCATCGTGATCATCGTCTGCGTGATCGTCCGATGTATCGTCCTTGCGTCCCAGTAGTCCGAGCTTTTCATCTTGTGTAGAATGGATTGTAGGTACCGTGACAGGTGCGGATGGCAGATCGGATAGCACCGATCGAGGCGTGAGCTGGACGCCCGAGGAGTCTGGTTCTTCCAATGCCCTTGGGAAAGTGGTCACCGGCACAGCCTGGTGTTGCCAATTGACGGCTGTCGTCGATCGGCTGCTAAGTTCTTTCCGGTTGCTAAGCGAGTTTGCGCTGTATAGAGTTTCGACTCCCTCCGGAATTATAACGATCAAAGATGTCCCAACCAAAACTCCCATACCAAGGGAGGATATTAATCTCAGCTGAGAAGGGGAAAGTGTGAAAGCGAGCGGTAGTGATCCCACGACAAATGATCTATGTGACGTAGCGGGGAAAAGCAAATTAGCATTGGCCATTCGCACCAAGCAGGCGACAAGTTCCAAAGGGCAGTCGACTCACGTAATGGCCATCACAATGCTCAATGCGAGCAAAGTGAAGAGTCCCTCCATGGTCGGCCTCTTGTTCCAGAGCTTTGTCCGTGCTCTAGAGGGTTTCAATCATGTTGCCAATTCCAAGACCAAGTTGCTCGATATGCCCCTAAACCCGCTGCAGCGGTGATGGCGTCTATGTAAAAGGGCGGACAAGTAAGCTGGAAGATGAAGATAGGCCCGGAGACGCAGGTGAGACAGGGGAGACGATGAAGAGCGGGCGGAAAGCAGGTGTTCCAAGGCGGTAGGAGGCAGAAGAACTGAAAACGTGGCGGAGGTGGACGGCCCTGATTATGGATTGATTGCGATTTGCCGCAGTGGGAAAGGCACGCCCCAGTCCGAAGCACGGGAGACCCACTGCCGCCCCAGGGATGGTTTATTATTATCTTTTCGGCTTCAATGTTCTGCTACTTTCATAAACATAATGTGAGACTACTCATTTCACGAATGATTACATGTTGTGGACTCCCAAGAATCAGTGAAACATCGCTTTGGTCAACAACCCGGGCTTTAAAGGCCGCCATCAACCAAGCTCCCGCGGGCATCAGTTTCCAGGAGTTATCATCATGCCTGTTCCCCTCATAATTATGGTCCATCGCGGCTGTAATCCTTCGTCTGGATCCCTATGATATCCTTCAACCGTGCCTCCTTTATCTGGATTTGCTCCGCAGACAGTGTTCCATAGGCTTCGTTCACTTGCGCAACGACCTTTTCCTTCCACTCCGTTCTTTCGTCGCCCTCCACGTTTACTCTCCCCTGCCCATCCCAGACGGTTTGCATGGTGCCACCAAGCTTATCCAGGAAGGAGCCTATTCCACCTTCTCCACCACCATGCTGGTAGCTCTCAAACACACCATTCCCAGCCCATCTGGGTCCCAGACTAGCCATCAATATCGTGTCCAGGTCCTTTGCGTTTACCACGTCTTCTTGAACCAGATAGCAAGCTTCCCGTAGTAGCGCGAACGCCAACCGATTGCCCACAAATCCTGGAATCTCTTTTTGGATGACCACGGGCCTATGCCTTGACCCAGGTAGAGAGAAGTATTCACGAGCAAACTCCACCCGTTCCGCAGAGGTTCCTGGAGCCGGCACAATCTCCAGAAGAGGCATGATATTCGGTGGGTTGAATGGATGCACAACAAGCAGACGAGTCTTGTCCTGCGTCTTAGCTTGCTGAATGGAAGCGGCAATTCCAGATGTGCTTGTCCAGAGATGGGCAGAAGGCGGGGCTACTGCTTCAATCCGGGCCCAGGCAGACTGCTTCCAGTCGACGTTCTCTGGTCCCTGCTCCTGGACAATGGTGGCCGACGCGCATGCGCTTTCTAGAGTCGAGTGAATCCGTAGACGGCCGGAAGAGATAAGGGACGCTACCAATGACATTGTTGGTGGTTGAGGATCAGGACTTAATTTAGAGTCAGTAGTCGTTGATGGAAGCTCGCTCATGTAGATTGGCAGTGTCTTGTGGATATAGTCTTCGAAATCCGGTCGGGTGTCGAATACATCAACCACGTTGCTCTCACGAGAGAGATGAAGCGCTGCCATGGATATGCCGATGGTTCCCAAACCGATCAAGGCTATTCGCTGTGAACTGTTGACTGACATGTTGATGGTACTACCAAGGACTTGTACGACTTGTTGAAGCTGTGAGCTTGTCCTTGAAAGATTGCATATAGTACCAACTGCATGAACTGTGCAAGTTTTACGACAGTCTGGGGTATATGTTGATCGAAGTAGCAGTGACCCTCAATTGCGGGGTGCCAGAACTACTACTAATTGATGAGTCCGTTAGTTCGGGCTCGATAACCTAAAGCCGAGGCAACCAGCTTGAATTTCAAACCGTGATGTTCTACATCCTAGAGCGCAAAGGCTCGACCTTCTCGAATGAAACCGCTCCCTAAGAGTTAACGATTAATGTATGTGTGGATAGTAGGTTAGTTAGTTCCTACATCGACGTCATACTATGAGGTTGCCAGTCTGAAGCTAGTCTGTCGCAGCCATTCACAGAAGACCGGCACAACTACGTGAAAAGCATGCCAATGACAGAGCAAGAGGCTATCTACATAATTTTCTGATTTGATATTGAGAAGACAAATTTACATTCACAGCTTTCTTAATAGTGTTTCCTCCCAGCTAACTACTCTATTTCTTGACGGTGACAACTGCGGAGGACTCCTACCGGCACTAAACCGGAAACGGTTATAGCTAGCTAGCTCCGCGCAACGCGAGATTCGAAAGAGCAACACGCGCCATCTTCCAGGCAATCAATTAAAGGTCTTGCGCTCTCTCACTCAGCCATCCCTAACCCACGTCTCCGCTCTAGTAGCTGGCTCATCATCCGGCAAGTGGCACAATGAATGAAGGCGACTGTAATCCACCCCCTTTCTCACTCCATTGTCCTTGTGTTCTATGTTGCGAGTCGGCTGACTGAAATGGCCTCAATTAGGGACTTGCGACGCCAACGACGCCGTCCATCTGACGATCGTTCAACCCGGCGAGACGAAAGCCAAGACGATTTCCAGCTTCCACCCTCAGTTCACATATCCCATCTTCGGCGACGAGGAGCAAATATTCGGCTATAAGGGGTTGATCATCCGCTTGCGGTTTGCAGCCCATGACCTCCGCCCGAATATCAATATCTCTTACGATGAGAAGTTCAAGCCCGTCGGCGATATTTCCGCCGTCGACCTGCTGAAAACACTGAAGCCATGGGTTCCTGAAGGTTAGCCGCTTTTATTTCCAGTTGAGAGTAATCTGGGTTCCATCATGGCTAACCCGGGCACCTAATTGCAGAGGCCTTCGGCTTACTTCCCGACTATGAAAAAGCCGTCCAGGAGGACGAAGATGCAAAGGACTTTGTACCACCTGGCAAGCTTGTTCACAGCTATGTCACTCGAGACAGAAATTACGAAATCTGGGCCGGCTCTCTTGCTGATCCTCAAGTCCGACGACTACTGGACCGCGCGCAAATTTTTGTATCGCTGTTCATCGAAGCCGGTACACCCTTGGTCACGGATGATCCTGAATGGACACTTGAGAGATGGACAGTCTACTTTGTGTATGTGATGGCCTTGTCTTATGTTTTACTCTGGCTAACGAAGTTGTAGCTATGAGAAAGTGAAACCGCCCACGCCAACGGCCTCACAATATTCCATCGTCGGGTATGCGACCACTTATCGCTGGTGGTTCTACCAGAGAGACACTACACAGAGTCGCTCCGTCGTGAACGACCCATTCCCGGCACCCGAAATTAGACCTGCTCAGCTGCCGGCTCGGCTACGAATCGCTCAATTTTTGATTCTCCCTCCTCATCAAGGCTCGGGACATGGGACTCATCTCTACACCACCATTCACGCCGCATGCTTCAAGGACCCGACAATTACCGAATTGACTGTCGAAGATCCGAATGAGGCTTTCGATGCCCTCCGCGACACAGCCGACTACCACATCTTGTTGCCGGAGTTCCTCAAACATAAGGTAGATATCAACCCCAACCCTTATGGAGAGCTCCCCAAGAAGCAGCGCCCTCGGCGTGTCCCTACGTCGGCACTGATCCCTACAAAGCTGTTGCACGACATCCGCTCGTCATTCAAGATTGCCTCCACTCAGTTCGCTCACATCATGGAGATGTATCTTCTGGGTCAAATACCTGCCAAGAATCGCCTAGCTGGTGGAACGAATATGTCCCGACTACTGATCAAGAAGCATAATGCCGAAGATCCTAACGACCGCCGATACTACTGGTGGCGTATGCTCACCAAGCAGCGTCTTTACAAGCGCCACCGGGATCTACTCATTCAACTTGACTCGAGCGAACGCATCGAGAAGCTGGAGGAGACCGTGACGAACGTCGAGGAGGGCTACGATGCTCTTCTCAAGGCCTTCAACGCCCGCGAGGCAGCGCTGAAGGCCAAGGAAGAGGAGTCCGGTGTGCTTGCAACCCCAGAATCGACCGCTGTTCTGGGTGAGGCAAGCAGCAGAGATCAGCGGGTAAAGCGGAAGCTCACAGTGGAGGACGAGGAAGATGAAGAAGAGAACGAAGAGGCAGCTAAGCGGACAAAGGTGTGAGCGACGGCGTTTTAACGTTTCTTTATGCTTGCCGTTCACCCACCATTTCATTGTAATATTAAACATTATGAAATACCAAAACCATCCTTTTGCCATGAGCCATAATCATATCCTGAACTCCCATACATACCTCCACAAATAGTATTACACTTGAAGCCATTGTCCCTCACGAATGATAGCTGGGCGGCGGCGACCCCATACTATCCAGGGTATCTATTGTCCCTGACAAGGACTTACAATCCACACTCTTCAAGCTACTCGTCTCCGTCGACAAGGTAACCGTCGCCAACCCGACCGTCGACGATGCCTCCGTATCCGATCCCTCCCCACTTCCACCCTTTACATCCACATCCACACTATAACCACCTCCTTCCTGATCCACTACCACCTTAGCCCGCGACGGGGCGCTCTCCCTCACCAACTCCCCCACATACTCCAACGCCTGCCTGAAGCCCTGAATCTCTGCATGCATAGTAGCAGAAGCAGTAGCATTCGCAATCCCACCCGATCCACCAAACACCCTCAACTCTGCACTACCCTCATCATCATCAGACAGCCTCCCCATCTCCACATCCCTCTCCCGCACACCAACAGACGCCATTACAACCGCCCCATCATCAACACCAACAACCCCCTGATCCTGACAATAGTAAGCAGAATACGAAGTCTTCCCCTCCCACCACTGCTTCCATCGGTGTCTCCTCGCAGCGGCCTTATACGCCCGCCGAGCTTTCCTCTCCTCGCGCTGAGCGGCCCGGTCTACTCGGCATCGCTGGCAGCGCATCGTGTTGCTGCCGATTCGGTATGCCAGGGCGAAGAGGCCAATAATGCAGATGAGGACGCTTAGGTTGATAAAGTAGTCGCGGAGGGTGAGGGTCGAGAGCTTTCTCAGGAGGGAAGCGAGCCACTGGAATTTGAGGAGGGAGTGGATGTGGTCATTGTTATTGGGGTTGTCGTTGTTGGTGTTCTTCATAATGTGGGCGTCTATAAGGGTCGATTAGAATGTGGAAAATGTATATAGTGAGTGGAGGACTGACTGGCTGCTGTTGCTGTTGAGATAGTAGTAGATGATGATGGTAGAGGAATGGGTGCTCCGGCTGCCAGACGGGTGAAGTTGGTGGTGGTGAGGAGACATATTAGTGTTAACTTTGCTAGCCATTGCATGGTGGTGGTTGTGTGGGAGGTACTACATGGACGTGGGTTGGAAGACATGAAATGGTGGAGGGAGTAGTATATGAGTTGGTGTAGTTGGGGGTTAGTTGTGGATAGTTAATGTAGTAATAGATTGGCAAGTAGGTACACACGGTGTTGTATTCATGAAAAAACTACTTGGGACAGAGAGTGAGAGTCATACGGGCATTAGGACAGAGTTAAAGGAATCAATCCTTGGCCCTCGGGCCTCTTCCAAGACCGGAGACAGACGGGGTTTACTAAAGTACCCTGTCTCATTAATTAGTGAGTATTATAGCTAGACTAAAACACAGTCACAACTCTAAGTAGGGCACGTTACTTTGCTCTTACTGGTGCCAATCCAGATAAGCAGCAGCGCCGGGCGGATCTCGGCTCCATGTTTATCCGGCACTCTCCGTCGTTGCGACCACCGCTGCTGGGAAGCTCGCGGGGAGCTTCTTGGATTCATATTCACTTTGACGTCGTTAAGAAGGCATTTTTCTCCCTTTGAACTATCTCATTTCGTTTGGAAGGATACGGCGACTCCAATAGAGTGCTTTTATCCTTTTCTTTCCACCTCTTACTGAGTTGATTCCATCTTGTGTTTCGATCCGCCCACCACACTGACCCATCCATATTTATCACACGATCGCAAGATGGTATTTACCTCTGAAGCCTACCATGATCCAATATATCTGCGGCATTTACTGACTCTCACATGAACAGTTACCTCTCGGTCTCCTCACGGCTGCGCAAGGCCACCCCATGCTCGTGGAACTCAAGAACGGCGAAACCCTCAACGGACACCTCGCCAATTGCGACAACTGGATGAACCTGATACTCAAGGAAGTTGTTCAGACGAGTCCCGAAGGTGACCGCTTCTTCCGGCTACCAGAGGTCTACGTCAGAGGAAACAATGTGAGTCTCTTGCCTGCGCCCACCCTGGATCCAATCTAGGGAATCTCCCCGGCCCTCCCTACTAACCGCTTATAGATCAAATACCTACGGATCCCCGAAGAAATCATAGAGATGGTCAAGGAGCAACAGGCGAACCAGTCGCAAAATCGCAACCGCGGGCCGCGTGAGGGTGGTCGGGGTGACCGAGGTCGTGGTGGAGGCCGGGGTCGTGGACGCGGCCGCGGCCGTGGTGGCAGAGATGCTTGAAGTTTTGTTGGCTTTTTTATCTACGAAAGAATGAGAGAGATTATGAGCGATACCCCGGGGGGCAAGGTTTAGTAGGGATTGAGTTCGCTAGGAAATGTCCGTTTGACGGGTTAGTCGAGCATGGCCTTGGCGTATCTGGTTGTATTTGTCAATGGGAAAACATGCCACCTAGGCTTCCTTCTTTTCTCTAATACCATTGTAGTGTACGATTTATTCGGAAAGTCAGGCTAGGGGAGGATTCGTTGAGCCTTGTCTGTGGGCTTCGTCTCTGTAACTTTGCATGCATAGCGTCACGGTCACGTGCAGATATAGAGCTTCTTTCGGAGACCGACCAAGTTGTAGAGAAACTTCCGTCACCACAAGGGCTCGAAATGCCGCGAACGACCCTGGTACTTGATGGACTGTGGTACTGTCTTTGTCCGTCGTTTAATGCTGCAACCTTCAATCGAGTCACACCTTCCTTTACAGCAGGGAGACGCATCCCTAAACATAATCGCATAACCGCTCTACGAAGCTCAATTTCGGATCCTCCGCGAAGATGCCTCACCAACCTCACCCCACGACCGACCGACGCAGCCATTGAAATTGTCGAAGATGATACCCGCAGAAATACAGATTCCGAATCAACCTCCGATCAACAACCCTTCGATCCTAGCGATGCAGGCGCGCAGGATAATGTACGTCCAGGGGACCTTTTATCGCCAATGGAGCGCTTGACCAAGCCGCCACCGGGCGTACCCAAGTATTTCAAACACTTGCCTTCGCAGCGTTTAGAAAATAGACTACAGGAGCGAGTAGCTCGATATCCGAGGGTTCTGAGCGCAACCCAAATCCTGCGCGTTCTAATCCGAGACCGCCATGTCCGCCCGGAGATGCGACATTACCGGGGGTTAATTCTCGCCAATTCGGACCCTGAACGTGGGTCGCCACAGGCTGTTCGCGCGTTGCTCAAGGAGATGGAGGAGAATGGGATTCCGGCTGATTCGGGGACACTCCATGCAGCATTACAGGTATGATCTTCGATTCTGGGAACGGGGCACTTGCTGACCCACTCGCTTCTATTCGCAGGTCCTTGCTGTTCATCCGGATTACCTCCTACGTCAGGAGATTGTGCGCACGCTTCGAGACCGATGGCTTCCGCTGAGCCCGGCCGGATGGCACTTTGTAGTCGCTGGGTTGATTCGAGAGCACCAGTTCGAGCTGGCGTTGGATCATGTCGAGCAGATGGAGAGAAAGGGCATGGTGGTCGAGAGTTGGCTGCATAGCCTACTTATATATTACCTTTCCGATTTTGGAGAGTTCGACGAGGTGGCCCGGTTGATGCGTTCACGGACAAGCCAGGGTCTGGATATGAGCTCGGAGTTGTGGTTGCACGTGCTGGAGGTGGCGAGCGCTGCTCTTCACTACGATACTACACGGTACATCTGGAGACAGATGGTGGAGCTGAGATATCTTCACCCTGGTTATCCACTGTGCAGCAATGTCCTCAGTGTGGCGGCGCGCGCTGGAGATACTGAGCTTGCGGCATCGGTGATCCGCTTCCTCGTTGAGGTCAACATGCAGCCCCAACTGGATGACTACGAGAAAATGGTGGAAGCCCATGCTGTGTCGGGGTCCTTGTATTCTGCGTTTGAGGTGCTGTGTAAGATGCATATGGCGGACATTGCGGTAGAAGACCGCTCTACGCGTGCCATTCTTACACATCTGCTGCAGAGTAGAACAACCCCACGGGGCGCATGGACAATTCTCAAACAACTGAAGGCCACCAAACTGACAGTCCCGCTTGGCTGCGCCAAAGTGGTGCTGGAGATGTGCGAGCAGGAAGCCCTCGATAACCCGTCGGTGGTGGACGAGGGAATCGCGTTCTACAAGGAGCTATATGCGCTCTGTCCAGATAAGGCTGACGTTTCTGTCTACAACATTCTCCTCGGTATGTGTCAACGGGCGCGCAATACCGAGGCGGGCATGTTCATCGCAAAAGAGATGGCATCCCTTGGCGTGATTCCAGACCAAGGGACGTTTGAACATCTCATCGTCATGTGCCTGGAAGCAGGCAATTTTGAGTCCGGGTACATGTACCTGCAAGATCTGCTGGGACGAGGGATCCGCCCCGGCGAGGAGACACGAGCCGCCATCCGTGAGCTCTGTTCTCCATCAGAAGACCCATTTGCGTCCCGCCTCAGGCATCATCCGCAGATCCAGGATGGGTCGGTCGGATGCCTGGTGGACGAGATCAGTAATACTCACGAGCCGCCCGATTCGACGGAGCAGCAGCAGCAGGAGGAGGAGGAGGAGGAGGAGGAGGAGGAGGAGGAAGACGGGAAGGGGGAGTCGTTTCATCGCTCGGGACAGACACCGACCCAGACAGAGGTGGAACGGCAGGCGTTGCACAAACTCCGACGGGCCGCGGCCAAGGAGAGACGCAAGCGAAAGCGACGATTAGCAGCCATCGCAAAGGGGCAAGAAGAGGAGGGGTGGTTGGACTACGAGCCAGGAGGGCTTATCCCTGAGGACCAGCTCAATGCGAAGAGTAACAATTGAGCTGGGGATAGGGATGGGCAGCTGGAAAGGGGGGAGAGAGAGTATCCTCGCTTCGTGTATACCATTTCTATATCTAGTGAGAATTCTTGGCCCCTATGCCAACAACCTAAGCGATGTATTTAATTTCACAGAACACACGCTGACAGGCGTCAATTGAGCTGTCAGGAGAATTACCTGTCGGTGATTACTTGCTAGACTGATGCTCGTGCCACTATGTAATTAGATCACAGCAAACGTGCACTGTCTCTGTCCGGGAAATTCGGAGAAAAAGGAACGAGGGGGGAGAAGCAGCCGAGGCCAGGAAGGATTCAGCCACAGGAACCCATCATGCAGTAGTCGGGGGATAAGAGTCAACCCGCAAACCTACTCCTGCTCTATGTATACTTCAGTTTTTTAGTCTTGCTTAGTGTGGACTAGGAAACCCCATCTGCGACACGCGGGCGCAACACAATGGAACCATGCGAGGAACCTCAAACCGCCGTTAAGAATCCATGCCCGGATTTTCAGCCCAGACCAGCGGTTTGAACTGGAGAGAAACCGGCATGGCTTTGTCCCACTCGTCGGAGACATTGAGGTTCAATTTGTTTCGTGCGGGTTATTGCCGGAGGGTTCCGGTACCTCCTGAACTAATTTGTTGCCAAAGTAGATTAAATGTTGGTTCACCTGGTGTGCGCTGTTGTGTGAGCCGGGTTTCTATTCTTATCCGGGCTGCATGAGATTGGGATCGACTTGCATGGACCCTAGGGACTAACAGCACAGTAGTTGGATGTAAGGGAATCTATGCATGAGTTGTCAAGTTGATACTATCGGAGCTGGTGTAGGATTAAGTCAGTCTTTCTGAATCGGCCAGCACAGACTGCCTCTGTTGTTACCTCGTGTAACCATGCAAATCCACGACAAACCTAGTTCTTCATAACTTTTGGCCAAGGGATGATACTATGGAGACAGAAACACACCAACACACACCGATCCTTTTTTAGTTTAAGGGATCGGCGCAGTTGGGCCAATGCTGGTTCGTTTCACCCGCAGCTCCACTTCTCTCTCACTCTCTGTTGGGGTCGAAATTAGAAGCAGTTCAGACAAGACGGTTTGGTTTGTTCAGTGGTGCTTGTTTCTTGTTCCCCTCGCCACCTGCACATCATCCCCGGCTTATAACTATTCGCCTCTGTCCTGTCTTCTTTTTTCTTACTACTATCTACTATCGATCTACTACTTTCCTCCTGTTTATACTAAAAGTATCATATACTTCCTATCACCTATTGATAATACTTAATTCGTTCCTATCTCGATATCAACTACCGTTTAACCCTCCAACGGTAGACAGACAGACAGACAGACATCCATACACATCCTCCATCCGCCACTCGGGTATACATTCAAAACCTACTACCACCACACAAACAACAGAAAACCTATACATTCAGTCAACATGCAACTCCTCAATTACCTCCCCGTCGCTCTCACCACCCTCGGCCTCACAGCCTCCGCCTCTCCTCTTCGTCGTGCCGACAGCCCAGCCCTAACCTGGCACGTCTCCAACTTCACCACCGGCTGCTCCCCGGCCGCCTGTACCTACTCTTTCAACATCTACGGCGTCGCCACCGCCAACACCCCCGGGTTTAACGCCACCTGCACTGGTAACTCCAACAACACCGCCCTGACTGCATGTGGTGGCAACCCCCAGGTCCAGTCGCGCATCCAGCCCGCTACTTACCCGGAATGGAACATTCGGGTCGAGCATGCTTGGACCCTGCCCGGCGACATGGAATTCTATGCTTATGGAGAGACCAATGTCACCTCTCCGACACCGAGGTTCACCATCCCTGTTACGGAGGAGTATGGTGTTGCTTAAATGCTCCTAGTGGGCTCGGTGGAAAAGGGGGGTAGGAAGTCAATGACTTGAGGTCATGAATGGGTACTACAGTATAGATGATGAAGGATGGAAAGAGAGAAAAATAAGTATATGCCTTTTTGTTTATGTATCATATTGATTGGATTTGATGGGCTGGCTCTTAATGGCTGTTTACAAAGTTGGTTTCATTGGGTTTATGAATAGGGTTGAGGATCTAATGTCTGGTTACAGGATGGTCTCTGGTCATGATGATTGATAGATAGATAGATTGATCTGGAAAGATATCAATTAGTATAGTTGAATATACCAATATACCAATACCAACATATGAATTATGGATTACTTCTTGTTCCCTGATAGTAACAAATTCCCCGTAGACTGGGAGATGAATTGACGGGGTTGGAATGTGTCCGGTGACATCATCCCGACCCTGCCAAACAATGATGTTCTTCCCTTTTCAATGTTTCCCCGAACAAGCTTGTCCAGCTGCACTGCCTCTCTCTCTCCCCCCTGTCAATCATTCCGTGAGGAATGACGATTATATGGAATATATAATCTTGTCTAAACCTGTCCACTCTGTCTGGACCATCCATTTTCCAAGAGAATCGCCAGGTTGACCCGTGCGTCATTCGCCTGGCCACCCTGTCCCCGCCACGATCCCCTCACGATTCAGGTCCGTCTCCTCCTCACCCCTTACATGTTCCTGAACATCCCCTTATCAGCCTAAGTATCTAGAAGATCCACGTCGCTTGACCTTATGGTAAGCACTACTATTCTACAGCCACTCTTCATCTCGATTTGCTGACCATGACGTGACTGGAGCTACGTAGGCGTCAATCCTCCGGCAGATTGTTGCCGGTCCCCGGTTACAACATCCTGAAGCTGGTCTAGACTTGTGCTATGTGACCGATAACAGTAAGCCACCCAATCCTATTATAATACGTTCCCTTCCGCAATACTCCCTCATATTAACCCATTCCCTGCTCCTGCGCACCTGCAGTTATCGCAACCTCCGGTCCCTCCTCCAACTACCCGCAACGCGCCTACAGAAACCCCCTGGACGAGCTCGTCAAATTCCTCGACTCCAAACATGATTCGGACTGGTGCATCTGGGAGTTCCGCGCCGAAGGCACCGGTTATCCCGACTCAGAGGTCTACAATCGCATTCATCACTACCCATGGCCCGATCACCATCCGCCCCCGTTTGCGCTCATCCCCGCCATGACGGGCAGTATGCGCAATTGGATTCATCGACTCGATGAGCCTGACAGCAAAGATGAGAAGGATAGGAAGAAAGATAGGGTTGCGGTCGTTCATTGCAAGGCCGGAAAAGGCCGTAGTGGCACCGTGGCCTGCAGCTACCTGATCAGCCAGGAAGGGTGGAAGGCGAACGACGCGCTGCAGCGATTCACCGAGCGGCGAATGAGAGTCGGGTTCGGTGCTGGGGTGAGCATCCCCAGTCAGCTGCGGTGGGTGGGATACGTGGATCAATGGACGAACCAGATGGGGAAGAAGTATATCGAGCGGCCGGTGGAGATCCTCGAGGTGCATGTATGGGGACTGAGAGACGGAGTCAAGGTCGCGGTGGAGGGATTCGAGGACCACGGGAAGAAAATCAAGAAGTACCATCTCTTCCACCGGAGTGAGCGTACGGTAGTCGACGATGGGAAGTCCAAGACGATGCCCCCAGATACAGTCACGAACGGCCATACAAACGATGACGACATCAAGAATCAGCCCAAATCCGCTGTTACTTTTCCACCGAGAACAGAAGACAGTCCTCACTCATCCACTGACGCTCCCGCGAGAACCGACACTCCTCCGAAACACGTCTCCGCCATAGTCTTCCGTCCCAAGTCCCCCATCACCATCCCCACGTCCGATGTAAACATCGACTTCGAACGACGCAGCAAGGCCGCTTACACAGGCTGGGCCATGGTGACTTCCATCGCGCACGTCTGGTTCAACGCCTACTTCGAAGGCGGCGACCAGCACGACTCCGGCGTCTTCGAAGCCGAATGGGACGCCCTCGACGGCATCAAAGGCACAACACGCAAGGGCGTGAAAGCCTTGGACCGTGTGAAAGTCGTCTGGCGATACGCCAACCAACCAGGCACTTCCCACCCCGACACAGGGCGACCCATTTCCGAGCCGAAGCCCGGCGAACCGATTCCAGAAACTCGGCCACCAGATTGGCACATTCATGGCACTGGCACTGGCTCCAACTCTGGTACTGATAGCCCACGAGACCAAGAAGACGAGAACACACCTCCTCTACCACCATCTAAAGAACTAGAAGCCGACAAGATTTCCGACTCTGAACCAGACAGCAGCTCAACCAAACATAAACATAAAGCCAAACATACTACTCATGACCACGAACACGATCATCCCCTCCTCTCAGACCTCAGCACCGCAGCCGCAACCGCCGTGTCTTCAATACCAGGACTAGGCAAGCAGCTCGGACTCCGCAAACAAACCGACGAAAGCAAAGACGTGAGTCTTGCGGGAAGTAGCGAGGATGAGTCGGGGAGAAGTTCTGCTGCTCCTCCGCAGGCGAAGAAAATTACGAAGAAGGAGTGGTCGTCTGTTGATGAGGGTAAATAATACAGTTGATCTTCTTTCTCGGAGGACTGTTACATACATAGCAGTGCTCTGGTCTGTCTATATTCTCATATGTATATGAAGGAATTGCCATTGGATTAAGGCTGGACAAAGGAGCTATTTGTACATAATACACGATACAGATACACGAATACGAATGTATTGACAGCGAATGACGACCTTCCGACTAATATGGTATTTTCCCAGAATGCGCGCGTGTGTCTGCGTGCTTAATCTGTATTCAGCATAACAACAGCAAGTACCTGGCAGCTACTAGTTCATCCTAGTAGTATTATGATGCTATGAAGGAATACTAACTACGGGGTAATTACGACATCCTTGTTACCAGTAATGACCTAATCTACTTGGGGTATAACGCATCTGCTTTTTCCCATACGAAGCAGTCCGAGTAAGGAAAGAAAGGTAGCATGTTGCAGGGCAGATATTACCATACGCAACAAAGTAACCATATCCTATCATACTGTGATAGTAGCATATCTAGGTAGGGTAATTTATTTACACATAACGCTTTGCTTGATTTGCTTGCTTGCTTGCTCGATAGTTTAAAAAAATGAGAAAAAAAGGAACACACCCAAACTTATTTCAACTCCAAATATCCCCTTATCACAACAAACTCCACAGAATATGCCATATGCCATATTATGTCAATCATCATCTCAGAGACCTATCATCCTACAGCGGCACGAACCCCTCCATACGCTGCCTCGCCTCCCGCTCCTCGCGCCGTAACCGATCATTCTTCTTACGCTCGTACACGGCCCGCACCACGCGCTTGACCTGGTCCTCGCCCTGGGCGAAATTCGCCTTCGCAAGACCGACCACCGAGTCAATCTGTTCCGGGGTGTAGACGAAGTTCCAAGTGGAGAGGAAGTCATCGACGTCTGGGTTGATGGAGCCTGGGTACGGGGTCAGAGGCTTAGCTGGGTCGGAGACGCGGGCTTTGGAAGTATTTTCGGATTGGCGGGCGGGAGTGCGGGATTTGGAGAGGGAAGAGCTGGTGGGGAGCTCGGGCGCGGATGGGTTGGGGAGTAAGGGGAAGTAGACGACGGCGATGCCTGCGTCTGGCCGCATGAGGTGGAAGTCGGATTCGGAGTGGTCGGTGTCTTGCGGGTGGAAGAGGCGCTTGGATGGTGGGGGTTCTTGACCAGAGACCATTTCTTGAGTGGTGCCTACCCAGATGTTGCAGTAGTCGAGGTCCGTGGAGGTGGAGGGGTGGTTTTGGTTCTTGTTCTGTGTCTGATTCTTTGTGGGTGGGATGGTGGTGGTGGTTGTGCTATCTGGGGTGGAGTTGCGGTTGGTGGTAGGGCTGTTGGGTTTGCTCTTGTCCTGGGCTTCGGCCATCTTGTTGGCTAGCTCTTGCTGGGTGATGTTCTGGGCCTGGCGGAGCGCCTCTTCGGTTTGTTTGAGTTGCTCGTCTTCTCTGGGCCAGCCGGCGCCAATTGGCCAGCCCTTGACACCTCGTTGGCGAGCATACCCGTCTACGACGGAGAGCCAGTTCTCTTGTTTGATATCGGCTGAGGCGTCGAAGGCGATGATGACGTCTACGTCTCTGCCGGGCCTGAGGAGCGGGTAGATGGGGAGGTTGTTGCTCATGCCTGCGTCCATGAGACGAAGATGACGGCTTTGGAAGATAGACTCTGGACAGGACGGTGGCAGCTGATCTTTCATGCCGAGCACGTAGTTTGGTATGGTGGCTGGGTCAATCGGGTGAACTCGGACTAGATCCTTCGTCTTGCCTTGGATGAGGGAGTCTATGCCGCTAAGGCCTGTGATGCCTTTGATGACGGGCCGTATCTCCTTGTAGTAGTGAGACAGCGTAGCACAGAAAGCACTGCCCCAGACACCCATCAAAGCGGGAACGCGCAGCTCAGGGATGGGAGAGATTTCCTCAGGTTTAACATTGACTCCACCGTGGAAGTGTCTTCCCAGCGCCCACGTCGGTATTCCCGCGCTGAGCTCCTCGCAGAAGAATTCGTAGGGAGTAAACTCGAACCATTGAAACCATGCCTCGCTCTTTGACTCTTTGATTAACTCTTCTGGCTTTTCTCGTTTCTCGGCGTTCTCTTGATTCTCAAGCACAGGAATTTCATGGCGGACGGCCGTGTAGATGGGAAGTGGATGAGCACCAGAGGCGAGATTGTACCTCTGGTTCGAGAGCTTCAGATCCTTGTCACAGACACCTAATTCTCCCTTGGGCACCAGCAGCCGTGCAGCTAAGAGCATGCCGTATATATCCACCAAGCCGAAATCGGCACCAGGGTCGCCTTTCAGCTTTTCGACCAACCCGCTGAGAAGGTACTTATTCGTGGGAGCATTAGTGAGTAACTTGAGGGCTGCTGGTGGAAATGCCAAATGAACTCCCAGTCTGTTCTTCAGATGGTCGACCATTTTGTTGAAATTACGCCCCGTGATGGACGAATGATACAGAGTCTGCAGCCAGCAACTGCCACTAACGCCAGCAGTATAGGTAACACAATCCCATAGGCCAGCTTCTTGAGTCGCTAAATACGAACCGGTGCCAGCCACAAGGGCACGCAGACCACCACCGGAGCCGCACATGGCGATGATAGGAACATCGTCCGGATGTATGTCATCTTCAGGGATGTCCAGATAAGAGGCCAGCGCCGCGGTTGCGTATTTTTGCCGCTTCTGTCTGTACGCCAATTCTTCATTGCAGAGTGTATCCCCAACACGAACCTTGGCCTTGAGCAGAATCTCGGGGTTGATGTCCGGGTCGTGAGCTTCGTGCCAGATATCGTCGGCAAGGGAGCCAGGCGCCATGGAGAGCTCACGCTGGAGCTTCTGCACTGACAGTGGAAGCAATCGGGTCCAGTCCGGGATGATGTAATTTTTGATGTTATCGAGCTCAATCCAGTCGGGAGTGCCCACAGCCTGCTTTACCCCCTCGAACTTTTGCAGTACATTCGTCCATATCGAGCCTGCATCATGGTGCGGGTCTTCCTTGGAGCCATGGCCCAACGGGCTCCAGTCTGAGCTTCCGGATGAATTATCCGACCGTTTATCAGAGCCCGGGGTTGAGCTTGTTGAGAAGAAGCCTTTTGGGCCGGTCTGCAGCAGTAATTGCTTATTTGACTGGGTTCGAGGCCCCGTGGTATAGAGGAGACCGCCGCCTAAGGCAATCAAGAGGGTGGGAGGAACAGTCCAGCGTAAACGCAGTGCCTTGGCAGCCCCCATGTTGCAATGGGTACCGCGGAGGATTGGGGGGGTGGCGGGAAGCAACATGCAAGTGATAAAGCCATGGCGGCCAGACCACGACGATCGTGGCCGGACTCCATTCTTAAAGCGAAGCTGGAGCTGGAAGACGCGCCGGGAATCTGCCGGAAACATGACGACATGTCACGTGGGGAGCATCAAGGAAATCCTCGGCGCCGCAGACGGGCCGAACTTGCTGGATGGGGATTAGCGCCCCTCTTGCGTCCGGGGGAGATTGAAGGGCCACAAGCTTGCTTCTCGAGCTCCTCTCTCTCGCCTACTAGTATGCTTGCTTCATGAGGCCAGGTGCCTCATCGGCCAGCTGTTCTTCTTGCTGTCCTCTATCTCTTCCCTTCTCCTGTCTGACCGTCCGGGTCAAAGACATGACATCATCTCCTTCCGTCGCGATTGTCTGATTCCGGTTACGCATCCCTGATTGCCTGACACACTAGTGGGACCTGCGCCGATCGAGGGTCGAATCCTCACAGCCATGGTTGCTCCCAGGAACGCCGCCTACGCGGAGGAGAGCGCAGAGGTGGAGGTGTTGTACGCCAACCTCGAGAAGCTCAAGCTCCTTACGAAGAAGATTCAAGGCTCGTTGAATCGTCTGGAAACCGGGGGCAATGTGGTGAAGCATGCGATCGGGCCCATCTACAGCAATACCCAATCGCTACAGATCACCAACAGCAACATAGATAAAGTCAATGAAGCCATTGAGCGCCTCCGCCAGCCTCTGGATGCCAAGGGCAAGGAAGAAGGAATTATACGATCAAGGTAGGCAGCATCTTCCTGGGATCGGGCTAATTTAGGGAATGTTTGGCTGACATCCGTCCAGCCCCCAGACCGTCGGTTTGTCGCAATACCTCTCTGCTGTGAAGCGCGTGGAAAAGGCCTTGGTCGACCTCAACTCAACCAATCTGCGATCGAACCAGAAAGCTATTTCCGAATTTACTTCATTGCTGGTGCTTGGAAACTCCCAGCTCCAGGACATGCTCCGCGGCACTTTGAGCGGTTACGTTAATCCGATCGAACCATTACACTACCTAACAAAAGGTTGGTGTCCACTACACAACTCTCACTCGGATATAGATACTAATGACTTGCGCCTCGCTCTAGAACTCTCATTCCCCTCGCTACCTGATGAGACCGTCGCGGAGTTGGGTCCAGTATGTTCGGCTATCGGCTCTGCAGCGAGCTATGGGCCGCAGCGGGGTGATGGCGGAAACCCCGCCCTCAAAATCTACGCCGATATTCGTGGACCATATATCACATCGAGCTTGCAGAACCTGGCCATAGCATCTCTCAATACTGTCAAACGACGGGCTGCCGACGGCCCCTACAAGCAAGGCACCAACGGTATCGGAATCTATTCCAACGCTTTAGAAAGCTTTATCTATGCAGAACATGATATCCTCGTACGCGTCTTTACCGGGGATCAACGGGGGCTGGCTCTGCAAGCAACTTGTCGCTCCGCTTTGACCGAATACGCGCAAACCTTGCGCGAGCTCAACCAGTACATCAGAGCAAACCTCATGACGGATTGCTTTTTAGCATTCGAGATCATCGAGATTGTTACTGCCATGTCGTACCGTGTGGAGTCGAAAACAGGCGAGTTGAAAAGCCTTTTCATCGAGGCTCTTAGGCCGGTTCGGGAGACGGCAAAATCGTCGCTTTCGGAGCTATTGGAGGAGACAAAACGCAAGGCTGCAGGGATTGCCATGCTCCCGCCAGATGGCGGGTCTGTTCCCCTTGTCAATGAAGTCATGAGTTCCCTTACTACCCTGACAGGCTATTCGGGGCCGCTCGCATCGATCTTGACATCCCTGGGAGATGGAAATTGGCGGTCCACGACCAATGCAGCGCCCACGGCGCCCTTGGATGTCAGCCCGGACAGCATGACGCTTTTATCGCACTTCATCCTCGATATGATTGAAGCTCTCATGATTGCTCTGGAAGCTCGAGGCCGAGCGCTTCACCGCTCAAAGGCAGTCCAGGGTGTTTTCTTGTCCAACGTATTCTGTACGGTTGATCGCTCCATACGGCAGAGTTCTGAGTTAGCCCGATACCTTGGCTCTCCCGACAGCATTGCACGAATCGATACTTTTCGGAAACGGGCCACTTCGACTTATCTCGATGCATGGAAAGAAACGTCCCACTATCTTCTGGACGTGCAGTATACCTCTCGGGGCTCTGGTGGGTCAGCACGACCGGCGTCTGGAGGCGTTGTCGACTCCGCTGCCATTGTTAAATCACTCTCCTCTAAAGACAAGGACGCCATCAAAGACAAGTTCAAGGCGTTCAATGCTAGCTTCGACGAATTGGTGGCCCGTCACAAGGCACTGTATATGGAGCGGGAGGTCCGCGGGGTGCTCGCCCGGGAGGTCCAGGCTGTTCTCGAGCCACTCTATGCACGATTCTGGGACCGCTATCATGAGATCGACAAGGGGCGAGGCAAATATGTCAAATACGACAAAGGCAGCCTGTCGGCTCAATTGGCAGCGCTTACATGAGGATCGACATCTTAGATATATACCTACCTACCTTACCTTCTTATATTCATAATGTGATAATAGTGAGATTTGATGTGTGTGTGTAAATCTTTCCCCCACGTTTGGGGCCATCATGTGATGATAAGCCATTCCGGCGATAACGTGACCGATAAGCGGAGACCCCGCCGTGTTCATCCACTCCACTAGAAATTTGCTGCCATCCCGCACAACTTTCGCCTCGCCCCTCCTCCGCCTTTCCTCCTTTTTCTCTTCCCTCAATTCCTTCTGCAATCCTCTCAATTCCTCACGGCCAAGATGTCTGCCAGTAACGATGTCTACCAGACTCCTCTCAACTCGCGCTACTCCAGTAAGTCTCTCGGATTTACCGCTGGCGATCTCGTGCCCTCATAGTGCGATATCGGACTAACATGACTCCAATCTTCAGGCGACGAGATGAAGTATCTCTTCTCTCCCAGAAACCGTTTCTCTACCTGGAGACAGCTGTGGCTCTGGCTTGCCGAGGCTGAGAAAGGTGATTTATACTGTCCTCTGTGACGCTTTTGTCACCCCGCTCCCGCTTGCCCGACTAACCCGTACAGAGCTCGGTTTGCCGATCTCCGACGAGGCCATTGAGCAGATGAAGGCTCACCTCACCATTCAGGACGACGAATTCAAGGTTGCCGCTGAGGAGGAGAAGCGCCGTAGACACGATGTCATGGCTCACGTCCATGCCTATGGTCAGGTCGCTCCTGCCGCTGCCGGAATCATCCACTGGGGCGCCACCTCCTGCTACTGCACCGACAACGCAGACCTGATCTTCCTCCGTGACGGACTCGATATCCTTATCCCCAAGCTTGCTGTTGTCATTGACAAGCTGTCTGCCTTCGCTAAGCAGTACAAGGACCTGCCCTGCCTGGGCTTCACCCACGGACAGCCCGCTCAGCTTGTTACCGTCGGAAAGCGTGCCTCCCTGTGGATCCAGGACTTGCTCATGGACCTGAAGAACCTCGAGCGGGCTCGCGATGATCTGCGCTTCCGTGGTGTCAAGGGTACCACCGGTACTCAGGCCTCTTTCCTCCAGATCTTCGAGGGCAACCATGAGAAGGTTGAGCAGCTGGATGAGCTGGTCACCGAGAAGGCTGGTTTCAAGTCTGCGTACATCATTTCCGCCCAGACCTACTCCCGTAAGATTGATGTTGATGTTGGCAATGCCCTTGGCTCTTTCGGCTCGACCTGCGAGCGCATTGGCATTGACATTCGTCACTTGGCCATGCTGAAGGAGGTCGAGGAACCTTTCGAGAAGGACCAGATTGGTAGCAGTGCTATGGTGAGAGAAAAATTCAAGGAACCAATGAGAGCGACAGGAAATACTAACGTGGTTGGTCTGTGCAGGCTTACAAGCGTAACCCCATGCGGTCCGAGCGTCTGTGCTCCCTCGGAAGACACCTTCAGAACCTCCCCAAGGATGCTCTGGACACCTACTCCGCCCAGTGGTTCGAACGCTCTCTCGTAAGTTTGCGAGACGCTCCCCGTTATTAGACAGACTTCAACTAACGGCATGAACAGGATGACAGTGCTATCCGCCGTATCAGCATCCCCGAACTCTTCCTTTCCGCCGATGCCTGTCTCATCCTTCTGAGTGAGTTTTCAAACCTCTTTCCCAATCATCTCTCCCGATGCTGACAACGATTAGACAACGTCACCTCCGGCTTTGTTGTCTACCCCGAAGTTATCAGACGCCATGTCAACGATGAGCTGCCCTTCATGGCCACGTAAGTACCCAGTGCCTTCATCTCTGCATCGTAACATTTGCTAACTCAAAGACCACCTACAGTGAGAACGTAAGCCTTCCGCGAGCAGAACCGTCCCTGTCAATAATACTAACCATAACATAATAGATCATCATGGCCTGTGTGAAGAAGGGTCTGTCCCGTCAGGACGCCCACGAGGAAATCCGTACGTCGCGCGGCCCCCAAATCAAGTCCCACATCAGCTAGCCCTAACCTAATAACTTCTTGCGCTACAACAGGTGTCCTCTCCCACCAAGCCGCCGACAACGTCAAGAAGCTCGGCTTGAACAACGACCTGCTCGACCGTGTCCGTCGCACTGCTTTCTTCGCCCCCATCCTGGATGAGCTTGACGCTCTCCTCGACCCCAGCACCTTCGTCGGCCGTGCTCCCCAGCAGGTTGAGAAATTCCTCTCCACCGAAGTGAAGGAGGCTCTCAAGCCCTACGAGGCCCAGGTCGCCAAGGCCGAGACCTCTGCTCTCTACGTATAGTTTCTTCCGCACGCGCGCACATATAAACACGTCATGGAGTTATACCGAGCGGGCAGGCCGGACAGGAGCGAATTGGCATTTCCCCCCCTACAATCTCTCCATACACAAAAGTGAAACTAGTCATGCGACATGCCAGCGAAGTCTGTTCCAAGTACCTTGATTTGTCCAAAACGGAAGAAAGCCGAAAAGCTGTTCCAGCAGATTCCAGCAGTCTAAAAGACCATGTGTATAGATAATAATTGATGAAATGATACGAGATGTTAATAATGCACGTTGAATAAATATTCTGCTAGTCGGTCTGTCCGTATTTTACCATCTTAAGTGGCGTTACACGAAGTACCTGTAGCGGAGAGATACACACTATATACCCATTGTACTATCCGTCCTTATCGGAAGCCTAGTAGACGCAGTGACAGGGAAGTTGCTGCTGCAGCCCCGACGGCCCAACCAGTCGGCTGTGGTAAAACAAAGTTTGGCAGAACTCAAAACTGTGGGGAGAAATCTAATGCAACATTTCACTCACGCCTCAGGCTGTATTGAGAGACACCGTATGCAAACCTATTTAATAGTGGACTACGGCATTGTAGATCTTTCCGGTTGCGGGCACCACTATGTATGACCAGTCAGCTGTTTGTCGCTCAACTATCTAGGGTTCTATAACTTCAGTGCGAATGTATTGTGGCTGGTTCAATCGAGAAAACATAAGACACAGGAAATAGTGTTAAAAAAAATTCAAGAACGCCATGGCCATTTAATACCAAACAAACAGACGTGGTGTGGATGAAGCTGCGGGTTACATGGAACAAGATAGATGAATAGATGGGTAGAAGAAAAGGCAGTGAATAGATATGCGATGCACGATATAGTAATGAAGAACGAAGAAAAGGGAAAGAAAATGAAAAGGAAAATGAAGAAGATAGGAAAAGAAATGACAAAACGCCCATCCCATCCACCAGAAGCAATCTTTCTCTCAGAGAGTACATCAAATGGGTCGTCAATGTTCGACAGATAAGACACTATAGGACAAGAAAAGCAGCGAAGAACAGAAACACTGTCGATCACTGTTTAGATGAGAATACCTAGGGGTGATTTGGGTTAAATGGAGCGCACGCTTTAGTGAAATCCAATACCGTAATTACTTGCGAAAGGAACCTTTAAACGGCTGGCATAGTGCCGCTCAGTCATCAATTCAAAGCGCAGCCAGCCAGTTGACAACCTAAGGAGCTTGTTATTGAGAGCGCTTAGCGGCAAAATCAGCAGAGGGTTACTCACCATCATCGCCTGTATCAAAGCCACCTTCTCTCCGTAGTGCTTACCATCCCAGCTATCTGCTTGAAGGGTCGCATTGTACATACCCAGGGCATCCAAGCCTCTGTTGCGGGCTTCTTGGGCGGCGTCTTGGGAGTACTGCCAGCTGGAAGCGTGGATGTTGTCCCTCGAGTCCTTTTGAAGCCCAGGAGCTGTCGGACCTACCCAGAGAAAAGGAGTGTTCCGTCCACTGGCCTGGGCCAGCGTGAGCCATTCATCCATGCTGCTTTTAGCTGTAGACAAGGAATAGGATGTGGAAAGGGAAAGACTCAGGATCACGGGAACGGGTCTGTTTCGGCCGACTCCTCGGGCGACCATTCGACGAAATTTTTCAATCACACCCCTTGGGGCAGGTGAGCTGGATGTAGCGAGGAAGGCATGAGGAATACCTGAGAGCACAGAAGGGGTCAGTAACCCAGCCCAATTGTGAGCATTGATGGTGGCTAGGACGCTGGGGGTGCTTACGAGATGAACAAGTGTAAGGCCTGCGAGTGGCACTGCTGCCTTCTTGCGCGTATACCTCGTCACTTGAAGTGATCCGCAGGGGTAGGCACAAGCTACTGGTGAACTGGGATTCACATCGGCAATCGTGACCATGTCCTTTGCTTATCTCCCACTCTCGCAGGGATCCAGTGGCCAGGTCCTCCCGCAGGAGAATGTTGAACCCTGCATAAGTATCGGCCAAGGTATCATCACCCACGAAGACGATTCCATCGAATTTCCGAAGAATGTCGCACACTTCGGCGCTAGTGAACCAACGATAAGAGCATCCTGGAGGGGGCGGTCAGTTTGACTGTCAGGAAAGCAGCTGTTGTCCCTCTGGGGCCCCTCCGAGAAGCCGAAGTGTCCGATACGAGGAGCGAAACAATCGATGTGGCACTTGCCTTGAGAGGTATACGCAGCGTCAAAGCCGTGACGCCCACCATTGCTCATGGCGTTGAGCAGGGCATCACGAGATTGGCAGTATGGATTGCCTGGAGCACGTTCGCCATCACCGGGTTGAGGGGGGCTGAAGAGGGACAGGGAAGAAATGTCGCACTCTTGACGACCCACATAGGGAGCCAGCAAACTATGTACAAGACGGGGCCAGATGAGTAATTTGGGTCATGGACCAGGAAACGATGAGGTCAACCAAGGAGGACAAAAAGAAAACAAGGAAATTGGCAGGGAGAAGGCATCCAGGGACTTACTCATTCGCGTCTTTGGAGGTAACAGGCTGTCTGGAGGAGGCGTAGAAGGGGTAGTAGAAGACATCCCGGATCAGCCAGACGATATAAAAGACACCCAACACCCACAGACAAGCCATCAACTTGTACGTGGAGGATCGCCAGGTGACCCTACGAATCAAGCGTCGACCGTTGGGCCCTTCGATCGGGCCGCGTCGCTGTGGAGCATTGCTTTGCTGCATCCCGGAGAAAGGATAGGCAAGAGCTTCGTTCATAGTAGATGAGAGACCCAATGATTCGCTGTGAGAAGCACGACGGCGAGACATATTGGGTTTGTTTACATGAACATGCAGCTGGAGGGGTAGTACAAGGGGGGGGAAGGAAAGAGAGTCAGGACAGATGCATCTGCTGAAGTACCAGAAGCTCTTGTTTGCTTAGGTGACTGACTGCTCAGGACCAGTCCAGTCACAGTCCAAGCTGAGGTTTCGGATTAGGCAGGATTCCCAGCCAACGTAATGGGGCCAGCCAGGGAAAGCACCCCGAAGGGGGACAAATAGAATAGTAGAGAGTATCGGAGCAGGAAGGGAGGGGGTTGACTTGTGTAGTTTGAGGCCGGAGACAGGCCGTCTTGTCTGGCACGACTCGCCCGAATCGGTGATCAAAGAGGCACGTAGATGTGATGGTGGTGATGGTGATGATGATGATGGAGATAGAAGCAATAGTAAGGTATCGGGGTTGGAGACTCTGAGCTGCTAATTTCCTGAAGCAGGAAACAAACAATCACCACCCAAGAAGAGAAGGAGGGGGTCAGATGGAGGGGGGAGTAGCTGAAGAGTGGAGGGAGGCCTTTAGATGTCTCCTTCCGATTGGGATGATATTATTCCCAAGAATTGGTGCCTCTCTCACTCTCTCCTCTTCTCTTTCCTTGCTCTCTTCTCTCTTTGTTTCGATTCTCTTCTTCTTTTCTCTCCTAAAGTCCTAGCTGGACGTGTGTCGTCCTCGCCCTGCCACCTGAGATTTCCTTCAGTCAAAGTCGACGGTTGCCCCAAATCCGTTCCACCAAGTGGCCTCTCGTTCTTTCCTTTTTGAGCAGGTTTCTACTTCCCACCCAGTCTTGTTCTGTTGGTTTGACTGGTTTGTTTCACGCTATATTATTTCCTTTTTTTCCCCTCTTCTGATTTTTTTTTTTTTTTTTTTTTTTTTTTTTTTTTTTTTTTTTTTTTTTTTTTTTTTTTTTTCCTTGTCTGTTTGGTCTCCTCTGTCTTGGCTCCAAAGTGATCCTCTTTTTTCCCCCTGAATATTAACCAATACGAAGGCTCCAATGACAGGACCACACACGCACACACAATGGGATCAACAGAGTGACAGAAATATAACCTAGAAGGCAATGGAGGGGCAAGTAGTAATTATGAAGGAGGGGCTAATTGACTGGTTCCGGGCCAGTGAAGGGCAGAGATTCGGCTTCACCAGCATGAGCGCAAAAAAGGCAATGCTGGGAAGGTTTGCGGATCCTCTCTATCGGGTTCCTGCCAATGAGTGAGTGCACAGCAACAACCCAGCCAGATAGTCTGGTAAACGCCTTCTCCAGTGCAATCGGGAAGATTAACAATAAGAATTGCCAAAGGGAAAAAGAAATATGAGATCCAAAAAGGAAAAAGCCAACTAATCATCAAAATCTATGAAGTTAAAAAAAATGGAAAATGAAAAGAAAATCAGAAATCATAGACCCCAGGAGACGAGGAAGTGAAGAAGAACCCCAGAATACACACAAAAAAAAAAAAAAAAACAAAGGCCATAAATAAATACTAATAATGAAATATCATTAATAAAAAAGGCATGACGAGGGTTTTTGATGTTCGTGCAATGCCGGTTTGCATCATTTTTCTTTCGCACCCCAATTTTTTTTTGTTCCTTTTGGGTTAGAACAATAAACCCACAGGGTAACGGAAATAAAAAACGAACAACTAAAAACCGACAAGTGCCCTCAATCAAAGCCGCTGGAATAAAATCCTGGGACAGTCATCCTTCCACTGCATGTAAACAAACTGGTCGATGGATCCATTTTCCCCCCTCCTTCTCGTCCCGATCCATCAGTCCACAACCGGTATGAGCTATAGCCATCATCATAACACATAAGAATGGCAACAAACCCACTCCCGCACACAAATAATAATAAGCCTCGGGGGAAGAAATTGGTCCGTGACATCAAATCGGACACTTTTCACTCACCTATTATGGAAAAGTTTGCCCCTCTAATCGTAATCACTGCGTTTCCCGACCACTTCGGGATCTTGGACAGATCACACAATCGGTAAAAATGAATAAAAGAAATAAAAAACAAAATAAATAAATATATAAGAAGCAGTATAGTAATATATATATCAGAAAAAGTTGAGCCCAAGATAAGGTGGTGAGACCAACAACAAATTCTGAAACCAAAACACAAATAACAAAAAATCGGTATCCCCAGAAGAAGTCCCGTGGAAAGAGAAACTCAGGGTCAACCCAAGAGCTGCCGGTGCTTCCTCGGCGATTTTAAAACGGTCAACTCACACCGCACGGTGAGATGAGGGCCAGTCAGATAACCTGACGGGCAGATACTCGAGGTGACAACTAGTTCTCCGGTTGGTGGGCCAGACAGGTGTCAAAAAAGTTAACGAGACTCCACTGTTCAAGAAGGTTTCGGGCGGAAAGGACATGCGAAGAATTGAATGTGAGACCAGAGGGACGCCAGCTGGAGTTAACTGAACTATGGCCCCGGGATTGCAGCTAAGGGGTGAGAGAGCCCCCTTTAGGGGACGAACAAGGGGCCTTACTTCCAGCCAGTCCATGGTCACCTTTCATGACAGGGGGGGGTTGTGGGTGGAAGGGTGGAAGGGTGTGGGTTGTAGACGGGGGGTTGTGGAAAATCGGGCTCCATCTCTCGCAGACTCAACTCACTTTTCTTCTTCTTTGAAAGTGATAGAGCAGAAATGACAGAAGATCATGACGACGCAATGATGAGGAAGGAGTCACCACCTGCCTGAAAACCTTGGGTTGGGCATCCGTTCCATGCCTTTTCTTTCAACTTTCCTTTTTATTATTTTTTTTCCTCCCAAATTTTTACTGTTTTGTATTCTCTCTTTTCTTGTCTGCTCCGCCTCTTTCCAGCCCTATGCAGCGGTTTGGGGGTGATAGGTGTTCTCTCACCGCGTCGCGTCGTATCTCATCCTCCCTCATCTTTATCAGAACGCGGCCCAGCCTGATTGGCTCTCACCGTCAGTAGACTACCCATCGGAGATGCACCACGAGGATCTTCGCTGCTGCGGCCGTCGTTTAAATATTCCACCTGGGTCTTTTTGCTTTTTCCGCTGTTGTGTCCAGTGACTCAATTCCTAGTGGTGATGAACCAACCCAAGTACAAAAGCCACGATGTGGCTGTCCAGGGACATTGTTGCCCAGAACTTTCTTCGCTTTTCGTATGCAGGGACAATACGGAATACTAGGCCACGAGCATACGTCCACAACAATACATTTGATAGTCTTTTCGTGTCGTGTCATAAGAGGGGTGTTTCTCTTCTCCCACATCTGCCCTTCTTGTTTCCCCTCTTTGGATTCATTGTTTCTAGTTCAGCTTCCCGTTAGTGCTGTTGGCCATCAACATGGCAGGTGACTAGAGTTCTTTTCATCCTGACCGTTTGGGGAGTGGTCACGAGGCCGATCAAAAAAAACAAGCGATAAACTCCAAAAGAATCACCCATTGTCCGAAACAGACTACTAATCGGGAGCCGGTGTAACACCGTATACATAAGCTTGTTGAGAACCTCTGAAGAACCACGGGTCACTGGGGACACCCGCGGGAAGGGGTGAACCTAATCAGGTGTACCTTGACAAAAGCAGCGAGCTGCGTTTTTGAAGAGGGAGGGAAAGACAAAGAAGCAAAGCTGAGACTGACTAGGAACCAGGGACTCTGGACTATTACTCCGTACATCTTGCTGGATAGGTTCTGGCCAGTCGGAGTGTGCGCGTGCCCCGGATTCGAACCAGCCTCGGACGAAGGGGAGATCCGGAGAAAGGTTCAGCTTGACACCGGCAATCCCGTGCGCGTCGACCTATTGCTATGGACTACAGCTATCTACTAACTATTTCCTGACTAGTCAATAGTTAACCTAACACTACAGTACCGGAAGATATCAGCTTAAGTAAGATGGAGGTGCATACAATGCCACCCACAGACACAGTCGGCTGAAAGGGTCTACGCGATGAGGCAAGAGGGGAGGTAACTGACAATGGCCAGCCACGACCAATTTCCTCCGTAGATGGGGCAATACAGATCTGCGAGGGTAGCAGCAGCAGCGCAGGCGATTCACGGAGTATTTGAGCCCGGACGGTTCCTGCTTTTCCCTATGACCGGGTGGTGCGATGGGCAAGATCCAAAGAGTGGCTCCGAATCGGCAGAGGAAATAGCAACATCCTCGGCCAAGCACGGGATCGCAGACGGCAACTGCCCCCCACCAGCGCACGTGACCAGTGACTCCCCGGGAATCGCGAGTCTCCGCAGCAGCCCATCCAAAAAGAGTCATCCTCCACCGGTCGCTCCTGCCCACTTCCCTCCGCCCGTGCTCTCTTTCCTTTTTCTCTCTTTTCCCCAAACTAAAGATCTGGACCTTCTTGGCTGTTGTTGTGATTGTTGTTTGCTATCCATATTACCCCGTGGAGGCTCACCCCCCCGGTGTTTGATCCCCTTATATATCTCTCTGTCTCTTGCCCGCCGAGTTCCTAGTTTCTCTGCGAGGCACCATTCCGGGGATCTTCATACCGCCCGCCGTTCCGAGCTCGTCTGCGAGCGGAGGTGTCCCTCAACCTCGGTAGTCCTTCTCCCACTTCCCACTCTCCTCGACTGTCACAATTGACTGACCAAGTATTCTACCAGCTGCTCTCGATCATTTGGAGCACTTGTGGAATTCATATTGGTTGTATCGAGTGCTATTCCAGGCCGTCTGGCCTGATCCTCGCGTTGACATCATGTGGAAGCCGTCGGAGAGCCTGATGAACACCATCAGACATTATGCCAGCTTCCCTGCAACTGGTGTCTCTCTCCGGCAGATGGTGCAGTTTGGAGATAGACCCTCCACAGGTAAGTCTTCTTCTTCTCAATCGGAAGCCCTCTCGCTCTTCCAACTCCTCGAGTCGAGTGACCACCGCCCGCTAACCTCGTGATCTTCTTCCGCACCAGGCACCCTCTTTCGCGCCTCACAATTCCTTTCCGAAGAACTCCCAATACGCCTCGCTCATCGTGTTCAGGATCTTGGAGAACTTCCAGATGGACTCAGTGAAATGCCATCTATCAAGAAGGTCCAGGACTGGTACGCACAGTCGTTCGAGGTATGACTCATACTCGCGGGAGTTGGTTCTCGGGTGGATGACTGACATGTGATAATGTAGGAAATCATTAACCTCCCCCGACCTACTCTGACCCAGGAAGTCAAGACTCGTCTGCTTCGTCCGGGGAGGCTCAACGGAGGCACTTCGAGGATCCTCTCCGAAACAACCCAGAACCCTAGCATCCGTGAAGGACAATATCGGTCGTCTCCCTCGTCCCTGTTGAATGGCAACGGCAACGGTAAAGGCGCCGCCGTGGGCCGAAGATACTATGCTCCATCTGACGACCACGGAGATTGGCCGCCAGAACTGAATGATTACAATGAACGCTTCGCCAAGACTTTGCAGCACATCAAGCGGAGACACGACAGTGTTGTAACTACCGTGGCTCAAGGTATTCTTGAATGGAAACGAAAGCGTCAACGTCTGCAGATTGATTCCACCGTCCAGTCCTTCCTCGATCGGTTCTACATGTCTCGGATTGGTATACGAATGTTGATTGGTCAACACATCGCCTTAACAGAACAAACGCATGTGCGACAACCAAACTATGTCGGTATCATTTGTACGAAAACCAATGTGCGCGAGGTGGCCCTCGAGGCTATCGACAACGCTCGCTTCGTTTGTGAGGATTACTATGGCCTGTTTGATGCTCCCAAAGTGCAACTTGTCTGCAAGGACGATCTGAACTTCATGTATGTTCCGGGTCACTTGTCCCATATGCTCTTTGAAACCTTGAAGAACTCCCTGCGTGCTGTCGTGGAAGCCCACGGCGCAGACAAGGAAGCCTTCCCGGTCACCAAGGTCATCATCGCAGAGGGCAAAGAAGACATTACCATCAAGATTTCCGATGAAGGTGGTGGCATCCCCCGTTCCGCCATCCCCTTGGTCTGGACGTATATGTACACTACCGTAGAGCAAACTCCTAGCCTGGATCCCGATTTTGACAAGAGTGACTTCAAGGCTCCCATGGCTGGCTTTGGGTACGGTCTGCCAATTAGCCGACTGTATGCTCGCTACTTTGGTGGCGATCTGAAGCTGATCAGTATGGAAGGGTGAGTGCCAAGTTCCCGCGCCGGCATTATTGTGAACGAATCAAGGCCACTAACCAGACACTAGGTATGGCACGGACGTCTATCTCCATCTTAACCGACTCTCTTCGAGCTCGGAGCCCCTGCAATGACAATTACCAGTCATGAGGGATGGTCGCGTCCGGTTCTCCACTTCCCACCGACTGCATCCTTTCTACACGGAACCGGATCCGCCACCATCCCAAGGATTGACGCCGATGAATATTCAAAGCGCGCTTATGCGCAATCGGGAAGTTTCCGAACGCAAGCAAGTTGGAGATGCAGCAATCCTGCTCAACGCTGAGACGCGTGGATAAGGTAGCTGCAATTTGCTTGGCGCTTACCCTCGCCCAGTCGACATGCTCAAGCCGACGCACTAGACTGGGGTCATAGTGGGGACAGAACTTCTAGAGAACTATACGCCACGAAACCTTGTCATACCATGGCTCAGCATGTGACGTGGTCGGCCCCCTTGCAGGCCTTGTGGGTGGAAAGGTGCTACTACCATTTTGAAATTTGTTGAAAAGTGAAGTGCTGGCATCCCCCATGTGTTTTGGGAGGATATATTGAGATTCAGGCCGAATAATGGTCTACTAGATACCCTTTTGGTACGATGGATCCGCATTGGAAGACACAGACGCTCATGCATTGATTGAGTCGTATTTTGGAGATCTATCTATACACCACTATAGATGATTGGGCGCCTGTGTCTGTATTCTTCCTTGGACCGCCATCTTTTGTTGCTTGTTTGCTTGCCCTTATTTATTGTTACTGATTATCTTGCACGTTATGCATGAGTTGCAACCCTCCTTGTATAGTATGTTTTATCACGGATTGACGGAATATGGTATGGTATGGTTTGGATAGGATTTGTATGTACACAAACGCAGCGCTGCTGAATCATTGAATTATTGTTGAATATACAGACAGACCCAATATCTGTAAGAAAAGAAAAGCTTAGCATCTAGTCAGTACGTACTACTACTATAACCCCTCAAAACCCCCTCCTTCTCTCCCTCTCCCAATATGACGCCGACTGCTGCAAACCCCTGCCCCCTCTACCCCCCCTCCCCACCCGATCCGGCGTCCCCATCCTCCCCTTCATCTTCGATGCCGACGCAGACCCAGACCCAGAAATAGACCCCGACCCCACCGACGCCGGCGACGACTGCATCCCACCAGCACCAGCACTTACCGATCCCCCTCGTCCCGCCCGCTCCATCGGCCTCCTCCACCCCGCATCATCCGTCTCATGCACATCCACCACCTGACGCGGCACAATCATCGCAACCGTCGACGAAGAAGCAATACTGCTCGTACTGGGATGCTGCACCGTGAACCGGTCTGCGCGGATCGAGGCCGCGGATTCGGGGTCCTCCGGGGCAAGAAGACGGGATAGGAAGCGGCGGCGGGTTTGCGGGAGGGTCTGTACATTAGACATTGTCCATGTTAGTAGTCTTGGTGTTGTTGGAGGGAGGTACCGGGGGAGGGTGGGATAGTCTCACCTCCTGATGCGCCAACGCCTGAATAGTAAGTAATTCCCTATCTAAGAGGACGCATAACGCGGCGTGTCGGTCTTCGCGGAGTCGAGTGCGTATTTGGCGTTCTTGATCTAGGGTTGTTTGGTAGAGAGTTGGGCCGAGGTGGGGGGTGGGGGTTGTTGGGTATGCTGTTCCCAGGGTTAAGTTGTTAGTGGTTGTCGTTTTTTTCTTGTTTTTCATCGCGTGGTTTGGATGGTGGTAGGATTAAGGCGATTGCGGGGTGCTGTGCTGCATATTAGGGGAAGAGGGGGGAAAACTTACTATACCCCATTATACCCGAGTGAGGCCGTGATGATTGTAATGAGTACTCTACTTGCATGTCGTCGTCGTCATCGTCATCGTCGAGATCGCGATCTAATGAGTCTTGGTCGTCTTCGACTCCTTCGATGTAGATCTGTTCCGGGTAGTCGCTTTCGACTTCTTCGTCCTCCTCGTCGTCGGCGATCACGATGGGATCTTGTTGGCGACGGCCGCGGTTGGGAGGGGGGATGTTGGGATTGAACATTGTTTTTTATTTCTTTTTCTCTTCTTTGGTGAGTTGAGGGACTGGTGGTGGTAATTGAGGTGTGCGGAGTATGTATGTGTGTGGTATATGCGCAGAGTGGGTATTGTTCAAGTCGCTTTCTTTAGCATGTGATTATGCTTTGATGCGTGCTGATAGGAATCACGGGGGGATGATTGATGACGGTTGAACATGTAAGCAAAGTCGCATAGATGTAGAAAGTGCAGAAAGTATGCTGGTATGCTGATAGACAGAATGGATTGTGCTGTGTGCTGTGTGATTCGTGCTCAAAGTATTCGGTAGAGCGACACGAGCTCCGCAGCGTGCATACACTGTACAGGTCGAGCTTCCGAGCAGATCAGACGATATGAGCGAACCGAAGGTGACAGAAGCTGCACAAATGGCAATTTGTAATAGAAGTAGTGTTCAACCCCGTCCGGCAGGATCAGACAAGTCAAAACTCCCGTCACGCTGGGGTTGCAAAAAGAACTGGCGCGAAGCTGTTGAAGAGAGAGAGGAAAGAGTGGAGAGGATGACGATGGCGGAGAAGGGATGGGAGTAGCGCGCGGCTTAGTCACGGGGCTGCCCTACATGGCGGGTTGACAGGTCACTTTTACGAACCGCTTCACTGCGAGGGATACTATCAGTCATGATCAGATGGTTCATTGGTATTCACTTCTATCAAGTATCTCTATCTGCTCGACCATTACTCACTCAATGCTCGAACAATCCACTTCCATCCCACGTTGCCTGCCTCCCAATCACTCAAAATAATTCTCCAATCCTGACAAAGCCACTACACTTTCAAGCTAAAAGCACAAACCATCCCAGCACCACATGGCAACCGGGTAAATGCGAAGAAATCTGCATAGATTACAAGTGAAGATAAAGATGCGATATGTCAGACCCCAAACCACCAGCTCGAAGGACGAAAAGACGCCGTCAACGCCAAAGGATAATGCCGCTAAAATGACTCGCAAGCGCCTATGACCGGCACCATGGGCATGCCAGTAAGCCGTGCGGTGTTTGTATCATGAAGACCGGCTGAAACTGATCTGGTATTTCCAGCAACGCTAGGTAATGCTCGAAGATCGAATCCCGCGTTCCGTCGAAAGAATTAGCACCCGTGCATTAATGAGTTCGTGGGCCAGTCGTAGCCGGCTTCATCCCTGCTATGCATTAGAAAACCCTGTGCTGCAAAGTCCAGAGGACGGATACACATACCATGTTGTTACGTTGTTGTTATTGTACGCTTCTGCGTGGCTGGCAATATACTCGGTCGTCTCATAGCCTGGTGGATCGCAGGTGACACTGATGTTGTCCGGATCCTGGTATATGCGGATATAATCAAATCTCATAATCCCAGGCATCAAGTCGCGGATTGTGGCATTTATTGGAGCGAAACTCCATGCCATACCCAGGTTCATAACTATCGACATCGGCTCCATGGGAATCATTCGCTGTCCAACGTTGCCGTTAGGACCAATAGCTCGCCCGTCTAGGGTCCAGGTCTTATCCTGGCCCACGAACCAGGTCACGTTGCCTACCGCACCCGGGGTATACTCGAACGCATATACCTGGTACTCGGTCCCATTATACCAGCGATTGTTGAGGTTAGTCAGGCCAGACATAGCCTGCTGATACGGCCCGCCTCGATAGGAGTTGATCTCGGTGATACGAGGGTCGTACACGGCAGTGTAATCTGCAGATTGTTAGATCAGGGATTGCCAGGCGCATGCTTGTCAGCAACGTCAGTCACCTACCGTAGTCAGGCATGTACCAGATGTCGAATGGCGCCATCTGTAAACTCTGGGACGCGGTTCCGATGTATGCGTTTGGGTTGTTGTTCAGAGGCCCTACACTGGCCTCGATCACGTCGATTTCTGGGGCGCCGCGGGACTTGCCCGGGGTGGGATGATCGGCACCTTCGCAAGTGCACGCCGGTAGACGCATGCCGGGAAGGAAATTGATACCATCTGGAGAACTTTGGTTAGGCGTAATGCCTGCGTCGCATCCGTCCCAGTAGCTGTATGGCCACGTGCCATCCGTGGTCGCAGCATAGCCCGGGCGGCCTAGGTTGCCCATCGCCCAGAACCCAGGCCAAAATCCAGATACATCCCCAGCTCCGGGTAGGGAGATACTGGCTTCCAAGCGTCCACCGGAGAAGCACAGCTTATTCCAGCTTTGCACCATTCCCGAGCGGTAGCCAAGCTCATGGTTTGTAAACGCATCGAAGCGAATCTCCAACGATCCATCTTTCGTCGTGACCGCATCCGGGTCATACCACTGTCAATCGGTTAGTCATGATATATTGATGAAATACGATATCAGTACTAGCCTCTAGGTCCTGCGTCACACCATACCAGAAATTCATGGCCTGATAATAGGCGTCATCCCCCTCATAAAATGTTCGGCCAGGGGTCTCAAATTCGTCGGAAAACTGCTGGCGGGTCAATGACCATTCACTGTTGTAGCACACAGTATCTTCTCCCAGTACTCACTACTAACTGCCATTCCTTGCCATCCGCTGTCTTCTTTGTCATTGCCGATTCAGGCGTGTCCGGGTCTATCAATCCGGTCCTCAGGTTGGTAAGGCCTGATCGATCCCCAACGTCAAGGCACAGAGTATCGGCCGGGTCACATGTCGGCACGTATTTTCTATCTATCCCACCCAGAGCAGTTCTAATGGCCCATCAGTATATTTGCAATTGGAGCATGGCACCGAAATCAAATAGCCAGGACAGGAAGAACTCACATCACTGGGTAGGCAACAAAGAGCACTACAAAGCCCACTGTCATGAGGAGCAGCCCACCCAGATTAATCAGACCCCGTTTGTTCCATACATCGCACACTATGTCCTTGTCATTTGGATCGGGATTGTGCATATAGTCATCCTTCTCAACATCCTCCGGGAACAATAATAATCCTTCTGTTGGCATTATGTTGTACTTTTCCGTCACTGTTTGGGTGTTCACGTCATCCCCTTCACTTTCTGCACGCGACGGTGCCCGCGAATCTTCAAATCGACTGTACAGGTAAGCTCTGGCATCATAGCTGACCGCCTCTGAGCTCCAGCTCGTCCGTCGCGAGGACCGAATCGACAATTCGGGAGACCGCAGTTCCTCTCTGAAGCGGTAGGGCCGCGGGGGTATTAAGAGCTCAGTTGATTCCTGGGGAGTGGGCGAGCCCCATGTCGTCGGGAACGTGGCTTCAGAGGTCGACTGCACCATGGCGGGGGTCAACGTCCGCCCCATCTGCTGGGGCGGTACTGAGACGTAGGGATCATCGGAGTCGGCGAATGGGTCATGTTGGCCCGAATTGACACGGATGTGAGGTGTCTCGCGCAAGATCGGGTCTTCGGACATCCTGCGAAAAGAAAGTCCGCCTCGAAGAGACTGGACTGGACGGCTTTTTATCCTAAGTCTGAAGCTCAATGGTGCTTATGCAGATTGGGTGTCAATGAGCGATTACCCAGTATACCAAGATCCCTCCTAGCTTGCTAGATCACACTTCCTCCACTTCGCGTCCTTTATGTTCCACCTGGTCAGGCAGGTGCCCACCCTCTGCAGACCAGATACTTCAATGCAAGCTCAAGTGTGGTTAACGAAGGTTGTCAAATCCTGCTTAGTAGTAATGAATGAAAACACGGACGCGCGACAGATACTGGGTGTCACAATGCGATAATGAGAGTGAAAGTGGTTTTCTGATGTCCAATTATATCCTAGAGCCAGTGCATAGAAGCTGGACACGAGGATTGATTGACTTCACGCAGGGACTGAACTGAGGCCGGGATGAGATCTCCAGATCCTAAAGGATTGTGGGATGAGCGACAGCAAAGTAATTGTGCAGATAAGGAGTGGTGAACCGCTGAATCGCTCACAAGCCGACGAATATCGCGGAGGCAAAATGCAAGAGAGTGAAAGAAAAGATAAAAGCACGCGAACTGGAGTCCAAGGAAAGCTGGGTGACAGAGGCAGCCGTTACGCAGGGTTCAAGGAAGGGATGGGCAGCGCACGAAGTGAAGAGAAGAAGATGAAGGTGGAAAAGAGCGAGAATGGGAGAATGGGAGAATGAGAGAGATGAAGGTGTGCGCAAGCCAGCGTGTGAACAAACAATGTCAATCCCCTCGAGTGGGCAGTCGGTCCTACATGCATGGATGAACCCAAGCTTTTTCTTCCTTATTTTTCCTTGAATTTCCCCTTTTTACACCCGAATGGAATCACCTTGATTTTTCTGCTGGGTGACGGCGGCATTACAGCTGCAGGAGGGGTTAATTACAGGAGGTGGTCTGGGTGCAACGACACGGTGGAATGCATTAATCAATGTTAAGAGTCTAAAATCCCTGGTGGGATTGCAAGGCCCCGGAAGGGCGGCACCTGCATGGATGCTGCCTCGAATTGAAGTTATACTGCATCCCCGATCCCCGTCCGTGGCTGCGGTCTTCCTTCCAATAATGTGATGAGCTGCTGCTGCACATGGGGGGCACATCACCACGTATACACCTGATTACGCAGTCAGTACGGAGTTTACACCTGATGAAAGGTTCAACTTTTCCCCAGCAACCCTTTCATGACAGGTGAAATTCCTGAATGCTGGGAAGGAATCCGGTTGCCCTTGACTGGCGAGAATGACGGGCCCTGAACCATGGAATTCCAGATTGGGCCGAAAATAATATCCATCTCGGGCGCATTAGTCCTGTTGGGGACTAGTCCGTACCAGGATGGAACGGCCACTAGTTCCCAAACAGATAACTTACAGTAACTTGCAGTTGCGCGAACTTCATTTAGCGCCGATCATCTGGTATTGTAACTTGGTAACAAACACGCCTGAACTCTCTCCTTCCCGCATTCTTGCCGCCGTTGGCCATTGACGACTGCATTCCATCTCTCCTGGCTGCCTGGATTATAGTCTTTGAGGATATAAGACAGGCAGCAAAGAATCGCCAGGTTGTCCCCTGTTCAATTGACTCCTGCCCTGGATAATCCAACCTTATGATATCCCGTTGCCAGAGCACTTACGAATCTCTGCTAGTTATCGGCCCGGACGGGAGTGCTCAGCCATTGCCGATGGGTGGACTTGGAAGCCGCACTATTTCCGTCAAAGGGATATATTATCCAACCTAAATTCGCTACCCTCGCTGGCTATAAGGTTGATTCTAGAACTATCAGCCCGACTGCCCAATACGTGTTGACCAGGCAGAAAGTCAATCCAGCCGCTGACCACATAACATCGGTCCATCTTGGTCCAATAGATCCTGTGAAACATACTATAATAGAGACTGGGGCTAATCCATCCAGAAAGCAGCTGGCTCATTGGCGATGTACCTGCTTTGGTCAGCTAGGCGCTGAGGATGGATATTTAGATCTAGGTTTATCATCTATCAGTCCTTTGTAAGTAGAGGTGGGAAGATCCCCCGTATAGCGCTAGGAACCCCTGGCCTGTGCTTTGGCGGCTATGTAATTCGCATGGACCACATTCCTTTAATAGTCAGCCAACTCATGTGAACTAAAATCCAGAGCTTTCAGGGTGTTTGATCAGTAGCTGCGTTTGCATCCTGAAATTGGAATTATATTGGTGTGTAACCCAGACCAGCCACCAACACGTCAGCTCTGGTCAGGTCTGGCACAGCCAGATCAGGACTAAAGTTAATCCAGCAAGTAATGGCTACAACGCCTTAATGAGCCATTGGGGCAGTTATCAAATATGCTCATGATTATCTCTCTAATTTCTAGTCATGGTGGGAGCAGAGAATATTGATTCACTACTGAGGATGCGAATAGTGTAGTAAATGCATCAGTCTAACTCCGACTTCAATGATTTAACACAGATATATATATATGTGTGTGTATACTAAACCATTATCAAATCCACTCAACCTCATCGACCACAGAACATTTGAACCATACTAAATACATCAATCTGTCTATTACGCAACAATGCTATCACATACTTTATCGGGTCGACCAGTGTGGCAGATGCCAGCACACTTAACTACTAGTAGTACTGACAAGACGTAGAAACTTGATATTTCCACCAATTGAAGCCGGCAAGATATATTACCGGAGTATATCATATTGATAGCATGATCCCAACCAATACACCAGTCCCTGACTACTTCAATCCCACACTGCATGAACCTAGTTGGTTACTTGGTACCTCTACTAACCCTCCCCTAAGTCGAACTAAGCTCAACCTACTACTACCCATTATTACTGAAAATTGACCGGACCTGAAAGACTGCTTTCATTGAACACCTCCATGGTAGATAATATATACATTGTAATACATACAGCAACTTTCCATGTCCTTCAGAATCTGAACCCCAAGTCCACCGAAACTATCAACAACAGTTTGCATAGAACCTCAACTCACAATCACCAGTTCTAGTCCTTCCACCTAAACCGACAACCGAATCCTCTCGAATCTCAATAGATACACCTCCGTCAAATAGTTCAGAACCACATACTTCCCATTGCACCATTGCATCCACCATAATCACCTTCACCCTTGAGTCCAAACATCGAATCGTCAGTATCAACCCCTCAAAACATATCAATCAATCAATCACCACACATTCAGCAGCAACAGCACCACCACCACCACCCCCATCACCCCACCCCTCAACTCTAACCTCATCGTCATCCCCGACAACCGACCATCCCATAACCGCCACATTAGCGACCAAAAACTCATCAAACCTCTCCACCACACCCCTGGAACACCCCTCCACCACACACCGAAACCTCCCCTTCACCCTCTCCTTCAAACAAACCGCCGTGCTCAGCATCTGCAACGACCTACTCACCCCCTGCGGCACCCTCGCCCCCCTCGACGCAAGATTAAAAACCAAATACCAGATATCATGGCCCCAAGGAATCGCCCTACACGCATACCGCCAATTGTTCATGAGTGCATCAAAACCCGGCCACGAGATGGTGCAGACCCTGTTATTGTCCATCCTTTGGGGCTGTCTGACGAGGGGCATACAGAGGATTCTGGGCGGCGTGATGTACTTCGTGTTGGGGTCGGCGGCACTGTCGTAGAAGAAGAGATTGTCGATGTTGAGGGGTGACAAGGGCATGGGGGTGGGAGAGCTTGGCCGGTAGCCGATTTGCAGGTCGTGAAGGAGGTACAGCCGGATGTAGTGCGCGTGGCGGGTGATGAGGGAGTAGGTGGCTTGGTTGGAGAAGGCGTAGTGCAGGGCGATGGGGTCGCGGAAGGCGAAGATGTAGGAGGTGGGATTGGCGATGATGGTTTCGATGGGGATTGCGGTGCTTGTTGGTTGGGCGTTGTTGGATTGGATGCAGATTAGGGTGCCGTGGGAGTTGATGCAGATGAGGATCTCGATGAGAGGGGCGGGTTCGGGTTGAGGTTGAGGCGGAGGGGGCATGGGGATTTGGGATTGGGGTTGGAATTGGTTGTTCATGTTGTTGTTCATGTTGTTGTTCATAATTTGGTCTAATGTAGTTGTAGTGTGAGGTTCCATTGGGTGTCCCATTGGATTATTGTGAGGCTCCATTTTGTGTATGGTTGTTGTAGTGAGGATTCTATGGTTGAGGTTGAGGTTGACGTAGGGTTTGTGTGTATGTTCGTATGTATAAGATTAGAAAAGGACGAGTAGAGGACGAAGACGAAGACGAACAGGAGAACGAGAGAGAGAATCTAAAGAAGAATATAAAGTCCTCATCCAACCATAGAGGGGGCATCTTATATAGCACTTGACTATACTTGATCTAACACATCTCACTGCCATATAGGGCATTGTGTTTATAGCCGTGAATACGCCGCTATGCTCGAAAGATTACCCGGGTGTCAATCAATCCGGTGCATCATGACGCAGTTTCTTTGGCATAATGAAAAGATTCACTTCGGCGTTGGCCTTCGTAACACCAGTCTGCACATTGGTGGCGGGTTGAGCAGAGCTTGATGCTGTTATCTGCATATAGATGGCTGGCCCAGTTATACTAGCTACGCTAGCGTGCAAATGGCGCTAAAGGTCAGAGGGGTGAAGTGAATGAGCGTTAGGGCCGTGACACTACTGCACGTAGGCGCTTCTAAAATGCATAGAACATTCCCAGATAGTCATATTAGTATTGCTTATATCAACTTGAGTAACGTTATTTCTAAGCATAAAACTGGCCTGATATCACAGCGCTCTCACATAAGTCATCTTCTCATTATCCTACTTCCAACATCACCCATGAACAACCAACCTAGGTCTCAATAGCCTTAGCCCTCAATCCAACAACCAAGCCCTCTGTCCCATCCAGCGCCAAAACAAAGTACTCCACCCTCGACCTCGCCACCTCAACCCGGTAGACCTTGACAGCCGCGCCCTCCTCATCCCCAACGGCAGCCCTGACGGCTCTCACCACCCCGGCATACTGATTTCTCGGGTCGAACGTCGAAAATGTCAAGGTCTCGATGGAGTTGGAGAGGTCCGCATCTGGAGAAACTAGGTTGGAGAGAGCAGCTGTTATCCCATTCCACATTAGCTTTCTGTCCCAGTAGACAACATCCAATAGATATGTATATAGTCTAACAGGCAGACTCACCAGCATCAGGCCAAATTCCACGCTCTGCATCAGGCCATTTCAAAGCAACTGGTTCAAATGGCTCATCTGTTTCGGAGACGTAGAAGGCGTCGACGGAGGTGAGGGGCGCGGGGACGCGGACGTTGGTGTGGATGGTTTGAGTGCGTGGGGTGGAAGAAGTGTTGCCTCGTTGGGGCTGAAATTGGCTGGCATTGAGGTCGGCGTTGGCCTTGTTCAGGAAGGACATGTAGTCGTTGTCGGAAGACATGGTGCGGTTGGGAGGAGGGGTGATGAATGTGGTGTTGGGTGCTGGTCTTGCGGTTGTGAAGATAATGTAGGGACTGCGTTGGAGACAAGATTGAAATGAATACTGGTGGCAGCGGTGCTGGTGATATGACCGAGTAAGTTGAAGCGGTTGTTGGAGCTGGAATGAAGAGGGGCGAGCAGAAGATGTTGTGGAGGAAATTGAAGCCCAAGGCACGATGGGATCAATGACGCAATGGCCAGTGCGGCTGAGCGGCCAGCGGCGCAGACTTGCGGCGGTCATCTGATTGGTGCTTAAATGGACAACAGAGGGATTAATTGGATGGCTTCTAGAAGGATGGAGTGGAACAGGGACAGACAAGCAGCCAGTGAAGAGGTCGAGGGGCGATAGCTGTTGGACGACTCCTTGGTCTTGGTGGTCTTGAACGGGATAGGTCGACCCGATCGTGGAAAATTTGCATCGGAGTCTACGCACACACCATGCCTTGCCTACTAGGCGGAACCCCTTATGAAGATTCTTCTGAGGTCTCCTCGATGCCGTGCAGAGATTCAAGGCAGATAAGATAAAATCCAACACATTATTATTGCTACGTAAACTACCGTGACACCATAGGAAAAAGTGAAAGGTATTCTTCGCTTTTATTGAAACGTAATATAATTTGCACTACACCGAACCATTGCCATAAACACCTTAAGCGGAAGTCTCCAGGTCCTTCTTGAGGGTACCCATGAAGGCACGCTTCTCCTCGGGGGTCTGGAAAGCACCGTGACCGAACTTGGAGGAGGTATCGATCCACTTGAGCTCGATCTTCTCGGTGGCCCTGCGGCTGGTCTGGGGGTACAGGGTCTTGCGGAGGGTCATGACACGCTTCTTAACACCGGGGACGGAACCCTTAAGGAGAACGAAGTCGTTCTTGACCTCACCGTAGTGAACGAAGCCACCCATGCTGCAGAAGATTGTTAGCGTCCAAGGTCTTTCAGTTTATTTTAGAGAAGAGGCTACTTACGGGGTGATCTGCTTCTTGGAGATATCGAAGTCAGTGGAGGCGTTACCCTCGTCGGAGCCCTTGCCAACACGGAAGACCTTGTGGTTGCAAGAGGTACGGTGGTGGTAACCCATCTGACCAGCACGGGCAACAGTCCACTGGACGTGGTTAGGGTGCCAGGCACCGATACAAGCGACCTTACGCAGACCCTTGTGAGTCTTACGGGGAAGCTTCTTGGTGCCCCAACGGCTGGTGACACCCTGGAAACCGTGACCCTTGGTGACGGCGATGACATCGATCATCTCGTCCTTCTCGAAGATGGAGTCGATCTCGATGGGCTTCTCGAACAGGTTGCGGGCGAAGTCAACCTTGTCGGCAACGGAGCCACCGTTGACCTGGATCTCCATCAAGTGGGCCTTCTTCTGCTTGAGGGGAGTCTTGCGGACTTGGGTGTGGGCGAGGACACGGACGACAGTGCAGTACTTCTTGATGCGCTCGAGCTCGCGGGTGATGGAAGCACCGTTCTCCTCGGCGTGCTTCTTGGCGTACTTGGTGAAAGCCTTCTTCTTGCTCTTGTACCAGTTCTTGTAGAAGCGGCGCTTGACCTCGTCGCTCAGGTGCTCAGCCCAGACGGTGGTGAGAGAGCGGAGACCACGGGGAGTCTCAATGTAACCGACAACACCGACAGCGACAAGCTATAAATCAAGATATGTCAGTCATTGAACAGATCCACAATCGCCAGGCCAGAAAAAGATTTTTTTTTTCTGCCTTCTTCCTACCAAGGGGTCCACGTACGGGAGGAGTCTCGATGACGGTAGCAGCCTCGACAACTTCCTTCTTGTGCATCTTGGCACCGGGACGGTCAAGGTCACGGACGACGGTGGTCATACCGGCCTTGTAGCCCATGGTGGCCGTCAGGTGGACGGGCTTCTTGGGGTCATCCTTGGGGAAGCTGCCGAACAGTTCAGTATATGTCCATCAAACTCCGATTTTTGCGTCTCGTCTTCGCGGGCCAAAAACTAACCTCTTGACCTTTCCACGGTGGCGGGCGGCGCGCTTGCGGGGGAGGTAGGCAAGAGAGCCTGTCGAAATCCAAGTCAGTATACCATCCACACACAAGACCTCGAGATTCCAATATCGTTTGAGAGGTCGCAAAGTAGGTTGACGAACCGTGCCGAGGCGCTTCGTACTTCCGGTGACTCCTGTAAAATAAATTGAATTAGCGACATTATTCCTTGAGGTCAACAATTATCATATATCGCAGCAGGACGACTTACATCTTGACCCTGTTGTCGTTAGTCGTCGAAGTGGTGAGTGAGAGTGTCTATCTCTGAGTTTGCCGAAAGTCGTATTTTGCACGCTTAACGAATGTGGGCTGATCTAAGCGAAGTCTTGGCGCCTATTTCCCATTCGGGTTAAGCGACCCTGGGACCGAGACCTGAGTTCCTTTCTGCCTCAGGCAGCACAGCCCACGGTCACGAGGTTCCTTTGCGGTCGGGCGAATCACCCGGTCGGCAATTTTACCAGATCCAGTGCTCTCCTCCCAGCGTCTGCGCCATTGCCCTACTTAGGGTAATCTATTGCGCGCCCATCCACAATGCTGGAAAGGCCATCCATGCGCCCTATAATTACAATGCTTTGGCGGGAACCTGCTGCTGAACTTCGTTGGCCAACGAAACACGGCAGGCTGCAAGGCTGTACGATTCCTGACGGAAAACCGTTCGACCTGGATTTGACCCGACATCCACCGGAGTCCCAGACCCAGAATTAAACGCCCCCGTAAGGAGCGTCCCCACGATTGAAACGCACGGTGAGACTTGGCGCTAGTAGCCTCCGTTGACGCTCGCCGCGTTCATCGGCAACGTTTTGGCTGATCTCCCAGTCTCAGTTCATTCTACTTGTCTTGACTACCTTCATCGTTGCCATACATGCGAGAAAAATCATCATCCTTGAAAGTGGAGTAGAATGTAGATCAGTGTTTTGGATTTCCGAACTGCCCAGGGCAAGTATATCACCCAGCAGAAAGTACTCATTCACAGACACGCACACACACACAATTGAATAGAACTTTGGAAACAAACGACCATCAAGACCGCCCCTTAAAATGCCAATCCTACAATACAAACAAGCCTGGGTGGTAAAACAGTACATGAACGGAACTGCCACCGAAAGTCGGAAAAGAAATATATAGACGAATTCAAGGAAACAAGAGGGGTAGCAAACGAGGGCAGTGTGACTTCTCATGACCAAAACTTTCATTCGGACTCTTCTTTCCTTGAGCCGCGTTAGACCCATCAATCCACCTCACATAATACATCAAGTGGTGCCGCACCACAAGCTTCTAAACCGCAGATTCCGGCTTCGCTGGCGTAGGGGGGTTGCCAGCACTCAGAACACCATTGCTACCGTTGTTGCTCGATCCAGCAGCATGAGGGCTTCCCTTCACCACAGCACTGGCTCGTTTCTCATCATCGTCGTCATCGTAGTTTTCGTCCACGTCCATCTTCCGCGCCGCGGGCTCATGTGCGGGAGCCTGTTCGCCGCGCGCAGGCTCCTCCTTCACCTGGACCGGGGCAGAAGAGGGACCCGACGGCGGTCCGGTGGAAGGCGCTGCAGAGCTTTCGGCCATAGGTGGGAGACTAGGGCCAGACGGGTGAGGGGGCATGTGCTGGATAGAAGGCAACGTAGGAGGGTGGTGAGCCGCCTCAGAAGGATGGTAGTTCTCGTTGACGCGACGCTGGTCCTCACGGCGGATTTCCGAAGAACTGCGTCGCTGCATCTCCCCGGGGGACGGCATACGGTTTGGAGGAGTGACACGACGAGAAAGCTGATCGTCGAGGCGAGCACGACTCTCTTCATTGGCGATCTTCTTGGCAGGTCCAGCCTCCGCCTCCCACTCTCGGCCGCGCTTCATGGCCGAACCAGGACGTTCTTCACGCTCGCGAGCGGCAGCCTCAGCAGCACTAATAGCAGAGGCCGGAGGAGGAGCACCGCCAGCAATGCCGGCAGGGAGACTTGGGCCATGGTGATACTGCTGGTGGGGGTACGTAGAGCCGGGCGATGAAGGCCGTTCATCACGCAAGGGTCGAACCTCAGTGGGTGGGGTGAACGGGCGATGGTAGGGAGGCAGAGCGTTTGCTGACGCAGGGCCATTTGGAGCACCCGGAGCAGCGGGGGGGCCGGGAGGAGCGGGCGGCAAGGGGCCACGAGTAGCCGGCGAGAAAGCAGTCGCGGCAGCAGCACGATCGAGGGCGTTAGGTGGGGGGTTGGCAAGCTGAAGGCCATGGGGCTGTCCGTAAACACCCGGGCCGGTAAGGGTAGTCTTCGGGGAGCGGGTGGGCTGCGCACGCATAGCATCGGGGAAGCCTCTTCCGGGTTCTTGTCGCGGGCTTGGTTGCTGTAGAGAGGCGGGAGCACGGACGGTGTCACGGTGGTCAAAACCATTGGCGGCTTGTGCCTGTGCCTGGGACTGGAGTTCATTGATGCCACGGTTCCAGTCAGCTATCTGTCTTGGTGGAGCGGGAGCCTGCGGGGGTGGACCACCGGTTGGCGCTGGTGCACCCCATTGAGGCGCCGGAGGCGCTCCTACGCCCGGAGCTTGATAAGCTTGGGGATGGACATCTTGCGGTTGAGGAGCGGGAGCGTTGCCCTGACTGGAACCGGACAATTGGCTTTGAAGGAGCTGCAGGCGCGCTTTGATATGGACATTGGTCGGGTCGAGGTCAGCAGCCCGACCGTACGCATCAAGCGCGTCCGCAATCTGGTTGTTGCAAGACTCGTACTGCTTATATATTAGCCTTTCCACCAGCCGACTCACATTGGATATGAACACTCACCAGAGTTCCCAGATCGTACCACACTTCGGAAATGTAGGGGTTCAAACGAATAGCACGAGAGTAGGCATCCAAAGCATCGCGGTACTGATTGATCTGGTAATAGAGCACACCAATCGAGCACCAGAAAGTCGGGTTCCGACCGTCTCGGTAAACGGCTTGCTGATAAGCTTCATAGGCCTTGGGGTACTTGGCTTGCGACATGTAGCAGCGACCGAGAAGATACCAGCTTTGGGCATCGCTGTTGTCTGATAGGATATGAGCGGAAGAAATGCGTAGACCGATGCAAGGAACCTACCTGCGCTGACAGACTTCTCAAGGAACTCAATAGCCTTCTCCTGGCTAGTGTAGTTGTTGCTTTGTTGATGGAACAGCCACCCAAGCTGTTGCAGAACCTTCGCATGGTTGGGATCGCGGTCCAGAACCCGCCGGTAAGCTTGCTGCGCAGCTTCGAACTGCAAGTTCGTTAGTCATCATAATCATTTTCTTCGGTGATCAGAAATCCCATACATCCTTCTGCTGCTCATGGACATGGCCGATCTGGAACCAGATGTCCTCTTCCGTCAACGGGCGAGGCGGGTCGGCAACGATATATTTGAAACACTGAACGGAATCAGCACAAGAACGAGACGGTATAGTAACCTTCGGAACATACCTCCAAACTCTGAGTGAACTTCTGCTGCTGCTTGTATATTATTCCCAACCTGAAGTAGATCTCATTGGCCTTTTCGAAATCAGGGGCCATGCGCATGACCTGGGAGAAGGCTTCTTCGGCGTGGTCGAGAGAGCCATAGCGATCGTAAAGGATACCGATGCCATACCACAACTTGGGCTCCTAGGAAAACAATAATGTTAGCCATTACTCTCGCATGCCACGCGTACATCTTCACTAACCTTGGGATCGCGCAAGTGGTACAGAGCCTGTTGGTAGGAGGTATACGCCTCTTGCAGATTATCCATCATCAAATGACAATGACCTAAGAAGCGACTGTTGTTAGCACACTTAAGAACATGTAGACGATACCAGCGTCAAGTACCTAAACTGCCCCAAGTTTCTCCACTGGTCGGATCCAACTTGAGAATATTCTGAAGATACTCAATCGCCTTGGGAAACTGTTCCTTTGTCCGCAGAATACACGAGATCGCATTCATCGCGGGAATTGACCACTGGTTGTGCCGTAAAGCTTGCTCGTAGGCGTTCATGGCACCATCCAAGTCGCCGATCATTTCGGTGAGGTTTCCTGTGCGGACACTGTCAGTAGCCGTCGCTTTGCTGAACGGTCGGCGCGCTCTTCTAGCGAGACGCAGATCCGCCATTTACTTACCAATCTGAAGCCAAACCTGCTCATTGAGCGCGGCGATCTTCTGGGCAGTACTCAAAGGAGGGCCTTTCTGGCTTTGAGACTGCAACGGCATGTGACCATTGACCTGGGGGTGAGCTGCGAGATGGCCATGGTGAGGGGTGACGCCTCCCGTGGGAGACGGTTGGGTATGAGCCATCGTGGCCGGTCGGCGTTGACACAGAACGCGATATATCCAGGTGTTGACAGAATGAAGCTTTTAGCTCGTCTTTGCGACACAGGTGATGCAATGAGCGCCCGTGTCACTGAGAGGTCGCACAGTCCCGATGGACGTAGTCGCGCAAACCAGTCACCCAATGATGTTCAAATGAAGCGCGACCGCGTCCAGGAAAACGGTTCCCAAGATAACTGCCGCGCTAGCGAGTCTAGAACCAAACGTCGTCACGACGACAGGGTGTAATTGAAGGAATGCGAAACGGGACGATTCCTGGTCGCTCGTGGTGAGGTAGATGCTGCGAAACTCGAGCGGCAACGAACGTGCAGGATCAATCAAGTCCAAAATGCAGGTATATGGCTGGGGACGGAAAGGAACAAGCGTGTGGAGCGACAATCAACAACTACGGGGAAGGGGGCAAAGGATTGAAATGGAAGAGGCACGAGTCAGAAACAAGCAAGATGAGGCAAAAGCGGGCGGGAAGGCTGAGAGAGTGGGAAGATAAAAGTGAGGGATGGGGGGAGTGGAATTGGAAGACCAAGGGCCAAGCAAAGGTCAAGTTACGGGGTAGGGGAAGCCAAAGCAGAAAGAAAAGGGAAGAAGAGAGAGAGGGAAAGGGAAGAAAAGAGAGGGAGAGGAAATGGGAAGAGAGGAGGGAAAGGTCGAGGGGCTGGTGGTAGAGGGCGAAATTTGCCAAGCGGCGCTAGTGGTTGTGCAGCTCTCCAGCAGTCAGCGAAACCAAAGGAAAGCACGGAAAAGCTGAGATGGCGGTCGTCCGGCGCCAAGCCGAAGACAGGCAGCTTTACGTCCAGGAACGGCCTAGCGGGTGGGGACAACCTGGAGTCGTGTCCGCGGGTATTTACAGTTAATATTTTCCGGGCGCCCGGAAACTCAGGTGAGCGCCGGAGGATGCATTCACCCAAGCTAGATACTCTTATAAGCATCATGCAGACCACGGCACCAGTGAGATAATAATAATAATGATAATAACAATAAACAAAACTGACTTATATAAAAAGGACTATGGACTCGCAAAATGTTTTTATCCACATCATTGCCTATTATTCCATATATAGCTCTCCACTTTGAACGAATCTATGTATGGCCCTTTGATATGAAGCGATCGCCTGCTCAAGGGCGGATTAGAATGAGACGGCGAGGAAGACGCCGAAAAAGAAAGGTAGGATAAAAAAAAAATGACTGATGACGCAAATATATTTTGATACACGCGACATCTATATGTATCCCATACTAACACCCACCTGTACTTCACGCGTGCTAGGTCATGGGAAGTTCCTAACTGTCTACATCACACTGTGTCCCTACTTTTAGTTTTGTCGCTTCTTCTTCTTCTCTCTCTCTCTCTCTACCCCTACAATGAGGGGGTGAATATTGCAGTGTGATTGTGCTATGGACAAGGGTTTAGCGTCATGTTGGCAGGTGGGGCGGATGTGATAGTTACGAGTTAAGTTAAGAGCAAATTTAAGAAAAGGGAAAAAAAAAAAGTAAATTTTTAGGAAAATGAAACGAATTAAATTAGAAAAAGTGGGAAAAAATAAAAATGAGCGACTATGAGCAGTAGCCTCAAATTGACTAGAGTGGAGAGAGAAGAAAAGAGGGGGGCCACACACTACGGGTTCAGCGAAAGGTTTAGTGGGTATGGAGTCGAACCGCCCCGAAACAGGGCAGTGTTTGACGAGGATGCAAGCGCCGGAGCCAGGAAGGCACCTCCAGGGATGGATGGAGAGGGAGGGGGTGTGGTAAGTCTAGCACGAACCCCCGGTTGTGACTCGCCGATGGGGGCCTGCAGGTGGGCCATGGAACCTAGACCCACCCGGACTGACCTCTCTTCCCCGTGCCCATTTTTATTTCTTTTATTTATTATTTAATAAATTAGTGCCATATGTACGGAGGGCCGCCAATAATTCCTGACTGCGGCTGTGGGGCCCTCAACCGACATGCTGCGCTACCTGACTGGTGTATGGCCATAAGCTCAACCACCTAAGCTCCCGGCAGCCTAGTCAGGCATGAGGCGTACTCCACACTCGGACCACCTGCAAAGTCCAAATGTTGCAGTCCGCCCCCCCTCTCAGTCTGTCTGTCTCTCTCTCCCCAATGGCTCACCCAGAAACGGCTTGCTTACTGTGCCCTCCCTCGGTGCCGGACAATACATGCACTTGCGTACAGATGGAGTAGGAGACCCCCCTCTACTGTAATGATGAGTTCACGCTCCCAATGCTCGGCCCCATGGTCTTGCCGGCGGCACCGCGCAACGACAGCTGGGTTCGTCAACCAATAAATAACCCAGGCCAAATTATCTCCCCCCCTCCCCTTCCTTCTATCACAGTAATCCCTTTCTGCGCTAAATCAAAGTGACCAGGTGCCAGTGCACCCAGCCAATCCTGCATCTTCCCGGCTATGCTCAGCGGTCTGCAGGCGCCTCGATTGCCCACATTTTGGGGAGGGCAAGGTACCGAAGAGATCAAACAAAGAGAGAATTTAGGTTTCCCTGGAACTTCATTGTTAATCTGTTTTTGTGGGAGAGGTGACGCTTAAACCTAGTATTTGCTAGAGCAGGGTAGCGAATCGGGAGGGCAAGTTGCTTTTTCCTCAGTTTTCGCCCCTTCCGTCATGGCTCGTTCAGAGGCTTCAGCCGCGGGACTGCCGCAGCGGCAGGCTTATCTAAGCACTCTAGGCCAGATCCCACGCATGGGAAATGCCACCTACCGGCACCAGCCACCAGCCACAGATTCTTAACGGATTCCTTTGAGTGGGCCGTTCCCGATGCTGATCCGTCGGCTTGTTGGTGTCGATGATCTTGATACATCACCTGGGTGGGCCGATCCTTTGTCCTTTTTCTCTTTTCTCCCATTTCATTTTCTTTCCTATTTTTTTTTATTTTTTTTTTTATTTTTTTTTTTCCCACAGTACTTCCCTTTTCGCTCTTTTCCCTTTCTCCCCTACTACTACTACTACTACCCTTCCTCGCCTCTCAAATCATCTCTCCCCTCCCCCCTTCTTCCGCACTAACTAGTAGCAACCGCACGGAACCACGAAAATACAAGAAGCCACCTAACGGGCTAATACATTCTCTTCTTCCCAACACTCGTATCATTTCTTCGGAAAGCCACACTCCCCCCTTTGGGACTTTTTCGCAGCTTTGCCATATCAGGGTCCCAGTGCCGGCAGACTAACTAAAAATGGGCACAGTGGGAGCTTCTAGCGACGGGTGGATAATAAGGTATGACTTTCTTTCACCATTCAGGAAAGGAGTGATTCATGATGAGCGGCTTCGGGCCCCTATTCTCGTGTCGGATCCGAGTGCGTTTTTCCAAATCAAGTCGCTCCTAAGGGACTCGACCAGCACCCGACAACAATTCACTTGGTCTACACAGTATATTTATACCCCCCAACAAGCTTTAAGTCGGATGGAGTAAGAATGTAAGAGCGAAAAAGTAAATTAAAAGAAATAAGAAAAGAAAAGAAATGTCAACCAGCAAGTAATATAGCTAGGGGCATTTCTACCCCATACTACAACCCCCTAGTAGTACTACTATCCACCCCCCCCTGCCTGGCAAAGAGTGAGTGACAGTCACCCTCAGCCCAGTGGAGAGGCAAGGCAAGGCACGGATTCCCTCCATCTTACATACCAGATCGCAAACCCGGCCGACCGGAGCTGCCACCCACCCAGTTATCCACCCATTCTTCGCAACCGGCATACGGTGATGAATGCCGCCCAGCAATGTACCTGAAACACGATAGCAGGAGGACAAACAATGCATTGACAATGTGGTCGGTATGTGGGTTACTCGGGCAGATTTGTATAGCAAGGGGGTGAGCAACAACCCTTTCGACGGAGCACATCGGGTGTTCTATTCTTGTCCAACGCAGTGCTTGCTTGCTTGCTTGTCTGCCTGCTTAGGTACAGCAAAGGAGTCCAAATATGCATGCACATAATTCAGGCTAATCGCTTACGCTAGTAGATAGATAGATAGATAGATAGGGAGCTTCATTTCTCTCTTCCTCCCACCTTCTCTATATCATGAACTACAAACTAGATAGACAATTGTACAGCCCAGCACATAGCACCAATACCACCTTCTGGGCAGCAGGGATTCGTTGACTTAATTAATTGTCACCGTTAATTAAATCAATCCCTGTTTTGATTAGCTAGTTAGTTTCTTGCAGCTTATCATCATCACCCATGCGCGCACGGCGCTTACTTTACGAAGCAACTTCCAGCCGGGGGTGGAGAGGGGGCCCATATGCAACATACAGCCCGACAAGCGGACAGGTAGGCAGACACGACAAGACCAAGTTAGTAGACACCGACGCCCGCATGAACATCGCTGTAGGTAGGAAATCTAGAAAGTGCAATCTAGGCAATAGATGCATAAAAAAGAAGAAGAAGAAAAAAATAAATATTTAAACTAACTTTCCAGATTCCACGACACACACAGACACGCCCACCCCCGACATACTCCGTACATATTCTGTTCCACCTGTACGACGCCTTTTGACAGGCTGATCTGATGACTGCCGATGGTTTATGCAGGTATGCCTGCTGCTGCGCCAGTTTGCGCACAGGGACCCAGCCAGCGCTAGGGACCAAAAAAAAAAAAAAAAAAAAAAAAAAAAAAAAAAAAAAAAAAAAAAAAAAAAAAAAAAAAAAAAAAAAAAAAAAAAAAAAAAAAAAAGAGAAAAAAAAAAAAAAAAAAAAAAAAAAGCAGGAAAAGGGAAAAGAAAATATAAAACTATGGAATAAGAGTAAAAAGTAAAGAATTTCTGAATCCGTGCAAGTGAAATATAAAATTCGAAAATGGAAAAATCAGAACAAAATAAAATAATTCAGAACTAAAAACGGACGTGACAGGGCAACCAACCTACCTTCCTTACTGACTGCTAACCGCCAGCAGGAACTGGGCTGTCATGGATTCCATGAGTCTCGTCTCCTCTTTTCTTTACCCCCCGAGGCCGCGCGCGCGCCGCGGCGCCCCTCTCCTCTCCGTCTCTTTCTTCCCCCTTCCCTTCTCTTTCTTCCCTGCTATTTTCCCCGTTCTGCCAACGTTACACAACATCATGCGGATCCACTCTTTAGTAGCTGCTTCTGCCGCCGCTTTCACACAATCCTTCTTTGTATGTATGTACTTATGTACCTAAGTATGTAGGTAGGTAGATAGCTAGGGTAGGGATCACGATTCTTGGTAGTTTCCCTCCCTGCCAGGTCTGCCTGTCTACCTATCTGTCAGGGTGTCTCACAGTCCCAGCCCGCTGGCCGGCTTATGTACCAAGCAAGTAGACCACATGTGTTGTATATATCCACATCGAGAAAAGAAAAAGGAAAAAATAAATCGACAGGTCATCATCATCGGTCAATATATTTCTCCCACTATTCATTTGTCATCTCTTCTCTTCACATCTCATCGAGATGCTTCCAGGAAGATAAACCTAATCACTGTACGACTTGAGCGAAACCTTTTTTTTATTTTCCCTTTCCCCAAACCAATCATAAGAACAGCAATAGCAATAGTAATAACCTCAAGCAGGCTGAGTAGTTTCAGCCCCCAAAAAGTAGCTAAGGTAGTCTAACTAACATAGCCCTTCTAAGCCCTCCACTGTCGATTATGATCGAGTTACTAAGGGGCATGGTAGTATCTAACATTTAGTCTACCCCTCAGGCACAGACCACACGTTTTGGGTCTAGCCGACCAACCGAAAATGTCACCTTCGGCATGGCCCGGCTTCCGGTGACGGCGACGGTCGCGGTCAGTCACCATGCCTTGTGTGGTATTGGCGCCTTGGTGCCTTGACCCGCTTAGCTAATCACGCAACTGTACTCACTAGTCCTAAAGAGGGATGTAGGGTAGGGTAAAGTGGCTGTTCTGCAAGCGCAGTGCACCACAAATGCAACTCCACCCCCCTACTTTTCTCCTCCCATTATCACATTTTTTGGAACGAGCTCGGGACCCAGTGAAATGCAAAATCTAATATAGACAGATATATAGATATTTGTATGGTTCTAACCTAACCTACTACGAAGTTAGTAGATAGAGTAATAGCTGACCTAATAATGACCCTATCCATCATCATCATCATCGTCTTCGTCGTCGTCGGCTAGACCACGCATTTCATACACCACACCATAGAGGCTAAAATAATAAAGTTTTTCTCTCATCCCTAGTCTAGCGGGTCACTTCTCGGACAGATTGTGGGCTAGTCTATCCATCTATTTATTGGATTTTTTTTCCTTCCCATGGAACGCTACTGCCATGTGTAGTCTAGAAAGAAGTCAAATTTGAATGTATGACGCGATTCTAGGGGGGCTAGAATGAGTTCTTGCTATAGGTAGGTAGTTATGTAGGTGGATACATACTACTTAGTCATGGTAATTTGAGTTGAATTTAGTGAGCGAGCATGCTTTATGTATATTGTGATTTCTTTTGATTATATTGGAGAATATATATGCAACAGAAACATTCACAACCATTGCATACTTACATGAGATAATCTGAAAGGCGATCACTTCCCTTCCTCCCCTTCCCCCCCTCCTTATATGCTGTGTGTAGAAAAGGGGCGGGAAGACAAACCGGAAACACGAACCCATCGACGATCAGCGATCACATCAGCTGAGATGGGATGCGATCAGATCAGATCAGATCAGATCACACCAGAGATCAGCTGCGCTTACTTACTTACTTACTTAGTCACCTGGTTAGGTAAGGTAGGTAGCCAACTGTTGTAACTGAGACTGATGAAGTAGGTATAGGTGTGGTATGTACAGCAAGTAGGTAAGTAGATGCAGGAGAGTAACCTTAACCGTGACGATGAGTTACCACGTAGATGGTCCTGGTGTTGCTACTTACATCTTCTCGTGTGTGTGTGGACTGGGACTGGGTTTGAAACGGAGGAAGCATGATGTGGCTGTAAGGGACGGGGAGGGATGAGGTCACTTCTTATGTGGTTTCTGTGGATGTGTATATATGTATGTGTGTGTATGTGTAGGGTGGGTGTATGTGAGAAGTAGGGATGGATATATGGATAAAGGGTTGTGACTAAATATATAGGTTAGTCACGATGGATGGTGTAATGAATATTACTACTATATAGTGATATATTTATGTAGTAGTGGATGGACTCAGATTCAATAGATTGCTTCGGATATTGTTTAGTTGTTAGTTTTTAGAAGACGCTAGTTCACGATCGTTACTGAGAAAATATCGTACCTTGAAGTCTAACGCTACTACAGACCTAGTAGTCTTTGGAATGTTACTGTACCGTGTTTCTCCTGAACAGTAGCATCGTGGAAAGTAGAGCTTTTCATGTGAAATGTCCACCCACTATGCTACAGCTATAAGTATACAGTAGCACAGCCGACTAGCCAATCGACGGCCAAATAGTGTATATCCATTCATTCAGAGCCAAGAGAAAATAAGTAACAACAAAGGCATTCTTCAGACACATGTAAATGTGACATTTTTCGCTTCTAGAAGAAACCCAGAGATCCTTGGCTTCACTAGTAACACTCCATCTACGGTGTACAAGGCAGGCATCAATTCCGGGCCTGAACCGGGGATCTCACCTGATTGTTCCCGGTGAAACAACCAGATTCCGGAGGAATATCTGGTGAGTTATAACAAGTTACAGGAGATCCTGCCGATGACTTAATATGCAGCTGATGGGGCGAAAGAAAAAGCAAACAGACACCCGGGAAATGGCCAGCCACAGCAACTTATTCTGCCGACGATGGGGCCTATGTTACTTGCTGATTCCACTAGTGTCTGCTGTGACACCCTCCAATGGGACGCAGGGGGGAAGATGAAAGTTGATGTGTTATCTAGGCACTTTTTCATCAACTCCTTGCAGGTGGGTCATTTGAATGTGGCGACTGTGTCGAGACAGGACTGACAAAGATGTGACGGGCAGTTCAAGCATTCTGAGTAGTCAGTGTAAATGTCTGAAGGCTTGAAGTTTGCTTATTGAAGAACTGCTCTGTGAAATTCTGCTGGATTTCCCAAGAACTCCGCACCAGACTGGGCATCCTAACAAATAGCGCTGAACGCGGTCGCTCCGATGTGTGAAATGCGTGCACTTCGACAACGACTGAAAAGAAAACAGGTGTTGGTCTTTCTCAAAAGGGACATGCGGCAGACACTGAGCGCAACTAATCTTTCAGACAGATCAAAGTGATTAGATCGACGAAAGTGACCCATCGCGTCAGATACCCCTGACAGCGAGGAGTCTTGCATGGATATATGCTTCAACCTAATCTTGGGTCAGCGACAGCGTTCAGAAACGAAATCATGACAACCGCGAGATTTATGGTCTGCATTCTTCTGTTGGGGCCATATACAATATCTCAAGCCGCCACCATCAGCGGCTTGTACGCCACTTAGATCCTGCAACCAACGTTGGCAAGCCACAACGGCAAGGCGTCCACGTATTGAGAACCCCGTACATGCTAGCGTGGGACAAGCAGAGTGTGATTGGGCATTTGTGCACCCGAGGAGAAGAGGGTCAAGGACCAGCAGTTCACATGGCATTCAGACGTCAGGAGTGTTGGTTGGGGGGAGTTCCGAGGAAAATGAAGGGTGGGTGGGATAGAGGTATATGCACAGTGCTACCCTGTACCTTGTAGCATCCCGGACATCGTTCCACAGGGGAACAGCCAATATGGTTCTGTGATACTTGCATGGAAGCCATGTCTACAATGCGGGATCGGCCCTATGTCCCTGGCCAAGAGTTACAGGCGCAGGAGAGTTTCCACATCCGAAGTCTGGGCGTGGCAGCCAAGAACAGTCTGGATCTGGCGGGCGAGGGGATGGAACCAACGGGAGAAAACGGTCTGAAGAGTCGGCCAGAACGGAGGCTGATCACGAGCAAATCAAATGAACATGGGCCCTCAAGCCATGCCACGCAATAATACGCACAGAGTCCAAATCTGATGCGGAGGGAAAAGTTGGGAAAAGTCTGTCGTCATGTCGGCTAAGTCAGAAGGGCACATGGCCGGCATATGGCAGTCGTAATCTATCTCTCGGCAAGAGAGGGGGCGTGATTAGGCATACAGAAGGGTCGCTAAGCCGGGTCGATTGATTCGAAACAAGTGGTTTGGCAGTGAGACTGGCCGAGTCGGTATGTTTAGGATTAACGATGGGTTACCCATTTGTTGATAAAGTAGCACAGCATACTGAAGGACAAGACTTTGGAGACCGCCACCGGACATCTGGTTACCTAATTTATTGATAGGATCGACCAGCTGGACACGAAGCAGAAACACCACCCAAGCCGGGTATACGGCTTTTCCAAGCAGGAGCATGCCAGATGGATAGATACCCGGCGGGGCTGGGCTGGGCTGGGCGCCACTCGTCGGGGAAGATATGAAGAGGGAGAAAAGAAGGGCCAAGCTGCGTTTCCGAGGTTCAGAGGCAGCCCTGGTCATCGAGATAATTCATTGTATGTTTGGTCATGATCGTCATGATACTCGAGTCGAGGAAGAAAAGCATATCTAGATTTGTTTCACCCCAACATACAAAGTCATAGTATTTGACTGCTCTCCTAGTGGATGGACTCGGTTGAAGGTGCTAAAAGAGGGTATGGCGTTGCGATGCCCGGGAGAGGATAGATCGGGAACTTGTAACGACGGCCACAAAGAAATACCTCGATTAATGCAGATGTATTATTAGTTAGTTGGGGGTATTTGGCTGCGGTCAGCGCTATGCTAGATGTGATCTGGTCGTAATACCGCCAAGCCGACCAGCCAACCTCCGAATGCGGATCACGGACACGCTCGCAATGCCACCATCCAATCAAGGACCGTTGCTCGTCCACCAAAATCCCCGCAGGGGCTTGGCATCTTGGCACGCGGTACAGATACGGTAACATTGCTCCTGCAACACACCCCAAACACTGCACACGGTGGTGACGGGGCTTGAAATTCCAGACGAAGACGAGGCAGGGAAATACTCTCTTCCTCCTTCCCACCGAGGGGGAGATGGAGATGAAAAGATGGAGAGATAGGAAGAAAGTAGAAGAGAGGGTGGAGCTGAGGAGAGGAAAATAATCTCTCTTTTAACTCGTCAGCAAGTGGTGTGTCTGTCCTCTTTCCTCCCTTCATTTCTTTGACTCGTTCACTTTAATGAGTGTTATCTTCCTTCCTTACACTTTACCCCCGACTCCCGATTCCTCTCTCCCCGCTACTCCCATTCTGCCCCTTCCGGTAGCTCCTTTTCCCTCCCTCAAGCTCCCTCAGCCTACTAGCACCCCATTCCTTCCCTCCGCTCTCCGAACCCGAGGGGGGAGAAAATCTCCCCCTTTCAACCTTCGAGAAATCCTTGGGACCTCGCACGCCATGGTGTTGGCCGTGACACTCTCTTGACGTTGCCCATGCCAAGGGCTCGGCAGCTGGGCGTCTTGGCGGCGAAAAAGCAGACCAGAACCAGAACTACTCTATCCCCCCCCTCCCCCCTTCCCTTCCGCTGCAGTTGTTCTGGGACGACGACAAGACAAGACCAACCGGTCTCTTGGTCCTGTTCTTGGACGTTCCGCTCTGTCTCCTTCTGTCTTGGGAAGGGAAGTGAATGAAAAAAAAAAAAAGTCGTCCATGGCATTCTTCTTATAAGTCACCCTGCCTGCCCTTCCGCTCCTGTCCTCCATTCCTCTCCTCCCCCTCCTCCTCTCCTCCCTCTCCTCCTCTCCCTCCTGCGCTTCAAATCCTCCCTCCCTCCCCTTCTCCCTTCTCCGCCTTGCTCTGGAAACTCTCCCTCCAAACCCTCCACCCAGTCCCGTCAGGGCGATAAGCTCCGGTACATGCCTTGAGATCGTTATGCCCCTTGCACCCAAAGCCATGCGGTGAACCTCATCCCTGCAGCTGCTCTCTTCACACAGTATCTCTCTCTCTGTGTGTGTACTCTCCGTACCACCTTGTGTTGCTCCTGCGGCATTTCTCAAGGGGGTAGCATTTCCTGTTGCGCCCTTGTTTGCTCCACCGACTCCCCTCTCTACTTTCCCTCTCGGTGCCTACCTATTACCCCCCTCCTTCCTCTACTCCGCCCGTAATGGAGCAGCCGGCAATGTCCCAGCCTGCTACCCACCGTCAAGATGATAGTCACCTCGTGACAGCTTATTTTCCGAACCCAACACCCACTGTGCCTGCTGCTGCCGCACATCCTCCCCCACACTTTCTGCCGGCGTCCTCCTCGTCGCCATCACCTCACCACTTTCATTCGGAGGTTGATTCCTCTCCATCGGAACTTCACTATCTCGACGACTCCCTTCACATCTCACATCCTGAATATCAGCAGCCTCAGCGGCATTCTCGACGACAGCATAGCCTATCACACCAAACCCCACAGACTGGGGAACATCTATATCCGGAATTGGGGCAGGCTTCGGTGCCTCCGGAGGCGTCGGTTGCCTCGCCTTATCACGAGAACGGCTCCGTATTATCGAGGGCTTCAGGTGCAAGCGAAGTCGGGCGCAAAGAAGGGCGCGTTCGTGGGAGGTGGACCGATCATTCGTCATATATGTCGGGAGATAATCACCCTAATGGCGCATCTCGCGTACATAAACGAGCGATTCATGACGACGACATAGCGCCGGAGGAAGAGCCGGATGCGCTGTTGATGCTGGTGAGCTTCGTCTATTTCCTCCGAATGTCTAGCTATTCGGGCCGTAGCTAACCGCACTGGATTTTAGTTTCGACTCTCCATTCCCGTTCCTGTATTCTCCTTCTGCGCATCGTTGTACACCATCTTCGGCGTGCTCTTCGTCCTGCTTGTCTCACCGCTCCGCATTTGTTCCTGCATACCATACTTTCGGGCGACGTCCTTCCGGGCACAGCTGTGTGGTCTGCTGATACCCCAGTTGCATATCCATGAACGACTGGTCTGCTTGCGACAATCTTCTTCAAGATCCTCATCCACCCAGCCGATATATGATCCGGAGGGATCCTATGTGGCCGAATCCATCGACTCGTATTCAATTGGAGGGCTGCTCACAGTCCTCCTTCTATCGCCGTTCCTATCCATCGCCATAACTCTCCTGGCTTGGATTGCAGCATTTTTCTGGATCTTCGCCATGGTTCTAGGCAATCCAGATGGCACAGAGCGCAAAGACGATGGCCGAGCAGCCGTTCTCGGAGTCTGCCGATGGTGGCAGATATGGCTTGGCAAAGCCCGTAAGCCACTCGCTTAGCGTATCCGTGTGAACCCCCCTTGTGGATATGAAATTTGCTTTGATCAAGTCAATCCCGTTGTTTGATGCCGGCATGATACCAACGTTTGGGATATGTGGAATGATCTTCTTGAGGCGCTATCTTTCGAGTTTTTATTTCGATTTCACCCCCCCATTTTTTTTCTTATTCTTTTTTTTTGTCTTCAGTCACATGACTGATTTTGAGGATTCCCTCCGGAGTTGGGATATTGGTCGCCGGCGCGGGGAGTTTATCATCCTTATCGCCCATGAATCACGGGCCATCGTAGAGAGGGAACGCTACTATTATGAGTTTCAGAAAGCGAAGGAAGGGAATCTAGGAGTTGAGTTGGGTCAAAGCTGTCTTCTGGTGAAGAGAGCTTACCTTTGTTTATGTGTTCTTCTCTTTTTTTCCCTTTTCATGTACTCATACAATACCGAGTGAGAATTGATACCCACATTTTGTTGTTTTCTTCTTCTCCTTCATCCTCCTTCCCCACATAGCATGGACTAGTCAGCTAAGTTAGTTAGTACCCGATCAATTATGGAGTAGAAGCAGATCGATCACCTATCTCACCGCACATCCATACCAAACACAGAGTAGGTAAATAAGACGAGTGCAGAATGCAACAAGGGAGAAGAAAGAAATCTTAGAGAAGGTGAAAGATACTCCACCCCGCTTGGAAGGGAAAAAAAATATTAAACAAATCTGATAGATCAGATCGACGTTTGTTTTATTGTATCACCTTACGTTGCGCTCGGGAAGGATTAATCCCGGAAGAAAAGGCAGGCAGGCAACCTGCATAGTAGTAGTAAACTCTATGCCGGTACCGAGAGATAAGGTCAATTAAGCGCGAAGATGGGTAACTTAAAGAGGTTAGTTGGTATGTGTTCAGAAATAAGGAAGGAAGGAAAGAAAGATTGAATAGGGAGAGAAAGCACTAAGTACTAAGGCTATATGTTTATATAGCCCAGATACTATAGCGGTCATGGTTAGTAGTTATGTACCGGGATTCTGTGACGAAATGATCTTCTTCCTTTTGTCCGGATGGTATGTATGTATGTATGTATGTATGTATGGTGTTACCTTACTACTTGAAAGTATTGAACGGATGGAAGATATACTATACTATACTATAGTATACTGACTGCGTTATTTTCAACTAGGGAGACACACAACAATTGGACTGAACTGAACGAACTGAAACTCAAAAAACTATGAAAATGGGAGCAGCAATAGCAGCCAAAGGATAATGAATAAAAAAAAGGGTATATGAAGATACACCTAAGGGAAGGAATGATTGAAGCACACAGCACGAACCACCTCACACTGAAAAGAAACTAATGACTAACTCAACTCACTGACTGGAATTAGCAAGACTTAACTACCATTTTCTGATCCGCAGTGAAAGAAGGAATAGGGACATGGTCAGATCAATCGTATCGTAAGTATGTATGTATTCACAACAAATATGGGAAGAAAACATAACAAGATAAAAGGTAAAGAGGTAAAAAAAGGTCTCGTCATACTCCATACATGACATGATGAACTTTGAAAAATGACTTTCATTGACTATTCGGTATCCAGTGCCGTTAAAATAATGCTTTTTGAGTTGGTATGTGTAAAAGGTATGACTGATCATGAACTTATTGATGATATATCAACTTAGTTCAGTTGTGGGGGGTATGTGGTTGGAGGGTAGGTGCTGTTAGTCGATAGGTTTATCTCCGGTTGCCACCACGGAAACCGCCGCCACGGCTGCCACCACGACCGGGGCGACCACGGACGGGCTTGCGCTTTTGAATGCGTCCGGCGCCGCTGGGACCGTGAGACTTGGGCATGCCTAGGCCACGACGGCCAGGACCGGGCCGGGAGGCGGGGCCAGAGGCGTTGTTGTTGTTGTCGTTGTCGTCGTCCACGTCCATATCATCACCGCCCTTCTTCTTCTGAGACTGTGCCATCTTGAGCTTGCCACGTTGGCCACGACGGACAGCGTCGGGTCCGCTGACGGCTTGCACGTAGGCGTTGATACCGCTCTCTCCAGCGTTGTTGTCCAGGCCAGCGGACATGTCGACATCCTCGTCATCACCGCCAAGGATGAGACGGCCGTCGGAATCGACCTTCGCGTTGCGCTTCTTCCGGGAACCGGGGCCAGTGTTGAGGAAGCGGACACTGGGCTTGGTGGTGGAGATGTTGGCCAGAGCATCGGGGGCGAGAAGGTCGAGAGGGTTGTCTTCGGGGGACATTTCACGAATGTACTGCTCGCTCTGCTTGTTGGAGCGCTTGCCCTTGCGGCCCTTGAGCGCATGAGTGACGCCCTCCTCATCGACGTCAATCTCACTGGCATCGTCGTCAGAGTCGAGATCGGAGTCGTAGACAGCCTTGTCGAAGGCGTTGCTGAAGGACCTGCCGCTCTTCTCTTCCTGTCCGGCGGGCTCATCATTCTCCTCATCGTCCTCGCCGTCCTGCTCGGCGTTCTTCTTCTTCTTGCGTCTCTCGCGCAGCTTCCGGATGTTGACCACCAGCTTCCGGTCGGCCTCACCAACCAGCTCCTCCACAGCAGCGGCACCGAAGCGTCGGATAAGGCGATCAAGGATACCCTTCACCTTGCTGCGGAGACGACCCTTGTGCTCCTTGCTCCAGACCATCAGGTTGGGAACCAGGGAGTTCAGGCGCGCACGGAGTTCTTCATCGGGAAGAACCACCACGGCGACCTTGACGAAGCCGAGCACAGACCGGACAATCTCGCGGTTGTTGCTGGTAAGGAACAACTCCACGGTCTGGACCAAGTCGGAGCGGACGGTAGGTTGGAGTTGGGTGTGGAAATCGAAGAACAAACGAGACAAAGCTGTGACGGAGGCAGCAACCATGTGCGGCGAGCTACCAGCCAGACCGGCAGACACCATGGTGAAGAACTCCTCAATCGTGGCGGGAGCATCAGGAGCATCGTTGGGCATGTGTGGCACCAGGGAGTTGCGGATCTTGGTGCCGGCGGGGTTCTTCTCTTCGTCCGTAGTCCTCTTCGCCAAGTGGATGAGCAGGTCGAACGAGGCTGTCCGAGCCTTCTCATTGCTCTCCTTGCAGCCCAAGACAACTTCCGAGAGAACGGATGGGATAAAGTGCAGGTCGGAAGTCGGCAAGTAGGTGACGAGTTCGTAGATCGCCAACATACGGTCCCGACGAGCAGATGCGGGAGTCTTATCTGCCGTGCCCAGGACAAGCGCCTGAAGCTCCGAGCTGCGCTCGCGAAGCGCGGCGCTTCCAGTCTCCGTCTGGGCCAAACGGGGGATCAGCTTGTATGCCTTCTTGATCAGCTGCTGATCACCAGTCTGTCCGTTGAGAATAGCCGCGGCCATGGCAAACAGGTTTGCGAAGCTGGTGCGGGGCAAGTAAATGGACATAGCGATGACCAGGTCGATCAAAGTGTGCGACGTAGGCGGCATTTTGTCACCAGAACCAGTCTGCTGATTGCCCTGCTTGGCTGCTTCAGTCTCTGAAGCAACCGATGACTCCAACATCGAAGTGACACGTTCAAACGTCTCGTTCAGCTCCTGTAGAAATATTAGCAAGACTGAAAAGCGGAAACTGAGGATAAGAACCAACCTGCTCAGGGGCAATGCTCAGATAAGCATTGATACACTGGAGAATATAACCTCTGTAGTGCGGCAGAGTTTGGCTGTACACGTTGAACAGAACCGCCAGCAAGTTGCTGGCGAAACCAGCAAGATGAGCAATGTTCTTTTGCGCAGCCTTCTTGGTGATTCTGCGCTGGAGGATCAGATCATCCTCGTCCGTCTCAACAGACAAGATGGCCTGGTTCGACTCCGCCAGATTCTGCAAAGCTCTGCAAATATCAACGCGCAGGTCGGTCTGCTTGTAAAGGACGTTGGAGAGGAGCTCCGCAAAGCCCTGGTCGAAAGACTCGGTCAGATCTAAAGGAAGCTCACAGTAGCCTGGAAGGATAGCCCACGTCTGCTGAACGAGGGTTTCGAAGATCTTGACTTCAACGGCCTTCTCTCTCGCGCTGAATTCCATGACCTTCTGGTACAAGGCTTCACTGAGAGGGACGAACTCGGAACGGAAGTGGGCAAGGTCGGTGTTGGTGACATTGTCGCGGAGAACCGGGAGGAGCCACACGCGACCGGGCTGGCCATTCTTCTGCTCAATGATATTCAAAGGCAGGATCTCCAGGACTGCAGCGGGGCCCATGGCCTCGATTGCGCTACCAAGAACGTTGTCCGCTTCTTTCTTTCCCTGGAAAGACTCGTTGCTGCGGAGCTCTCCAACCGTCTTGACAATATCATCCAAGAAAGGGCTAGAGCGCCACTTGAAGCTGTCGAACAAAGCCGCACACACGTTGAACACTTCCCGCCATGCTGCCTGGTACTTGACAGAAAGCAGATCCATAGCAGCCTTGGCAATCTTCTCGAGTGTCTTCTCATCGTAGACGGAGGGCTCAATGATAACGCTGTTGGGAATGCAGTTGGCCAAGAACGAGACCAAGCATTCAGATGCCGACACACGGATGTTGCTGGAGGGCGAGGCCAAGTAGCCGGAAACCATGTTGAACAGAGCGGGCAGCTTCTCAAACGTATCCTCGGGGCTGGTCTGAGCAGAGACGTCGTAACCACGGGACAGCACGGCAATCCACGGCGGCAGGAGCTGCGAATCGTTCTGGGCGGGCTTCAAGTCCGTGATCGCCTCCAAGAGCCGGGGCAGCTTCGAGGACGAAAACTCATTGGCCATGCTAGAAAAGATCACCTCGAAGACCTCGAAAGCACCCATTGTGATGAATTCGTTCGTGGACCGAGAAGCGTTCATCAAGAGCTCGCACAGCGGCTCGATCTTCTTGCTGGGCCAACCACCGGATGCGACCGCGAGCGTCTTCACCAGTTGCAGGGAGTGGATGACCAGGGGGTCGTGGGTGTCCCGGCCGTTGGGATCATGACGACCGCGCTTGGACTTGGCTGCAGCCGTGATGCTATCACTCAAGGTGCGCATAGCAGTCTCCGCACACATATCGGCAGCCGGGTGGTCGAGGGAAGGACTCGGAGGAGGCGACTTGAGCACCTTGACCAACGCGTCCTGGGCACGCTTCCGCACCTTCGGACGGTGATCAACGGCCAAACTCAGCAGACCAGCGATCGCACGGCGCGGGCCGATCTGTGTGTGAGGAAGGTTCCAGGCTGCAACATCCTGGGCGACCAGGAGGGACTCGAGACAGCCGATGGAGGGACGAAGAAGCGGGGCATCAACTTCTGGCAGGGAAAGGGCAGGGGCGAGACCGGTGAGGATCTGAGAGAACTTGGCGCGGAGAATTGAGGCAGGGACATAAGCGGTAGTGAGATCGAGGAGATAAACGACGGAGGTTGCCAAATCCTTGTTGACGATGCCTTGAGTAGCGGAGATCGACTGGGACAAAAGCGCAAGCAGCGCAGCAAAATAGGCGGTGGGAGAAAAGTCGGCCTTTTGATCGCGAAGAGTGTCTTCCACTGCAGACAGCACCACAGCCGTCTAATAAGGAGATTAAAATCGTCAGCAAAACCAAGGCGATATAAGAAGGGATCTAGTGAGGCCTCGAATTGGTGTGGGCTGGGAGACTCCGCGGGATGAGGATTCAACGGGACTTACATGGTGCTGGTTCTGCAGCTTGGGAGACTTGATCTTCTCAAGCTTCTCCGCCAGGGTCGCCATGATGGGACGATCAACCGACGGGCAGTTGAGAAGTAGATCCAGAAACCTGGGACGGAGTTAGGGAGGAGGGAGAGGAGGGAAGAAGTGGTGGATGCGGAGATTTTTTTTGTGGTCCGGCTGGATCTTTTTGGGCGGATGAAAAAAAGGTACGGCGCTTTCTTGGCGGCGCTCTATCGATAAACCCCGATAACACCAAGCCAACAGTATACCCAAGTCTTTGTCTACATCAACTAGCTCAATACACTACAATTAACTGAATGGCTGTGAATGTAGTCAATGTCTCACTCAAGTGGTCCCGTTCGGAGAAGATGTAGCCTAGGAAAGTAAGGGAAATAATACTATGAAAATGCGTAATCAGACATGACAATCGTCAAGCGTAGCCTCCACCCATACAATCACACACGTCTTGATCAGACTCTCTTTCTGCTGGAGACAAGCTGGGATCTACTCCAAAGCCGTCCACGAACCCGTTGTGTCGACCATTCAGCCAGTCTTTGTTGTGCGCTCCCACTGGCCTTCCGGTGGAGCTCGTCCTCTTCCTCTCTCTATCTCACATACAGTCTTCTTCCTATCGCACACCTTCTCACAGCAGATCCTTCAACTCCGCCGCCACTATATTGAGTCACGACATCGCCTGACTCTGGCGAACGGTCCCGGAGGGCATTTCAGACCGACCAAGTGCCAACTGATACCTTGAGGCCGCATAGCCCATCACACATCCACCAAGTGTCTTGTGTCGCGTCGCTTTAGAATTCCCTAGTTGGGACGCGACAGATCTAGCACGGATGTAGAAAAGGGAGAAAGACTGAAGCAGACATCGTGTCTAAAACAGTATCTCTCCGCTATGCTCCGGCTCAAAGCCCAGCGTCTGTAGCTTTCCATGGCGCTTCTTGTCGCCAACTTTTCGAGCACCGTCTTCCTTCTTCTTCAGCTCAAACACTTCCTGGAACGACGCGCGCTGGATATGAGGGGGAATGTCATCTTCTTTGTCGAGATCCTGTAACCCGGAGAAGCAAGACACGCCAATTAGCCAACTCCTCGCCCTAAAAATGAATAGCGAAGAAGATGCATGGAAGGTTTGCGTACGATTTCACCCAGAAGCAAGACATTTTCACCCCGAACGAGAAATATACCGCGCGGGATATCGGCGTAGAGGTTGCCGGCATATAGACGTTCAATGGTATCCTGAAGGACAAGGTTTGCTGCAGCAGTCACATAGCAAGGGTCGCACAGTCAGATATATATCATCAACCGGTATTCATCTATCATGCGGCGCATACCGAACTGATCCCAGCTTCTCAGAACTCCGATCAACTTCCGCCCGTCTCGAAGGACTAGAACTAGCTTCTCTGGAAACCACTGTCAGATTGCGCCCGTCTCCATCTGTGAGATAAGCCCATGGGGGCCAAGTGAACAGGTATAACGCACTATCTGTCAAATCCAACAGCTGAGCAGCGGTGGTGAACATCTGCGGCGGTAATTGCGGGGGACCTTGCGACATGGGTCCGAGCGTGTTGTTCTGCGGGGGAAAGCCCTGCGGCGCATTGCCATGGTGGGCACCGGCGGGGTTCTCATTCATTGGAAGGCGTTCCATATTTATGTCAGAGGCGGGCATAAAGCAGAAGGTCGGTGTATGTGGAAAGGCAGGTAGCCATTGCATTGCTGCTGCGGCCGGTTGAAGGAAGTCAGTGACGGGTTGGTGGGTGTTTGTTCTGTTTGTTTGCTGCTCGTCCAAACCGTCGATGGACAGACTGGACAAGTTGTTTCAATTGTGCGAACTATATTTTTCCTGTATTCGCTGAAAGATGTAATATTAGGCGATTACTTAACTGGTAATTAGATCTAAGCTAGGGCAATGTGCATCACAGTTCTTCTTGTTGTACGCAATATCTATGGTGGAAAACCGGTGATGATGGCAGTATAGAGGGTCTCGGCTCGCGATAAGCCATTGATTCCGACTGATGATATTCGATGATTCTGCTCCATTGAAACGAATATAGCCTCTGGGCAGGTCAGCGGAATGTTTATACCAGATCCCTATCTTCACCTGGTCCCGATCAGGCAAGATCGATCTAGTAGTCGCAGCATCTTCCTGCCGCTTCTGAGCAGCATAGTACTACTATATAACCTCGCCTACTGTTAACTTAGAGTACTACAGAGATCATGACACAGAATCTAGCTAATGGATATGTCATGAAAATATAACTGTCAACTGCTATTGAAGACATTCGAACTCAACATTCCAACATAGTCCATATCATCCCTCATAATACCAGATTGTTTGCTTTTGATGTGATCGCTGATAATACACGACTCGATAAAACATATAAACGACATGCCAGAAGAGAACATGGCAATGAGCCTAGATGAGACAAAATGGAGGATTGCATGTGCACGCAGGTGTAGAAGAAAACAAACTTATCGCAGCTCATTAAGCGACGCTAACCCCTCGACGCTGGTTACGCATCCTCTCCTCGCGTCGCCGACTATACGGGGCACAGTAGGGCTCATCGGAGGACCCGATGCTCGCACGAACTGGTTCCTGCGATTGATGGTACGCAGGGCTCGAAGGTGGCGGTGGGAGCTGCATCACTTTGAACTGATCTACGCTGATGATCCTCAGACCATACAGGTACTGCATCAATTCAAAGTCAGGCCGACTGCCGGCTAGAGTGTGCCCCTGCTGATAGTGGGCCACATCGACGTGATCGAGCATTGCATCCCATGCTCTCGTTTCAGGGGTATCAGTAAACCGTTCCCCAGGACACAAGGGACAGCGCGCTGTCTTGGGAGGTTCGTGTGTGCGAAAGTGGCTGAAGACATGGAGTCTCCAGTCCTCGGCATTGTCGAATGTGATGTGACAGTCTAGGATATGGAACAAACAGATGTATGTATAGGGGGTGGTGCGATGGTCAGTGTGAGCCGGGACAATGAGGGCCCCGGTCCCATCATCCTCGAGGATCTCATGACCTGCGAGCCCGGACGCCCATCTTGTATCCAAGGATGCGCTTGACGAGGATGCAGGCGTCGAGGCAGTGTCGTTCGATAAAGAGGGGACAGCTGTTGACGGTGGCATTTTCGTTTCCCACAAGACGACACTTTCAGTCTGGCTCTATAAGACTAGAGCTTACTTTCCTCCTTTCTTCTCTGTGGAGGGTCAAGAATCCAAATGCGCGCGCAGCTGAGACTGAACCAAGTTCCTGATCACCGCCGAGGCACGCCAGAAGCGCCCCGAGATGGGCAACAACGAAAAAGCGATCCCGTTCGAGAAAAGTGGTCGAGAAGAGCCTGTTTCCCACATGCCTAGTCTGTGTGCAGCTGAGGGAAGACACAGAGCCAGTCATGGCCGTGAAGCTTGTCACTATTCCCCTGCTTGAGAAGCGGGGGGAGAAGATGGGGAACGGGAGCAAAGCAAGATTCCCCATGAGAAGAGAGGCCATTTCATTACCTTCTTTTATTATTTTTTTCTCCGATTTGATCAAAATGACCCATACATAGTCATTCAACGACGAAGCACCGGTGGATGAACCAGAGCATCACACAGCGACCAACCTTGCCAGGGAAGAGAAGGTGGAGGGCGGTTCAGCGACGGCCATGGTGGGTTTGAGGCTCCAGAGGGCACATGGCGGGGGAGGAAAATAAAAAGGGAAAAGTAGCGATGATGGACGAAGGATGGAGGAGAAAGCAGAGAGAGAACAAGGAGGGGAAAATCCCGGAAATGTCCGTCAACGATGATTAGTTGCTTGGGTCAGTAGTCAAATTCAACAAACCATAATCCACTACTAGTAGACTGCTAACTATGTATCAGCCAGCAAAGTCCATCCATCCAGCCCTGTCCGGGTTGCGGAGAGAAGAGGTGTGTCGAATACCATTCCGTGGATAAGACCAGCGACATGCCTCCACGACATCCACCACCCGCTTGCTTGGCTTGTTTGCTTTTTATTCTTTCCCTTCCCTCTGCTTTTCTCTTCTTCTCTGAAACTACCTACATTCCACTGACATATTTAGTAACATCTGCAACTGGGCAAACTGGACTGACTGACCATTCGGAACAGCTCACCACTTCCCTCCCATTAGCACTGTCTATCTATCTATCCATCAATCTATGATCGGGGATCCGGGATAACTTGATGGCATCATGTATATCTATCTCATTCTGACTGACGCAATCCCAGCAAGTTGTTAGTCCAGGCAGCCCCCCGCAAAACATCCCTGCATCGGACCACGCCGATAGCCAAAAGAAAGAAGAAATATCCTATCTATCATATTACTGGTATATACAGTAAAACCCCATACTATCATGCAAAAAAAGGAAGGGAAAAAATAAATTTGTCAACCTCGACGTTTGAGGTAAACAAAGCCAAAAACACTAAGAACCAATTAACCGGAAGTTCGGCATGAGAAGTCAATCAAGTAAGTCCCCATGACTTGCGGATATCTATCTATCTATCTACCTAGGCACTCCCTGATCAGCCAAAAGTCTAAGTAGCTAAGGGATGAGATAACGTAAACCCGGCATTGGGAAAGAAGAGGCTGGCTGCTGACCCTGCAGGTGAGGGATCATGCGCGACGACTCTTAAGCACTGACTGACGATCGGCGTCTATCTCGAGACACACACACACGCACACACAGTGGGAGAGGGAGTGGGAGAGGGTCGGTGGGATCCAGTTTTTGATTCACATTACTCAGTACGTAAGTAAAGTACCCCGACTGCGTGCCTACTCCGACCCCGGGGGGAATGGTCTGGTCTCCGTCAGTTTTAATTTATTTATCTACAGTAGTGCATCGGCGGGTGGACTCGTTCCATAGTAGGAGTACTATGTGATTTGAATCTGATTGGTTTCTGAATGGAATTTATTACATAGTAGTTCGTCCAAGATGGTAGTAGTTATGTTCCAATTTAAGGCTTTATTTGATTTATAGATGGTGATTCCTCTCATCCTGCTCGAGGTCTATGATCACATGTTTGAATGGAATGTCTTCTTAAGTGTGGAGGAAAGAAAAGAGTATATATGGAACCAGTGTGGTGTGTTTCAACACATGAATTTGATATAAAGGTCTGATGCCTCAGAAGAGAAGAGAGAGAAATAAGAAACAAGAGAGCTGATGAGCAATTTCGCTTGGTATAGGTTTAGGGAAGAGAAGGAGATGTTCCAGAGGAAGTCTGTGGGGAGAGTAAAAAAAAAAGTATTTGGAGAGAAGAGCAAGGAGGATCAGAAGAGGGGACAAAAATAACAAATTCACAGGATATCCCGTCCATCTATCAGTAGAGACGCCTTGCAATAAAAAAAGAGTAAAAGGAAAAAATAAATGTGAAAGATGAATCCAACAGAAGAGCTGAGGAAGAAAAACCACCCAATCACCCGACACCAATGATGCCCATGAACCATTGTAAATGCACAAGTCTATTCGGTCGTAGCGCGCATAAAAGAACTGCTGATTTTTTGAACCCAATTTTTACACAAACCAACGTGTGGCTGAAGAATGTTCGAACTAGAAGCGTTCTGCCAAGTCGCCACCGGCAACGGAATTCGCGGTGGACGAAGTGACCGACGAAAATCCACTACCGGGATTTAACATATCCTGAACGGCGACTTTTGGCACCTGAGGGACTGGCAGCTTTCGCTGTGTTCCGTCCGGTTTAGACATGATGTCCGAGATGCTGGGACCATGGTGACCCTGGGAAGGACTGTAGTAGTTGGGCCCTTCCGGTTGGGGTTCCATCGGAGCAAGAGCTGGTGTGTGGTGGAGCGACAAATGACGGATAGACGGCAAATGCAGATCGCTGGAGCCCAGGGGTCTCAACCGCGGTGAGTGAGCGGGAGTCGCCAAGGGAGTGTGATCGGGAGTGGGTGAGAGGGAGTCGTGGGAGAAGGTGGGAGAGGAAGGAGCAGTCGAGTTGGGAGAGTTGGGTCTTGAACGTTTCACACGGTGCGAATAACCGTCGTCGTCTTCATGTGAATGCGACCGGCTCATGTTGTGTGTGATCGCGTAAGCAGACAAGGAGGGCAGACGGCCACTTCCATGGTGGCGCGAGCTGAACAAATGGTGATTGCGTGGCCCTGCATGGAAGCTGAAGTGTTCGTCGCGTTCCACCTGCGACGCAGCAGTCGCCAGGAGGTTAATGTCCATGCCCGACGATGCCCGCTCGCTATTGCGAGCATACGGGCCCAAGTTCGATCGCATGTGACTGGCGTAGTTGGAGAAGGAGTGAGGGGGAGAGATGTCGGGGGAGCCGACCTGCGACACAGGGGCCGACCGGGTCATTGGCTTGCTGGGAGGAGGCATCATAGCGCTGGCGGTGTTGGCCATGGCGTTGTCCTGCCCTGCAGCAGCTGCAGCGGCCGCAGCCAGATGCTGAGCCTTGTTGCTGCGCCTCGAGTTAGGGTTGTTGTGGATTCGCGAGTGGCGCGTAAGCTCGTCAGAACGACTGAAGCGCTTAGTGCAGCCGGGGAATTGACAGGCGTGCGGCTTTTCACCCGTGTGCGTGCGGATGTGTCTTGTCTGGTGCTCCAGACGGTGGAATGCGCGATCGCAGAGGGGGCACTTGTAGGGGCGGGGAAGATCCTGACGAACTTCTTCGGTCGCAGGCCGGGCACCCTTCATAAGCGGCGGAAGTAGGCTCACTGACGACGCCATGTTGGAGTTCGACTGTGTACTGGACGGAGTAGAAGGGGTCTTGGAGCTGTCCACAGGAGTGGAAGGGGTGGAATCAGTGGAATTGTTTTGAGGGTTCAGCAGATTTGAAGGCCGGTGGCGGCATGTGAAGCTTGTCCCAAGACCGACGAGGGTAAAAAGGTAGGACAGAGCCGGGTTTAAAAAGGACACGTTCGGAAGGGATGAGAAGCCGAGGCGATAGTGATGCACGTCGCGACCAGGGGTAGCTATATCGGCCAGTCGATCACCTCCCGCTAGCACCCCAGACCTAACCTTGGCAAGGAGAGATGATAGGAGGAAGACCGCAAGGGTAGTGAGGATCACAGGGCCCTGATGACGAACCAAGGCGAGGCGGTATTCAATTGTGAATTCAACCAAGGGCTGATAACGACGAATTCCCTTTCAATTATTGAAGGGATACGGAATGTGGTAGTTATGATAAGTGTTGGGTGAGCCGGAATCGGAAATGGACCCCGGGGTAATAAGTAGCGAGTCGGGCAAGGGTGATGTTGAGCAAATGGTCTCGAAAAGAGGGAGGGAGGAAGAAAACCTGGAGAAGATGATCTGGGGAGACGAAGATATAAGAAGAGAAGAAATCGGAAAGGGCGAAAAGATGAGGAATGGAGGGGAAGAAGAAGGAAACGGAATTCGGGGGAGGGGAGGGAAAAGAGGGCGAGTCGTAGAGGGGGTGGGTTATCGGAATCGGAGAGCAGAATGGGAACGCGAAAAGAAAAAAAAAAAAAAAAAAAAAAAAAAAAAAAAAAAAAAAAAGTAAAAAGAAAATTGAAAAATTGAAAAAAAAGATGGATAAAAAAAATTTACGAAAAGGGAAATAAGAATAAAAAAAAAAAGGGATTTTAAAAAAATCGAAAAAAGAAAAGACTATGTACTTTGTGTGGGGATAAATATCGGGGGGGCAAAAAAAGCAGGAAAGGGAAAAAGAACGTGCTTGAACCAGATCGGCTGCTTTGCTTCTTGGGGCTTCAAACCGGTCAGTCAGCTTTCCCAGTCAGATGGAACCCAGTGCTTTGTAGTTATTTCATGCTCTTCTTATTCTTTTTATAATTTTCTTGCCTTGATAGATTGTTTTACAATCTTGGGTATCTACCGCTCTTACACCCACTCTCAGATCTTGTGTTCTCTGATGAATATGATCTCTTCAAAGTCCTTGAATTGCCAAATGGCAAACGGGTGTCTCCATCAGTTGCCTATCTCGGGGCTTCTTCCGTCTGGTTTTCGGGCCACGCACGGTGTGTTAGAAAAATTCCACTATTACTGACCGGGAAGAGAGGGTGTCAAAAAAGGTAAGGCGTGTTAAGAAAAAAAAAAGAATGTGGGGCGGACTAGAGTCGAGAGGGATTACGGAGTAGAAACTGGAACTGCAGAAGTGGCTGTGTGGTCTGGAGAAGTGCGTGCCCCGTATTGTTGGGTGTCGGTAAGGTAAAGCTGTAAGGCCCGGGAAGGGTCTCTGGGGTTGTGGTTATGTGTACGCACAGTATTGGGGTTGGTGGTGGTGGTGGTAAGAATCCCTATCACGAACACGAACATCAGCAGCAGCAACCCGGTCCCAAACTTCGCACCGGCTATCGCGGATGATCTGGACAATCCTTCTCGATAGGCGACCGCGTAGATACCTTAGTTTCCCCATCGGGGTCGGTATGATGTTCACTCCGGTGGTGACCAAGCGCGGTTGATTACGCGATTTGTCTCGCCGGTCGGATAATGCGAGGCAAGAGGTAGACATTTTCCAAGATTCATCATTCCATGTGATAGCTACCCTACTTTAATGTGGTTGTTCATGCTCACTAACTATCGATCATTCGCACGGGAGGAATCCGAATCATCATGATCACCAGTGGGGTGGGGGGTGAAGTTATCTAGGTGGTAGGTAATTATGGTGTATTGACCTCGACCGAAAGCGTGATACGGTCAAGCGGAGGTGGAAGATCGATCCATTTTCTCTTCCTCCCTCTACTGTAGAAGGGGGGTGCGGCAGGCGCACACGAAAGGAATCCCTAGAATGATGCCATTTTGATGATTGTCGATGATGGAGGTATGAGGTGATGATGTGCCCGCGAATGCAAGACTTATTTCTGGTTGTGGTTTATAATTTGCTCGATTTTATTCTTTCTACCTTTTTTTGATTTTTTATTTGAATTTTCGTAGTTTGTTTTTCTAGCCCTCATACGTGCGTATGTATTTTCCCCAACCTGTCTGGGGCATTACCGGGGAAAGATTTTGTTCGACAAGATCTTCAGGACCGCCCAGTCCAGACCAGCTGATCGACCATCATTCAGCATTGGTTGGGTACTGAGGGAAGTAGATAACCAGCAGGGGGAGACGAACTCACGTCGAATGAGAGCTCCGAAGTGACTTGAGGTGACGGGAGCGGTGATCATATACAGTGCAAAGCGAAGGACCTGGTAGGGCAGACCGTTGCGCTGAACCAAAAGTCATACGATGGGCGAGATCCAATACATCATCATCCCCATGGGACGAGTTATCTACTCCCATACTATTCCAACCTAATTTTGCATACCTCCGACTGTGTACCTAAATGAGGCTGCTGACGGTAACCACTGGATGGACTGGAGCACACGAAAAAGAGCCGGGATGACGTCCAACCTGTTGCGGGTGAGGGCAGACTGACCGTAGTCGGGGGGGTTTTCTCACTTTGTGGGGAAAGGACAGCATTGCATCAGCCTCATGACTCAGACGAATCATTGGCTCCGCCAACAACAACACTTCCCTCCAAAGGGGCGGCGAGGCGCAAGACGAGGCGAAACTCAGCTGGGCTTGTGCCCGGATAACAAACTGTACTTCCCCCAAAACACGACGATGACTCGACCGTGTCATCTCTGGATGGCATCCCTCCGCGGCTAGGCAAGGCTACGTGGGAATGGCCAGCTAAGAAGGTACCTGCCTAAGTATGTAGGTACCAGGTATGTATCAAGGACAACTCGGGAGGGATTACTGTTGGCACCACGATCGCATAATTATATCGGCTGTTAGACCCGTAGTCCCGAATGTATTTTCATTCCTATTTAACCGGCCCTGCTAGGACCCCCTCAGAAGCGCCCCTAAGAGTTATTCAGCATTAGTGTACTCCGTATAGGTAGTGTATACCGAGAAGAACTGATTCCCCTCAAACGCAACCCCTGGACTAGCGCTTAATTAGAATCTTCACCACCTCAGAGGACGCGCCGCCCTGCATCGTGTTTCATCAGTGTCAGGCACCCACGTCTTCGTCATGAGAGACAACATGGGGCCGCCAAATGAAAAAGGGGGTAAAGGTGAGACCGTAACTATGTGGGAGAGAACGAGGGCTCCGGTAAGCTCGGAAATTGAACTCCGCAATATCCCCAGGTCCACAACAATAGCTCTCTGTCTGCGCCCGGAATGTACTATTTCCTCCCCAGACAGATAGTCACCACCTCCGGTACTATCCACGCAGCTACTATCTACGTAGCATGGCTCTTTCAGGTTCAGATGGGGAAATCTCCATGCGGAGATTTTGCCACCAGCTGTGGAGTCTATACATATTAAATTAATCGACCGATGACATTGTGCGCTGAATTGCACGGTGCTATCTACCCGGGCAAAAAAAGGCCCAGGCGTCATGGGGATAAAGAAAGATACGGTCTCGGCAAGTCCAGCCAGCCAAGGGCTTCACAGACAGCCCTTCACGCGCTCACCATCGCTTCTAGGCCCAAAGTAGGATTCCATACTCCGTAATTGGATAGTATCATATGCTCTCATATTTTGTTTTATTTCCTGGTGAAATTTCACCTTTTGGGGCTTTGCGACATCCTTATCTACGGTTACGCAAGGGTCGGGAGGGATAGATTGTATGTCATAGGTGGTGAATGACAACATACATATCCGTTGCTAATGAATGAGTGAGCTCGAATTCGAGCAAGCTCACTAAAAGTGCTATGCGGAATATCCGAGCTGGAAATATTGTTTCAATGGAGAATCGAAGGAAGCGGGAAATATGCATCGAGCCGTCAGAACAGGCCGCTTAGTGGCAGATCAGATCACAGGCACTCACCTTCCCACCCCGAGGGGTCCGCGCCGACCGGGGACTAGTAGTAGTAGATTCAGCAAGATAGATAGATAGATAGATATCAGCTCGTTCCATTCTTGGAAATTGAATGTGCTTTTAGTCTGCGGAGTCAAGTATGGGAATCAAGGTTCACAGCTGGGCATTGTCATCGGATAGGATGCAGCAGGGTCATGTATCCGGGCTGTGTGTAACACATGCCAGCTCCATGGGCTCCTCCAGCCCACATTGTTGTCACCCGCAAGAATCGAGGGTGATGCGATGCTGTTATCTCGAACCCTGACCAAGGGGGAGGAACCCGACGGATGAAACCCCCACCAGGGCGATATCGTGGTTTTGCTGCCAGCTCTGATAGGCTAGACTCGGCTGACGGCCCTTTTGCGATCAGCGGATATCGGATCGTGACCTTGAATGGTTCGTTTGTTTGGAGCCTGGAGGGTTTCCCCGGCACAGCGGGATCAGAGAGGAAGGCGTCGCGACCTGGCCGATCACTACTTAGAAATGAAAGGAGGGGAGAGTGACTAATGAGATTCTTCAGATAAGAAGAAAAACAAAAGTACTACCACTAGACTACTACTCCTATACACACAGGAAGATACACAAGTGATCATTGATTGAGCAGGTGCCGCCCGCTGCAGATACCATGGCAGAAGGTGGCATGGGACATGTTCTTCTCCGCCTAGAATTTGTGAGGGGATCCGGCCGTCACCCCCGCAGACACCAGAGTTTCGACACCACACACAAACACACACACCATCTTCGAGCTCTTTTGGGTTGGCGTCTTTGATGAAGAAAAAAAAGAAAAAGCCCCAGACTCGTTTCCTTATCTCTGCTGAATGATATTTGTGTATTGCACAAATTTTCATGTGGGGTGGGGACCTTGTCTGGTCAAACACAGAGACACACACACATACACATTTGGTGCCGGACCGATTGCCGGCACTTTGCCGGTCAGTGAATTAATCCCAAAGAAGGGGCGCCCAGCAATCACCCCACCATCTCCAGACTTGGGATGGTGGGACAAATGGGGAAAGAGAGGAATGAGGTTGGCACGCAGGTACCGCTGCCCTGTACGTAACCACCCCAACTAGCCGGAGCCACGTACGTTTCTCATCGCATTATTATTATTATGTTGATGATGATATTTATTATACTTTTTTCTATTATCATTTCTACTACTAATAATAATATCCCGGATAAGGAGGGGGAGAGGGTAACAACCTTTCATTTGTTCGGATACCACCCACCACACACTCACTGCCTGATCGTGATAGAAATGGAATCCCTCCTTGCCGTTTAATTGGGGGTTCGGATTATTCCCGCAAATCCTGGCCAGCCTGGCATGGCACCACCCTATTCACAACAAAGGGGACCTTTCACTTTCGTCCCGATGTGGCACTGTGGTGGCTGTACTGACCCTCTATCCCCGGTCCCTCCCCCAAGGCAGAATTTATCTGCCTGTCGTAATATATCATTGTCCTTACGAGCTGTCGCGGGCCACTAAGCAATTTGTTCGAGGGTTGGTAATGTTTAACAACCAACAACACCGGCCCTGATTTAACACCCATGTATGGCCGAGCATTGAGCCGTTGTGGTTAGTGATTTGTGCCAGGGAAAAAGGCTTCTTCTATCTCTCGGTCTTTCCAGTCTCCTCGCATCCGCTCTGCATGAAGCCCCAACGCACTATTGAATCAGACTGACGCTGATCATGGTGCGACAACCCTGACCCCAGAGATAGTCTAGAAGGGGGGATCCATTCTAGAGGACCCGGTAGAATCCCCGGGGCTCGGGGTATCAGCAGAACGAGCACATAAACCTGTTATCTCAGTGGCAAGCATTTTTGAGTTCCCTTTACCCCGTTCATCCACCCTTTGCAACTATTGTTCATTGTCTCCTCCGCTTTTTCAACTCCGAAAGACGGAAGATCTTCCCCGCGATCAACGCAGCCGGGGATCGACACTCAGATTTGGCCAGGCCTCTAACCGCAAAGGGACATCCCTGTCTCTAAGTCCGGTCACTGGCTCGGCTTCACGGCGCCATGATATGCTCTGAATTACTCTTTTAGGAGGGAGTACGACACGGATCTACCCTAGCCAAGCCTAACTGACCACTCGGTTGCAGATAACCCTCTCTGACCTCGTCCCGTCTGCAGTTTGTTGTCTTGATGAGAAATCTTGCGAGTCACGGGGTCACTACCACGGTAACTACCGGCGGCAACCGTCTCCGCAAACCCAAGAAATAGGAGTAGAAAAATAAGTCAATGAGTGTGAAAAAAAAGGCAGGGATTATTGAACCGAAAAAAACGACCCCCACTGTCCCGTCAAGTTCAAAGAGGATCATCGTAAGCGCCAATATCCTAGAAGCCGTTTATCCGCAAAGGATTGCGTTTCGCAGGAACTGTTCTCAGTTGCAGTTACTGCTTAATTGCTTAGAGGGGAATTGTGCTCCGTAACGACCCGCCAGTAGTTAACGAACCCCACTGTGAGATAATAATTTGCTTCATCTTTTACCAACCACAACTCACCCACCAACGATATAGCGCCTACCGATCTGGTGGGCGATTGTCTATCCCACTCGCCCAGCAGAAAATGGTCGGTGCATCCATTCTTTGGATTTGGGATCATCCTCTAGCCTGGTGCGGAGTACGGAGTATATCTCTGGCATAGCATGAATATCCGCTGCTACTAGCATCACGATCAACTTCCATCACTTTTTTTTACCGGATTTTACCCGTTTGGTTACATGGTGATCTTCAACATCATTTTTACTACTGTGAGACGAATTGTAGGGGCCTTGCATTGAGCCGAGTCCAGAACTCTGTCCAGGTGAGATCATCTTGTTGTACCTTTCTGAGGAGGCGGGGGTGAGGCCTCTCATTGATCAAGATGTTTTCCCTGACGTTGCCTGACCTGTTGATTTGTGGGGTTATCATATGGTGTCAGACAACCGACCCACGTATGCACACCGGCTTCCCTTTTGTTGCACGAAAGAAATAAAAAAAAACAATGAAAAGATTTATTTTTTGATTATCTGAACCCCTCATCACCTAATCTAGTTTGACAGAACATGAGAATTACCTCGACCTGTGATTGAAACATCGGGAGCATACCATGGGATACTAGGATTTCTGCACATTCGCCGAAATGCTACGCTTTGGGATCCCATTCCCTGCCCACTAGTCGCCGAGGGGCCGCCTGAAGAAAGGAAGCGCAGCAGTTACATGTGAGCGCATGGGCCGCAGAAAAAAGACAAATTCGAGACTTAGGCTGCGCAGCCTGTCAGTCTTAGTCTGCCTTGTCGTGCGGATCGTAAGTGTTTCACGAGGAACACTTGTACTACCACCAAACACTGGGGGAGCCAACCAGAATGAAGCTCCAAGCTTAAGAGGCAGATCTTATTATCAATATCAATGATACATTGCATGCGTTGCCTTCTACTGATTACTATTTTTTTCTTCTTTCCTCCTCATGATCACACCCGTCACTCATCAGTTCATCAGTCACCTCAATCCTTTCTGGTTTCTTAACTCTGGTTCCCCGTCAATGGCCGGTTGGGCATCCGGTTGCATGCAATGTGGGAATTACACCGCTTGTATGAAATTTCGATTACGTCTCAATAAAAAGGCTCCATAAGGAGGAAGAGGTAATTCTACCAACCTATCCACTGATCTCCGCAGGAAGGGGAAAATCCTCTCGGCCATTCATGTTGATGCGATGAACTAATATCCACGGCAACCAACCCCAAGTCATGACGTGTAGAGACAGGAATGTTAGCAATAATACTACTTACCATCCTGGATAGCCTGATTTCGTCAATCCCCCAAGTCGGGTAAGCCGCCAGGTAGATCTTTTGTCACCAAACTGATGTACCCGAGAGAGCCCTAAAGGACCAACCACACAGTGAGTTGCGCCCTGGGCGTTTTCAGGGCTCATGAGAGATAAGGCAACAAGTCACCCGAGCAAGAAGGTAAGGTATGCAGATGGTTGCAACTTCTTTTTTCAGATGACCATAGCTAGCCAAGAAGGATGTCCTAGGATACTGCTTCCTACCACTTACTACTGCTCGCTCACCACCACACACACAACTGAAGGCGACATCAGAATGCTTGGCGGCTATGTGCGGGGGTGGAGGGACTGGGGAATCTCCAGATTGACTATCGCTCATGGTCATTCGTTCAACCAGAAACCTAGCAATTTACGACCCCTCAGCCAATGAGATCTCCCGTCAGCAAAAAAAGAAAACGATAATTAATTACTAGTAGCATGAAGGGTGGATGCTAATCAATCTACCAAGTGTGGTGTGCATGAGATGCTTATCAGGAAAACTGAGATGATCTAGTGTAACACGGAGCTGGGAAGGGGGTGGTGGGAGGAGGAGCTGCCTGCCCTAGCTAATAGCTATCCTGCTAGGTCCGGCGTTTCTCTTTCTCCTGGTGTATTGCAATTACCATACGACCGGCACTGATTGCGGTCGAGGTGCAAATCCCACGGCCTAGCTGTGCTTAACCACACGCACCCAAGGAAGGCGCGCGCCCTCCCCCCTCCCCACAAGGCGCCAAGTTCAGCGATCCGGGGATCCACAAGCTTCTGGAACGGGGGCATCTCAACCAATCATATCATAGGGGCCGTATCACGGTGATATCGCCGATTCACAGGCTTCACAGCCGCTGCCCCCAGGTTATGCGGGGCCGCGCTTCCGGAATCCGGACGCTTCTACTTTAGTAAAGACGGTACCGGCCATGTTACTGTATGGGGGGTTGTGTCCTGTATGGGTGGTGTGGTTGGAAAGAAAAAAGTTGCTTCCTTGTTGTCATTGGTTCTCATGAAAGAATGTCAGTTTTTCTTATCTGACAGCATTCGCTTTGAATTTCTATTCCTACTCCTACATATACGACATCTCTAATCCCATAAGCAGGAAAACAGGGACAGGGACTGATAGCGCGCGCGTAACCCAATCCCCAAGGTCCTTGATTCCTTACGTGACCATATTTTGCGGCCGCGTAGTAGTGCGGTCTTTACCGGAGTATAGCCAGTGGCCAATATGTATGGAGTATAGATGAATGAATGAATGAATGGGATTTACCCCGAAGTTATCCCTTCCCAGGGAACGAACCACTATCCGCTAACCCAACACTAACCTTATGTTGTTTCCCTTTTCCCCCCTTCTTCCCGATCACACCATCCAGCCCGTTTCTGCACGAATGCCTGTTCCCCTCTCCCGTCTTCGACATGGATTATACTACTCTTACTCCGCAGTAACTTTTCTTCAATCTATTTAATCAACCAATAATTGAGCAAGTTACTCTCTAGACCGTTGCAACCCGGGGGCCAGACAGGCAGGCAGGCAGAAAAAGAGGGGAGAAAAGCCGGGGGATGTACGGAGTAATTTTTTTTTATTTCTCCTAACGGTCGCTTTGCGCGCGCGCGCCGTTAGCTATCTACTTACGGACGGCTACTACGCTATGCTACTTATCTCGTGTTGTGATGACACGTCGCCTGTAAGCAAAGCGGGAATTGGGGAAGGTACGGCGAGCGCCGCCGCCGCCGCCGACGCCCTGGTGTGGCGCTTTCACTATTCTTTCTTTCAGCCCTTGAAATATAGTTTACCTAGTATACTACTATCTTAGTATAGTATACAGAAGTAGGAGATAAGCTGGCTGCTTACTTCCTTGCTTTGCTTGATTACACAGGATAAGGAGTGAGCATATGAGACCATCATCACTCGGTCGGGTAATTGCCAGTACTCCGTACCTGAATCTAAATCCTTCACTAAGTTAATAGTAGGATTATTATCTACCCCGTGTCTATAATTATAACCAGCAATGCCCAGTGGCCAGTCCAAGCTCTAAGATAGTGTCTTCTATAGCTTCAATGATGATTTCCCTAAACCGGTAAAATATTAATGAGGATTGACCATTGCCAAGTGGTGCGCTCCTCCCTTCCCTCAGGTCCTAGTTCACCTTAGTGAGGTACTAGTGTAGGTGGTGAAAAAGCTTGGGGCCGGAGGAAGGTAGCATGATGGTAGGTTTGAGATAAGGATTTCTTTTTCTTCGATTAGTTGGTTTTTACACACTATGGGATGCAGGGTGATGGTGGTGCAATTGTCGTAACCATGCCATACATGCTATACTTTCTTTCTACTTGATACTGATTCTTGTCAATTCCTTCTAGGCAAGCAGTGAAGAGGACCACAGTAGGCAGACATACACACGGACCTAATACTACGGAGTACATATTAATTAATATCAACTAGTTAGCTGCTTGCTTGCCCCTCTCGTCTCTTCCCCTCTCGAGCTATGACGACGATCTCGGGGGTGTGAGGAGAGGAGAAGAGCAGAGGCTAGACTATGACCCCTTTCACATGATAACTAACTACAGTATGTATCGACATAGTCTAAGCCTGCAGATTGCAATTTTAGCTAGGTTACTTAACTTCCCTTCTGCACGGCATATGTAGCTCACTCTGATGCTTTTGTGTAGCTACTCAGCTGTATGTATCTATAGATGTAACGAAAAGTGTAATTTTGTATTGTTGTTATTTTCCCCAGACCGCCACCACCTAATAACCTAATGAGATTAGTTAATACAGATGGGATGGGATAGCGGGGATAGATGCCTAGGATGGAAGGACAGCCAAGACAACACTTAAGACAATGAAAGGAGAATTGAATGATAACACTACGTATTTACTGATACTCTCACACTCCTTTGACCAGATAGTAGAATGGAACCATAATTTTTTTTTCTTTTCAATCCTAATAAGGGTGAGAAGAATACCAATGAGGAAAATACCGAATTGGGAATGATGGGGTAGGAGGAGAAAAAAGTCACACCAGACGGAGACAGAGAGAGAGGACGGAGTCACGGAAGATGGCCGGGATTGCGTCATGAGAATGATTTGCAGCTAATCCAGGAGTCGAGACATGGGCCTGCCTTAGTGGCGGCGCACTGCCGCGTTTCTAGATGACAATCTCCCGCGTCTGGAGGACTGGATCAGGCTGTTGACTAACTACTAGTCTAGTAGCACACCATAACTGGACAAGGGTTGGTTGCTTGTGGGTTGTGGACTACGGAGGGGAGGAGAGGACCGGAGATCCGGTGTATTAGATAATATCGGGTTCTAATCTGACTAGTTATGTTAGTTGATTCTGTTGCTTTGCTTGCTATCAGCATATCGTACAGTTAGTTATGTAGGTGCAGCAGCAGCAGCAGCAGCAGCTCAGCTCAGCTCATCTCAGCTCAGCCAGTCTAGTAGCTTTTGCCACGTCAGGGCAACTACCATATTCTTTCCGCTTCGCTTTGTTGGGGCGGGTGTGTACTGTCATTATTTCAGTCTCTCCCCCTGTTAGTGGTACTGGGTCCATTAGGGGCCTTTTTTTCTGTCTGCCTCTCTACTCCGTATACATGTGATGATTTGACTGGACTGGAGGAAAGGGAACCACTCGTGAAGAAATTTCTCGTAAAAAGAAAGAAAAAAAAAAACCAACCAAGGCACCACTCACCGTCCTCAAATCCAGACAATTTACGAACAAGTTCCGGGACAGAACCTGCAAGAATGATACGGTGATCGGATGATTTCGGAAGAATTCCGGGCATTCTTCCCCTCTGGGGCCCGTCTTGCGACTAACAGGGCTGGCTGGATAGTTTATCAGGGCGGATTGCGGAGAAATTTCTTACCTAACTTGCCCCCTCCTCGCTCTCTCCAGATGGGCCGGAGCCACGGGCTGCCCCGAAAAGGGTACCTCGGTGAAGGTACCTTTGCGGTTAGGCGCTTTTTCCTGCCCTGCCATTCTTTCCTTTCTTTCCTCTTGTGACAAGACTGACGACCGACCTCCTCCTTCAAGGAGCTTGGTACTCCGTACCAAAGTAGATGCCTCCTACCTACCTAACTAACTAACCACACTAGATGAATTTTTTTCTTCCCTCTACGGGGTATCTCACCCCTCCTTCGCCTTTCCCAAGTTGAATGAAGCCCACCAACCACCCCTTCACTTTCCTTCCCCCCCTCTCTCTCTCTCCCACTCCCTCTTCCCCCGGCTGAGGCAATTTTCCCATCCATCGGCATGTCCGTCCCGAGTCCTGGTCTTGCCGAGTCTATCCCGAATCCCGTGGTGGTCTGAGCCGTCCTGACTGGCGGCTTCCCTACTAGCCCTGATTTCTGGGGGTTGATTTCCGGTGGACGGAGTACAATACTCCCCCCCTCCTCCCTTAAGGGTCACATTAATCCGGTTACTGTTCCAGGCAATCATGTAACTATTCTGGAGCCGTGATGTGGCCAATTGACCGATAGCCCCATTGTTTTCCCTTTCCCCCTCCGTACGTCGGCATTTACTCCTTCCCGGTAGAATGTTTGCCCTGTCTATCAGTCTAATGCTTATCACACGTTAAAGTTTTCAAGTATGGCTTCTAGTTTTTTTCGGCCCCTGGCTAGTTACTCTGTATAGTCTGAGTTTCTCGCTTCTCGCAAAACTGGGGCTTCAGGGAATATAGCGGTGAGCAAAATTTTTCAGCCGGATGTCCCATCTTGACTCACACGAAAGGGTTGCGAGAAAGAGATGTGTGCCCAACCCGGTTCCAGCCATTGGGGCTATCTTTTTTTCCTGTCCAGGGTTATACCGTCGTTATGTGCCATAATTGTGCGAGAGTGGATCCCTCTCCTCCCCCAAGTCACGACTGTCAGACCACCCCCCCCCCCCATCTACGGATACGGAGTAGTAGTACTATCACTAGTAATCGCGGCTACTTCCATTTAGTCCTTAACCGCCGGATTCAGCTGTCACGTGATTGTGGTCATGAGTTACTCCGGACGGAGGTGAAACCCTGACAGATACCCCAGGCACAGCCGTGTCAAATCCCGATGCCATCCCTGCTTGGGGTGATAAATGATATTCCGTCGAATCCGTTCAGCTGATAGGCGGAATATTTCTATCCCCCTCCCCCAAGGGATTCCCCCATACTATCATTGACTCTCGCTAACCCTCATTTTCACCCTCATTATTGATTAGTAGTGGTAGTACTCCGTAGTAGCCTATGTCAGGGTGCTTCATTTCGGCATATCCGGACACGTGCCGGGGTATTTTACCCTCGTTCGAGCACAGCTCACCAACCAACACATGCCAATTACTACTAGTAAATACTACCTTGTTGGTGCTCATAAGCGCTACGGGGCAAAACTATGGTGTGAGAGGATAACAACAGCAACAACAACACGGGGCAGCAGGCACCCGTATTGCCATAAGCAGTAGGCATGATGCCATCCGATTGGGTGCTGGGATAATTGTCTCGAACGACCGAATCTGCCTATGGCGCAACTCGATAGGCATGGTATTGTTCTAGTCCTATAGCCTTAACTCAGGGGTACAGTCCTGTCACGCCCCTAGACACGGGCGCTCAGACTACGCCCATGACGTCGGGTCTTGCAGTGCTCTGCTTTTCCAGCTCAGCTGGAGCTGTGTTTCTGCTGCCTGGCTGGGCTAGGACCCTGTGATGGTGGGAGGAGGAGGGGTCTAGATAACACACGACCGACCAATCCATCTCCTTCTTTTCATGCTCTTGGTGACAGTAGCTGAGGGTCGCGGTTTCTTTGGGGGCTTCGCTGCTTTCGAATCAGGTAACAGCCATGGGCCGGTTAATATTGAGGGTGTAGCAACCATGAGTCCAGCCCTTTTGGATGCCGAGACCATCTACATACTTCAGACCCCTCCGGAGAATTGTGGTTCGCCATCGTTCTAAGGCAGAAGCAGCTTTTGCACCCCACTGCCGGTGGGATAGACAATAAGTACTTACAATATCGTCTCTGATAGTGATGGACACGCCCCAGTGTTAGTGACATTATCATGAGTGGGTGTGATGGGGTAACTGAGGCTGCCTCCAACCTTGCTGTTCATGATGCAAGAACGTGTAAGGTTGTCTCCTCCTATATATGGAAGTAAATAACGTGTGGACATGTGATCTTGGTGTAACACTTCTGGTCTAAATCGTGTTTCATTCTAAGGACTAAACTTCCCCTGTAGAAAGGTCCTTGAATATCTTGACAGACCCAAATATGTTAACAATCATCATCTTCAATGCCTAGTGTTCGTGAATAATGAGTTGATACCAGCCTTCATGCTGCATGATATCTGTGTTGTCTCACTTCCCACCACCGATACTCTGACTCTCCACACCCCGGAGACATGTCCGATATGGTGATATCAGGACATACTGAGCGTCATGACAGTCACTTGGAATAAACAATCAGCCATGACCTGTCACTTCATTCATCTGACATATCCCATACCAACCACCACCATTCCTCTCTTCTCTTGCCTTATCTTCAAAGTATACTCGGTAATATTACCCGATGCGGTCGCGATGATGTCGCGCCTCGATATTCTGCCGCGTCTGCCCGCCTCCCGTCGGCCGAAGCAAAAGTCATTCAGGCATGCTTTTTCACCATTGCGATTAGTCTTGTGCTGTTGAGTGCAGTTCGTTCAGCTGTTGCCGGTGGCTATTCAATTCCTGTAACACAATTGTTCGGGGCTGCGACTGCCCCGGCTGCCCTTTTCCCACCACCCTCTCCTTTCCCTCTTTTCTTTCTCTCCATCTCTCACGGCCATGGCTCCCCCGCGGCAGCGGACGACAGCCGCTCAGGATGACTCTCGCTCTGAAGGCTCCAGCACTGCAAGAGAGCATAAAACGACAACGGGCAAGTCTCGCAAGGGTGCTGGCGGAGCAGCTGCAGTGGCCGCTTTGAACAGTCGCGAGGCAAAAGCATCTGCGATTTCTGCAAACGTCACCAGCGCTCCAGCTGGAGGCGAACAGGACAATTTACCAAAGGTACGCTGCAGTCGGGGTTAACCTGCTCTTTCTTGATTATAGATTCATTATCCTCTCCATATCACTTCTGTTCATACTGTGGTATCATATCTGACATGGATTGGATGTAGATCCCCTGGTCCGACATGCCCCTCGAACTCCTCCATTCCTATCGACATGCCTACAAACTGTCTACCCCAAGCGCGTTCGCCAGCGAATACTCCCACCTGCTACTCTCTCGTGGAATCGGACTCCGATCACCAACTTCTATCGCTGCCCAGAGAGCACACCTAGCCCGCCAGGACCAGACGACGAATGGCTCCCAATCGAGCGCATCCACATCCCGAAAAGCTCTGCAGAGCAATTCCTCCGCTCCGAATGGCGTCAGCACAAGACACAAAGACCGTCCTTCGAATAAAGGCCCAGATACAATTGATACCAAGGGTGCGCTGCATCACATAATTGGTCAGGAAAGGGTATGCAAGAACCAGCTTGCCGTAACAGTGCGCAAACACTTCAACAGCGCCGGTCTTGCGGAACAGGAAGCTATTGCGCGGTTCTTGTACAAAGTCCGTGAAGAAGGCAGAGGACGACACTTCCGTCTCAGGTTCCAGCCATAGTTCCTACACCACTCCTTCTATGACTTCGCCTCTCCCTTCTATCACCTACCTCCGAACCCGGAAGAATCATCCCGGACCTGCGGATAGCTCGTGAGCATAACCTCGGTTCATTGTGCTTCTGGCCTTGAGCACAATCTTTAACGGGATCGGATTTGAATCTGCTCCAGAACTCTACGCCCTCCATTCTCCCTACTCTTCACCCTCGAAACATCCCTCCTTTCACCGGTCATCGGGCATCCTAGTTCCTTTACCTTTTCATGATACCCATTGGTGCTAGCTCAGATAAGTACTTCTTTCTTACTCCTTTTGATTGTTTCCTCTGTTATTCTGGTCTGTCCCCGAGAGGTCATTGCTTGCTGTATGTTACCTTTGAGCCTTATCTGCTTCCAAGCTTCTGCCATGTCGGCTATCTTGTATGCCGCATTAGACCCTCGCCATCAGTGCACTGCTCCTTTTCCTTCTTTGGCTCATATACTTGTACATTATCACTCGGAAATCGGAGATATCGGCGTTTTTATCTTCCTCATATCTTTGTTTAGAGATCAATGGCAATAATATACCTACTCTGGTTCAGTCGTCCTTCTCCACCCGTCCTGGTATATATATATATATCTCGGTAACCGTACTCGTATTACACCAAGTACCAATCATTGAGACATGCAAGACTAAATCATCCAATTGCCGTTTTCTTCTCCCTCTGTCTTAGCACTTCACCTATACTCACTATATACATTTCACTCCATTCCATTCGACAGTTGGTCCTTCCACTTTCCCAAAACCCCCCCGAACTGAACCACAGAACAACACAGGACAGGCAGCAGCAACAGCAAGAATAGATAAACCACTAATACTAGCTCAATAAATAGAAAGGAGGAGAAAAGAAGAGAGAAAAGGAATACCAAATGACGACTGACAAGCACAAAGCAAACAACTCTTCAGAGAAAGTGAGGGTAGACGTGAAACAAGAAGAAGAAATACTGCGGGGAGAAAAACGCCAAAATGCATAACATAAAAACGTGTCCATTCCATAATAAAAAAAAAAATTCTATCATACTTTCATATCATGATCCTAATCCTGCTTCCATTGCCAATTGTTCATACCATTCCATGCCATCCCCGTGATTCTCATCCGTGCATGCATGGGAAGTTATTAGTTAGTTGATTTCATTTCCATGCATTCAGGCCAGCCCAGGGGTCATTGCCGGACGCGGATGTCGATTGGGGTTGAGACTGCGAGGGAGCTTTGTGGTGCTGGGATGTGCCGTAGGGTCTACTTTGTGCGTAGCCGCCAGGACCGGATGGGTATGGCCCCGTCGTGGAGGGGTAAGTGGTCTGCTGGGGACGGGGCGGCGGAGGAGGTGGAACATAGCCCTGGGGCATGAAGGAAGATGGAGCTGCTGGCGGGGTGGGCCCGGCGTAGCTGAATGGAGTAGGGGTGGACGTGTAGAAGTTAGGCGGGGGTGAGACGGCCGGAGGGATGGGATAGGCCATTGGGTTGTAGCCCTCTGAGAGAGGCGCTGCTGCGCCTTGTTGGAAGGTCTGTCCTGGGACGTAGGAAACGCCCGGTGCCTGGCCCATGTACTGTCCGTAGGGGGCAGGGGAATGCGAGATAGGGATGCCGTGCGGCTGTCCGCCGACATTGGGAGGATACCGTGGGGACATCTTCGGTGAAGATATGGCGGGGTTGGGATATGCGGGCGTCTGAATGGCAGGAGGAGGGGACTTGACCTTGGATGGCGCGGTTGTTGTGGAGGAAGGAGTAGACGATGTCTTGGGTTCCGTAGACAGGCGCTCCATTAGCTGTCGTAGCTTCTCGCGTTCGCGGTCTTCCTGCTCAGTGGCATTGCTTGCCTTCTCCCGCTCGATTTGGCCCAGTAGCTGGGCACCTTCGGATCGTCGGTTGTTGATAAAAGTCTCGACGTTCTTCTTCAGACTGTCTACGGTTTCGGTCATCTCCTTGTAAAAGGTCTGGGCCTGTGCCGTTCCCGACAAGAGACCATTGAATGCATCGTAAATCTTCTTGTATCGGGACATCACCGTGTTGCGTTGACGGGTGATGGTTTCGTACTTCGATTGCTCGGCACGCACTCGTTTGTCCTGCAGTAGATCACCGTATATCTTCGTAAGCTCCTTCATCAGCGAGGCCTGCTTATGGTTGGCCTGGAGGAGTCGATTCTGATGCGGACGGAATTTCTCCAGCTCCGCTTCGAAAAGCTGACTTTCCTGTCCTGCAATGGTTTTCTTGTTGAGTATCAGAACGTTGGAGATGTCGTCGTTGTGGACCTGTTTGTGGGCCATTAGTCTTGCAGAGCAATGTGCTCAAGCTGTCACATGGACGTACCTTATCCTTCAGGTCTTTCAAGACCTGAGCCCGTTCTCTCTTGACCAGATTCAATTTTTTCAATATAGCCTCGACCCTTGCGATTTGCTCTGACACGGAAGAGCTGCCTTCGTCGTAGACATCATCAATCAAACTTCCTTCTGCCGTTGATGCGTAAGGGCTACCAAGCCCATTTTTACCCTTGCTCTGCTTGGAGCCAGCTTTGATCATGGCACGCTGGAAGAGTACTTCAGCCTCGTCTGTTTCACCTGCAGATCGCATCTCATCGAAGTCTGCCTCATATTGCCGCAGAGTAGACAAGAGTTGAGAGTCGCTGGCACTCGCTTCATTGATGGTGTCTCGGTAGGTTCGAATATCGCCGCGTAGTGTAGTGTTTAGCCTGGCGCTGGGCTGCTGGCTCCAGTCCGCTCCGTATTTGGAGCGCATCTTTTCGCATACACTCTCCTCCAGGTCCAATTGTTTGGAGCACTGGTCTAGCTGCGCGAGAATCTCCACCTTGCGATCCTGTAGCCCATCAAAGGCCTTGATAAATGGTTGATGACCCGCGAGCTCCTGGCACCATCGTCGAAATTCATCATCCACAGTCACCTCCTGGTCCATCCCGCCTTTGAGGATATTCAGGCTGCCCGGAAGTTTCAGATAATCAAGACTGGCAGCCATTTCCCCATTTGCCGTCTCAACTTTCTCCGTTTCCGCACGGATCAGCTTGGCTTTCTCTTCATCATAGAGACTGGCCGTTTCTGTGACAGACATGGGCACCAGCTTCTGGAAGATATCTGGGCCGATGATACGTTGAATATCTTGGCCTTGATAGAGCTCGCTGACAGGAATTGCCTTTGCTGCAGGCAGCTTCGCAACAGCTGACAAACCCGCCTCACTGGGAATGGGTTGGTGATAGATAAAGTCGTTGTCCTTCATAAATACGGTAAGCTTGGCCTGGACATTGGCAAGATGATACTTGATGATATCGAGGAGATTCGTGCCCGATTCGGAGCTCAAATTGGCATTTGGAGAGACCGATGAGGGGAAGGACTTGGCCCATCCTAGTGCTGCTGTTGAATTCTTCTCTGCCAGCTGCAGCCGGGCAATGGCGACACCGTGCGATCCGCTTTCGCTGTCCGTCAAAGCTTGGTAGTAGGATGCCACAGAGGCCATGTGCGCCGCCTTGGCCTGCACGACGATTGTCCACACTTTGTCAAAAACTCCCTTTACGAACTCCTGCATTCCCTCGGCGGCTTGAGAGTACAGATAGGCGGACTGGCTTGCAAGTTTTGCGAGCAAACCGGCCTTCTTATTGTCCGCGATCTGCTTCTCCAGAAATACTTCTTGGCCTTGAGCGAGGGTGATGTTGATCAGAGCTTTGACAGTTTCCCGGTTTAAGTCGGTCGACGGCGCGTGGAGGAAATTCTCATTGATATATGTGAACATGCCAGCGGATGCCTGGAAAGAGTGATACGCGGTTTTGAGACCGGTATCTTCAGCGCGATTCTGGTTTGCCGCGTGGCATGACAGAACGGCGGAGATGTTAAAGATGATCGATGCTTTCTCGAATGCCAAGGAGTATTGCGAAGTGGGCTTCTGGGTAAAGGCATCATACCTGTATGAGGGATTGAGGCATTAGCAGACTTGAATGATGTGGTAGGAACAGGAGAAGACAAGGGTTTGTAATACCAAGTGAAGGAGATCTTGATATGGTTCTCATCGACCGGAAACCTCAGGTCCAAGAGCTCCAGCTGTCCATAATACCGATACAACAGGTCGCGGCCTGTCGCACTATCCTTCCCCGCGCCCCTCATGTCCTGGCGCAAGCGGTTGAGGGTCGCGCATTCTGAACTGTAGCGATCGGGGTCTTCACCGTAGCTCTGACGGATGTAGTCCTTGAGGGGTCGAATCCAATCGATCTCGTTGGTCTGCTTGAGCGGACACGAAATCATGGGCGATTGAACCATCTTGTTGCTCGGGAGGAGCGGGGAGCTCCCATCCAAAGGCGGAGAGACAGGCGGGCCCGAGGTCGAGCAGGGAAGTCAGAGCAGGGCGGACAAGGGCGAAGTCGCAGTGTTTCGAGGGGGGAGAGTTTTCGGGGATGGCACTGTGGGGTAACGAAGGTAGGCGATGCTTAGTCGTTCAACCCTGCGAGAATTGTGGTGGCCGGTGGTGGTAAGGATTGATAGATAGATTAGTCGCAGGGTCACTAGCAAGTCTAGTCGTCCCCGAGGCAGCCTAACAGTAGTTCCGTCGTTAGCTCGACGATGATGACGGAAGTGGGGAGCCCAGCAACAGAGGAGCGAGGGAGGCGGGAGGGAATTGCGTGGTGCAGTTGCTCGGAGAGGAGATTAGGCTTTACTTGACAGGCTCCAATGAGAGACGAATGACGGATCTTACCTGCTGGGTGATAGAATCAGGCAGAAAGGAGTGGAGTGGAGTGGGAGTTGGTTGGTGGTGGTTGACTGAAGGTGATTGTGACGAGTTGCGGATGGGGGCGAGGAGTGTGCTGTGATGGGACGGATTCTAACCGCCGGCCGTGACGGCCAAAAAGGCAGCAATGTGGCATGCCTGAATCAATACTTTCTCTCACTTTCTAACTCTGACGCATTCTGCAATTTAGTCTCCACCAGTCAATGCTCTGGGATCCTTCTGACAGTTGGACGATCGAAACTCTGAATTGATTACTTGTTTGGAGAAGAGAAGAGGAGAATGTCTTGGAGCGCTAACTCTAATCGTACACAACATACATACACACATCATCCTGAGAAAGTCTCTCTATAAACAACCCAACGTCACGAATGAAACAATTGAACGGATACAGGCGAATCGAATTATCCCAACATGCAGAATGGCACCAGAACCCCCAATCTCGCCGGCGCTATGATATTTTCCCGTAAACATAATTACACAGTAAGGAAACGAAGGTGTTTCGAAGGAGTATCCAGAAATTGTCGATTATACACATGTTCGTCGGGGTACTCCTTTTAGCTGGAGCCGGACTTCTTCTCATCGTCGGATTTGTTGCTGTCGCTGCGGTCCTTCTTGCCTGACTCGCTACCCGAGCCTTCCGATCCCGATTGTTTCGAGTGGTTCATGAGCTTGTGCCAGGCCGATTTAAGGAATCCCTCGTTCTTGGAAGAATCGGAGGTGGCGCCGGAGTCAGGAGTTGATCTGCTTGTCTGTCAGCAACACTGTAGAAGGAATCAAACCCAGGAACGGTGCAATACTCACCCATCCTTGGGGATGTCCATGATGCGTCTGGCCGTCTTGTCACCCATTTCATCCGCTAGAACCTCGAGGATTGTCCGCTGGTTGCTAGTCAAATACTTCGGCATGGCAACCTTGAACTCAACCTTCAAGTCACCGGTAGGAGTGAAGGCTCTAGAACGGCCACTGAGTTTCTTCATGCCCATGCCCGAGAGAGTAATGCGGTCACCCGTGCCGGTACCCGTTCCAACCTTGACCTTGACCTCGCCGTCCAAAGTCGGGACCGTCACCTCACCGCCAAGCAGAGCAGTGGTGAGAGGAATAGAGGCTGTGTAGAGAATATCGGAGCCGGAGCGGCTGAAGCGGTGATCGGGGGAGACCCGAATGGAGACGTACAAGTCACCACGCTGCGTACGGGAGCCAGGGGCTGCTGCGGTGCCCGTAGGAGGGGCGTCACCTTCTCCGGACACTCTCAGACGCATGCCATCCTCGACACCGCCGGGGATGTCGACCTGGACAGTCTTGCGATCTCTGACCACACCACTTCCTTTACACCCGCCACATTCGGATCCGCGGGGAACAGTCATTCCCGCACCTCCACAGGCATCGCAGGTAGCCGCAACTTGGAATCCTCCCTGCATGAAGTGTACCCGGGTGCCAGAACCGTTGCACTGACGGCATTGCGTTCGTTTAGCACCCTTCTTCAGTCCATCTCCATCACAGGTGCCACACTCCTTCAGGGGAGTGATGACTATATCCTTGGAAGTACCCTTCGCAGCTTCCATGAAGGAAATGTTGGTCTGAACCTCGATATCTTCGCCAACCAAGATCTCCTGGAACGGGCTTCGGCGTCCTCGACCCGCACGGCGAGCGCCGCCGGTGAATGCGCCGAACAAGTCTTCGAAGTTGATGTCACCCGAGAATCCTCCAGGGAATCCACCACCAAATCCTCCACCGAAGCCGTGGAAACCACCGGCGCCGGCAAATGGGTTACCGCCACTGGGATCGAAGCCGCCGTTCTGGTCAAAAGCAGCTGAGCCGAATCGGTCGAAATTCTCGCGCTTCTTCGGATCGGATAGAAGTTCGTAGGCCGACTGAGCTTCCGCAAACTTTTCCTTGGCGCCAGGGTCTTTGTTGGTATCCGGGTGGTATTTCTTGGCCATTCCATAGTAAGCTTTCTTGATGTCGCCTGCAGAAGCACCCTTGTCGACTCCTAAAACTTTATACGGGTCAGACATGGCTCCAAGAGGAGCGGTCGTATGGAAAACCTGCGGGCGGGAATGGGAACTTAGTCACAGCCCGGACATCTCTCCATGGGATATTGTAGATAATACCTACCCTTGACGACAGGAATGCCGGACTGTTCTTGCTACGAACACCATCCCGCAGGCGCTGGCTTGTTGGAGAAGCAGCCGACACATGATAAGTCCGAACTGTGGTGGTTGATCGGACACTGGCGGCCGGGTTCTGCTTGGAGCATTGTCGCGAAGTCCGCAGTAAACGAGCGGGAATAGCCGCGGCTTTGGGCATTGCGGCGGAAGCAGCACTCATCGTGAGTAGCAGAGGAGCATCCAACGGGAAGATAAAGAGAGACGATGAGAAAGGGAACGAAGGAGAAGGGCAGAGAAGCGAGATTTGGAAACCGACGAAGCTGATTCGAGCAGAAGCCGGCGACCTTTTAGTTTTGAGACTCGCTCGACCGCCTCCTGATGGGGAAGACGCTTGGAAGCTTCGAGTCGCTCGCCTCGAAAAAGTTTCCCGACCGGAACATCGTTAATCCGCGGACTGCGATGATGAAAGCCTGCTTCGGTAATCAAGCACTCGACCGACTTGACCGAAGTGAACTGATCTCCCCCTCGACCTCATTGTTCCCATTGAGCCATCACATTCCTCTCCTTTAGTCTTCGTTGGGATTTCTCTTTCAGTAAGCTTCCGAGCTACTGGCTTGTATCATATTTATCCTCCATCCCTCTCCTTCCCACTCACCTGCCTCTTTGCCGCCTCGTTTCCATCCGCATCTACATTAGTAAAGCTACTAGCATGCTCCGCGGCCAGACTCTCCCCTGGAGAGCCGCGCTCCAACAAGCCTCGCGTCCTTTCATCCCTCGACCTCTACTTGCTCCCTCAAGATACAATGTCACCGCCCGATCGATACTAAATGCGTCGCGACTTCACCGCTCCCTCCCGACCTCCCGCGCTTTCTCCTCGAGCTCCATCCGGCGGAGAGAGAAGCCCCCACCCGGCGACGAAAAGGACGACCCTGCTCAGAAGGAACAGAAAGACGCAAACGAAGAGAAGGATGTTGAACGTGTTTCAGACGCCCGACGCAAGGCCGCTGATCCCTCTGGCAAGCAGGGATCGTCACACGAACCCGGAGCTCCGACATCGGGCTTTGCACGGCGGAAGGAGAAGGCGGGCGCGGACAAGGAGCAACGTGGCCTGGAGGAAGACTCGAAGAAGGATGGTAATGCAGTAGAAGGCAAGGGGAACTCCTCTGATACCCCATCCCCTATACCTGTCAATGGTGGCTCCGACTCGAGGCCTAGTGGCGCGAATAATGGTGGCAACGAGGATGGCGGCAAGAAGGGCAAGAAGGGCTCCGGCGAGAAGGCCTTGCAGAAGCCATCGGTTCCCGAAGTGTATCCTCAGGTGATGGCAATTCCGATCGCTAAGCGACCGTTATTCCCGGGCTTCTACAAAGCAATCACCATCCGAGACCCGAATGTAGCCGCCGCCATACAAGACATGATGAAGCGGGGACAACCCTACGTGGGTGCCTTCTTGTTCAAGGATGAGAATGCAGATGGCGATGTGATTGAGAACCTCGATGATGTCTATGATGTTGGTGTCTTTGCTCAGATCACTGCCGCATACCCTCTCCGGGGTGAAGCGAGTGGGGTCACCGCCGTTCTCTATCCCCACCGTCGTATCAAGGTCTCTTCGCTGCTTCCGCCTAGCGATGCTGCCAAGGCTGGTACAACTGATGAGAAGACATCGGAACGCCGTGGAGATGTTGTTGCCAGTTTTGAGGAGGGCACTGCCGAACTCGCTCCTAAGGACCATTATGAACCCACTTCTTTCCTGCGGAAGTATCCCGTCAGCTTGGTCAATGTGGAAAACCTTGCGGAGGAACCCTACGATAAGAAGAGTGCTATCATCCGCGCTGTCACCAGTGAAATTGTCAACGTTTGCAAGGAGATCGCGAGCCTGAACCCGTTGTTCCGCGACCAGATTTCCGCGTTCTATACCGATCAATTCCCCGGTAATTTGAGCGACGAGCCTGCCAAGTTGGCGGACTTTGCCGCCGCCGTCTCTGCAGGAGAGCTCAACGAAATGCAAGAAGTCTTGGAATTGATGAACATTGAGGAGCGACTTCCCAAGGCCTTGGTGGTGCTGAAGAAGGAGCTTATGAACGCGCAACTCCAATCCAAGATCTCCAAGGACGTGGAAGCTAAGATTCAGAAGCGACAGCGTGAATACTGGTTGATGGAACAGATGAAGGGCATCAAACGGGAGTTGGGCATTGAGTCCGATGGCAAAGATAAGTTGGTCGAGAAGTTCAAGGAGAAGGCAGAGAAGCTTGCTATGCCGGACGCCGTCAAGAAGGTGTTCGACGAGGAGCTCAACAAGTTGGCCCACCTGGAGCCTGCTGCCTCTGAGTTTAATGTCACCCGCAACTACCTGGACTGGCTGACTCAGATCCCTTGGGGACAGAAGAGCGTGGAGAACTTCGGTATTCAACATGCGGTGAAGGTCCTGGATGAAGACCATTATGGTCTCAAGGATGTCAAAGACCGCATTCTGGAGTTCATCGCTGTGGGCAAGCTGCGTGGTACCGTTGAGGGCAAGATCCTATGTCTGGTCGGACCGCCTGGTGTGGGAAAGACCAGTATTGGAAAGTCCATCGCACGGGCATTGAACAGACAGTATTACCGCTTCTCAGTTGGAGGCTTGACCGACGTCGCCGAGATCAAGGGACACCGTAGGACCTATGTGGGTGCTCTTCCTGGACGCATCATCCAGGCTCTCAAGAAGTGCCAGACCGAGAACCCCCTTATTCTGATCGACGAAATCGACAAGATTGGCCGCGGGCACCAGGGAGACCCGTCTTCTGCGCTGCTTGAGTTGCTTGACCCCGAACAGAATTCGTCGTTCCTGGACCACTACATGGATGTCCCGGTGGATCTCTCCAAGGTTCTCTTCGTTTGCACTGCAAACGTGACTGACACGATTCCTCGGCCACTCTTGGACCGAATGGAGCTCATCGAGTTGTCGGGATATGTTGCCGATGAGAAGATGGCCATCGCTCAGCGGTATCTCGCCCCTGCTGCTCGGGAGCTTACCGGTCTGAAGGAGGTTGATGTTAATTTGACGGAGGAAGCCGTTGAGGAACTCATCAAGTCCTACTGCCGTGAAAGTGGTGTTCGGAACCTGAAGAAGCAAATCGAGAAAGTTTATCGTAAGGCGGCATACAAGATCGTTCGGGATCTCGGCGAAGATGTGCTCGCAGAAGAGAAGGCTCTGACAGATGAGGGTAAGGCCGTCCAGGAGGAGTCGCAGAAGGAGACTGAATCTCCCGACTCAAAATCTCCTGTCGACCCGGAGAAGTCCACGACGGAAACGCCTCGCGTTGCGCTGAAGGTTCCGGAAAGTGTGCAGCTCAGTATCGGCAAAGACAGTCTTACTGACTATGTTGGACCTCCCATCTTCACCGCTGACCGTCTCTACGACACCTTCCCGCCTGGCGTGACCATGGGACTTGCCTGGACTAGCATGGGAGGTGCTGCTCTGTACGTCGAATCGATCCTGGAGAACGCCTTGACGCCTCAGTCCCGACCGGGTATCGACATCACCGGTAACCTGCAGAACGTGATGAAAGAATCTAGCCAAATTGCCTACTCATTTGCCAAGTCAGTCATGGCGAAGCAGTTCCCTGAGAATCGATTCTTTGAGAAGGCTAAGCTGCACATGCATTGCCCCGAGGGTGCCGTACCCAAGGACGGCCCCTCTGCTGGTATTACCATGGCAACATCTCTGCTGTCCCTGGCTTTGAACCACCCACTCGACCCGACCATCGCCATGACGGGAGAACTGACCGTGACCGGAAAAGTTTTGCGCATTGGAGGTTTGCGGGAGAAGACCGTTGCTGCTCGCCGTGCTGGTGCTAAGAAGATCGTTTTCCCCGCGGACAACATGTCCGACTGGCTGGAGCTGCCTGAGGTGAGTGGTGATTAACTGTTTGGGAGTGTCTGACAAAGCTAACTTGCAATCACAGAACATCAAGGAGGGCATCGAGGGCCATGCAGTAGGCTGGTACTCTGAGGTGTTCGATCTCCTCTTTACCGACTTGGACAAGGGTGCTGCCAATCACGTCTGGCAGAAACAGCTGGCTGAGAAGCCTGAGAAGAAATCCAACGAAGTAGAGGAAGACGAGTGAATTACGCCACCAGTCCTCACGCCTTGATGACATACTGTTCTCCAGCTCACGCCGGGGATTGTTTATTTTCTTTCTGGTCACGTGCAAGGCGTTATCCTGTGGAAAGCATGGTTCGGAGTTGTTTTCATTTTCTTGTCACTTTCCTTCTTTGGTTTAAAGATTCACTTCGGGGCAATTCGCCCTTCGCTTCGAGTTGTGGGCCCTACCACAACACTGGGTGGAAGTTGATGTTCGCCTAGACCGGCTGTTTAACAGTCTTAATACTGGACTACGACGAACTGCAATACTGAAGCCTCGCACTCACTCCGCTCTGAGAAAAGAAGATGTTTGGAATGGTTCATGAGACCGGCTGTGTATCCTTGTTGGATCATGTAATAAGCCGGTCTGAAGGAGAGGATAGAGCTCTGACTACAGTGTTGCCTGACGCTGTTGTCAGACTTGCTAATGGACAATATCACATCTTGTATATGTATATACCTAGGCTTTGTCTTTGTTTCTTGTAATAGAGGCTACGTTGCCCAAGTCCCGTTACCTCCAAACAGCCAAACCATGGCTTGGCATCTATGCTCCCATCCACCTTAGGTGTAAAACTGCCTCCTCACCTCACAGAAATCTGTAACCAAATTTCACTCAGTATGATCTACTGACCCTGAAGAAGTCATGCATTTCACTCGATCTAAACGTCCTGTCAACCAAGCTGCTTCTGGATTTTTGTTTGCGCTCGTCGAAAATTGCTTTTTTAGATCATGGTGATATTGATGGAGACTTCATATCTATGCAGCATGTATATTTCCTAGATACCTACAATCATACCTCACAATCCTAGTATTCGAAGAAGTGCAAAAGTATTTGTAATTCAACACACATTCACGCGTCGCATTCGCTTAAGAAGACACAGGAAACATCTCATTCACAGCGGCGTAAGTCACGGGATGTCTTTCTCTCCATCTATAAAGCGCCTTCAGGATCATTGTATGCTTTTCCAACTTCTCTCTCTCCTTCCCGTCACTCACATACTCTGCACGTATCGTTGACCTGTGCCTTTCATTTATTGTCATCCTAAACTTAACAACCGCTACCCTCTTTATCAATCACGATGCAGTTCAATATCCTCTGCGTCTTGGCCCTCCTTGTCGCCTTCGTGGCCTCCGCGGCTGTTCCTGAGGTCGCTCCTGATGTCACCAGCACTTATGAAAGTATGCAGTTCGCCGTTCTTCTAATGCTATTCATATAGAAAGACAAGAGTGCTAACAAAGCTTTCTGTATAAGCCTGGTTCGATGTTGAAGACTTCGATGTGACTGATTTCAAATTTGCTACTCGCGATGAAGGTTTGTGCCTCTCTGTCTCTGTTGATATGGCATCCCTTATTAAAACAAGCAAGAAACTAAATCCTTCCTCTGAACACAGACGAGTCCAATTCTGGGTTGGCCAATGAAGATGGCGACGAAACCATGGAAATCCAGGACAGAAGATGTCATCGTCGTTGCCGCGTTGACTCTCATTGCTGCCATACTGATCAATGCGCGCTGGGCTCCTGCATGGGGCCTGGAAGGTGGCCTTAAGTGTGATGCATGCATCCTGTCGACAATATGCTTGGCGATGTTCTGATTTTTGCTCAGTTATCTGGTGCATATCATGAGTTTGTGCTTGATATATGGTGGTGAAGAAGCAAGCTCTAGGCACTCGACATGGTTGTTTTCATCTCGGTGGTGTTGTGTTTTCTCTTCATATTTGCCAATCTTTCTCAGCTTAGTTCATGATACTGAGTGGCTCTTCTGTTTCACTTATGTCACTTCAACTCTCATATCTTCTTTTGTTGCCTACGAGCTGTTGTTTGCCGAACAGGGCAATCGTCACTGTGGACTGTTCTGTTGTCACCTGCTGCGCGGGACGACATAAGGAACGGACTATGGAGACTTGAGAGCCTAGTTCTAGCGATCTCCACGCTTGCATTTCACTTACTTGAGAGCATTCTGGCAATCCTAATCATTTAACACTTACTCAAGAAGAATCTTGGCCGGCGTGGCCCAGAATCCCCCTAGCATAACCCACTATATCCAACACCGGCACCAACACCGACATCTACCTTACGATCAAATGTAGATATTGATCCGTCTGAAGGACTACTAACAGCATACTATCACATATGCATATCCCGTATACTAACGACTAGGATTGTAGATATCGCACCAATGATCATGGAACCTTATCCGTCCTATAGGAGGAAGCTACCTATCCGATCTACATGTCACTACAACTGCTACTTACGTCCGGACTCGTCAAGACCCCCTTCTCCACTGGGTCCCCCAGGCTTTGCCCCGGATTGGATGCAAGCAGGGAGCTAGTTGGGAGAAAGACCACGACAACGGATCTGACAGGCTGGATGAAGATGGGAGTGTGTCATTCGGACTTCCTGGCTATGCCATCCGGGAATCTCCGCATAGGTCGGTTGTCTGGTTTTAATCTGAATTTTTAGTAGATCAGCATGAGCGGTAGTAGTGATGATGAGAATGATGATGGTGATGATGTATGTTCCATTGCTGAGGTAACGAAGGACTAGAGTTCTCAAGATTTCATTCACGAAGTCATCATCTTAAAGTTCACTGAGGTCATCGATGAGATTATGGGATAGTATGTTTGGTCTATTATAACTGACTGTCTATTAGTATACACTGGGCTTTGACACAGTTGTACAGAACATGCATACCATGTCAGTAGGCAGTGCAGCGGGCCTGCATACAGTCCCATCCCCATGCCATCATCTTCTCCGAAGCAGGCTCAACCACGACAACAACGGTCTGTCAATCTAGCAACTACTACTACTACTACTACTACTACTCCAGTACTAGTAACCGCAGTTATGCTGTTTACTGCCACAGGAGAGAAAAGGGGAGCGAAAAAAAAAAAAGGGTGATGTTTTACGCTACAAGGTGGAGGATAGTGATTGGTCGCATCATCCTGAGGTGTTGTTCCTTCGATCTGAATGGGAGCATCACTTTGAAAAAGCAAAGTTTAACCGCGGGGATAGCTACCTACTACTGACTAGGTAATATCTATGAGGACCCGAAGAGGGTCTTGGTGCAGCGATGAAGGATGTACTACTACTAGGAATGAGGTCCTCCAGGGACTTTTCACTTATCTTTGTTGGATTATTGGATCCAGGTGTACTACTTCACTTCGCGCCCCTCCCTCTTCCCTTGTCTTTTCCCCCTCCTCCATGGCAACCTGGGTATGCACTTGATCGGGAGAGGGGGGGACCTGGCAGACGATTGTTTGTACAGCGTGGCCTTGCCTGGTGTTGTTGTGTTTGCGGATCCAGCGATACGCTCGGGTAAACCAAAAAATTCACATCTGGAAGAGCCTAGTGATGAGGTGATGGGTGGATTTTTGGGGGAGAGGGGGGCTCCGTCGGTGATAGTGATGAGGGTTAGTAGGAGACGATCGGAGACGAAGACCCGACCAGCTCAGTCGGAGAATAGATATTACTACTGTAGGCTACTGCTAGGGAGTACCAGAGTAGTAGGAGTAAGTTGGATCGAGGGGAGAAAGACAGGAACGAACGGGGAGGGCTTCGAGAAGAAAGTTGGGCTGTGCGTCTGCAGTAGTGGATGCCGTGAGATGAATCGAGTAGTGCTCCAGCCTGCTTGCTGTAAATTTGAAGAAATCAAGGCGTTATCCGAGGCGATAGCGATTATTGTAGAGTTTACAACTCGGTTCCCGGTTATTTCCTAACGGATGACTGTTTTGAGTTCCTTAGGAGGATTGATTCCCGATCGGAGTCCTTCTCCCCCAATATCTAACTGTCTCCCAACGGGAATATACTACTAAGTTAGTTACCAAGTGACTCTCTGACTAACTAACTAACTAGGAACGATGCTCGTCTCATCTTTAATTATTCTTCCTACTTATCCATCAGGCACTCACTGTCAGGCCGCCGTGCATTTCCACTGGCTCAAAGCCGGCGGCTGTGATTGCGGTTCCAGATTCGCTGTCTCGCCATGGCCAGAGACCGACTAGACTCTCCATAGTAGACACAGCAGCGGATTAGTAGTATTTCGCATCATCCTTCGTGCTTTAGTCGGTTTGGGATTTCCATTGGTTTGAGTATTATTTTCCTACGCAAGGATCCGATTGTGCGTTCGCCGTTTCTTCCATCGGTCTTCCATTGGGCCTGTTCCATTCTGGCCCAGTCCTGCCAATCTCTTTTCCTCGTTTTCTCTCTTGCTCTCTCTCTCTCTCTCTATCACTCTCTTGGGACGACTAGTCTAACTCCGTACTTGCTTGCTATTCATCCCATCTCCATCCTCTCGCATCTTCCCTCTCTCACTCTCTCACTCTCACTCACACACTCTCTCACACTTTCTCTTTCTCGCCTCTTTCCACATCACTGCGTCTCGTGGGCGGTGAATTCACCAACACTTTCCTCGCCTCCTCTTCACCAACCTCTCCCAACTGGTCTCCATCTCCTCTCTACCACCCCATTTATGGATCAACTGATCGACTGGCTGCGATACTGATCCAATCCTCGGCCTCTCCTTTCCTGTTCCTTCAGCCCAACCAGCCTTGCAGCCGGGTGACACCTACTACCAATTTAGTCGGTCTACTATCGACTCATCCTCGCCCCCATTCGTCGTATTCCTCTTCCTCGTCATCCTTATTTGTCCTGCGTCTCTCTATGCTCTCTCTATCCCACTGCATTGTCACTCCCTCTGCCTTTGATCCCCATTAGTAGCAACCTGACAACAACAGTAACAACAACACCACCACCACCATTATCTCCACTTCCCCAGGTCATAAGAACAAGATCAAATTACATCCCCGACCATCATATCGTCACAGTGCGCCCAGTGGGACTCAGTTTGACTGGGCAAAGCAGTGCCTGGACAACACAAACTCGGGTTCTCACCGACTTCTTCAGGGAGATTCATTTCTATTTATTTATATCATTGAATCCGATTTTAAAGTTTTTTTTTTCCCTTTTATTTTTCTCTTTCGTTCACTTGATTTTTTTTCTACTGCTTATTGGTCTACTTCAGCACAGTTTCTCATTTTTTGCTTTTTTGCTTTTGATTTCCTGCTTTCTTTTTCCTTTCCCCTTCGTTCGTCTCATTTACAGGGCTTGAATCTAATACCCATAATTATCTCTGTTATTTCCTTTTCCTCTTCGTCAGACCTGTGAGGACCTCGCACAGGGTTACAGTCACTGCTGACCACAAGGATATCGTCGCAATTCTTATGGACATCGCCATCCCATCCCCCTCGGGTGTTCCAGTCGTTCTCCGTACGACAATTTAGCGACCGTGTCGATCCGTATGGCCATCTCCATTGCCGACAGTTCCTGTAGCCCGACGAGGTCGCTCGGTCTGTTGTTGGACCCGGAGAAGGTTGACCTTCCCCGTCCCAAGCAGAGCATGTGGCATCGCCTGGGCCTTCGCAGGTGGCTGGGCCGCGATGATCGAGATTTCTCCTCACATTCCCCCGCTGGCGACGCTGCCCCCACCGCAAATAAACCCAATTCTCCAGCCGCCCACAATGAGCATAATGGTAATCACAACAGTAACAACAACCATAACCCACCCCCCAGCGGCAAGAACAACAACAAACCGCACCACAGCCACAACAAACCCCACGACAATCTCAAGCGTCGCCTGTCCAGAAAGGTAGGAGTCGGTCTGCCGCGAGCCACTACCTTCAAACGACAGAATTCCGAGCGGCGAGACAATCTATCGCCCCTAGAACCCGAGCCCCGTCGTGCAGTGTCCGCCGACCGTCGTCGCGCCGTGAGCTCCCACCGGTCCAGATCCCCACCGCCCACCGTGGACCCCAGACTGTCCGCTCCCGAGGTTCAGTGGCGCGAAGACCCGAGCGAGACCACGGTCGAGCGACTGCCTGAAGCGAATGAGGACAGCGACTTTCTCTCGGAATGGAACCCCTGTCCTGACGTGGCGGAAGCTCCCGAGGAGCTACCGGACGATACGCTCGAGATGGAACTGGAAAAGCGTTGGATTTTGAACCTGAGCATGCATTTTCGGGATCGCTCGGAGCGAGAAAAGTTTTTCGTCACATATGCTGAGACTCCAACTCGGTGGCGGAGAGTCACTATATCTTGCGATTACCGTGGTGCGCCCCCGGATTCCTTGGAACAAGACCTGAGGGAATTGCGATATCAGCGAGACAAGTGTGCCCGAATCTACGAGTCGATCCGCGAGTCGCTGTCGGAGATTCAATTTTACGACACAGTCACGAATCTGAAACTAGAAACTCGAGACGGCCGCCTGCATGTGCACGTTACGGAGGATGTCAACGAAATCATTCCCTATCCGCCGGTTTCTTGCATCGGACATTTGCCACAAGCACGACTGGTCCCAGAGAACCAGCTTCATTTCGATGCGCATCTATCCGGCTTCGTCTACAACGTCCAGCTGGATGGCAAGGCATACATCAAGAAAGAGATTCCTGGACCCGATACAGTAGACGAGTTTCTGTATGAGATCAACGCGCTTCATGCCTTACAGGGCACCCCTTATGTTGTTAGAGTAGAGGGGATCGTGGTCGATGACTTGCAGCAGGTGGTCAAGGGGCTCCTCATAAGCTTTGCAGAGAAGGGAGCGTTGGTCGACATTCTCTATGAGAACCGTGGCATGATTGCCTGGGAGCGGCGGGAACGCTGGGCCAGGCAGATCGTCCACGGTCTTTGTGAGATCCACGAAGCCGGCTACGTACAAGGTGACTTTACGCTTTCCAATATTGTTGTGGATGCCGATGACAATGCCAAAATCATTGATATCAATCGCCGGGGCTGTCCGGTAGGATGGGAACCTCCTGAGATTGCGGCAAAAATCGAGAGTAACCAGCGAATATCGATGTATATCGGGGTGAAGACGGATCTGTTTCAGCTGGGCATGACACTGTGGGCTCTGGCAATGGAAGAAGATGAACCAGAACGACAGCCCCGTCCTCTAATGATTGGACCGGATGCACGGGTGCCGGACTACTACCGTAGGTTGGTCTCTATTTGTTTGAGTGCGTCCCCCCGACACCGGCTGTCGGCCAAGGAACTTCTGGGCTTCTTTCCCCGCAATATGTGGATGACCGAGCAGTCGTTTCCTCCGATACGTCCTGCCCAGACAGGCCTCGGCGTCGCCTTACAGAATGGGGCTTTGCCACTGTACGATCCTCGAGCGGCTTTTCTGTATCACCACACGCAGCCTGTTGTCAATGGGGCATCTTTCGACACTCAATTATCGTTGGATGATACATATTCATTACAGCATGATGGCAGTGACTTTGCTTCTTCTCCAGATCGAGAACAGTACATAATGTCCAGGGAGCAGCAAGCTGGGGTGACTAGGACTGCGGGCCACGAATTGCTCGAAAGGGAGCCACTACCTGCAGCCCAACACAGAGTAAACGCAGTCACATACTTACCAGTGGCCAATGGAGTATTGCCTCAGACAACTCTGAGAGACTCTCATGCAGTACACAATACCGATCCAAGTTACGTGGAGGACGAGCCTGACTTGGTCGCCAACGCCCATCCTCCTTATCGGCGAGGATCGATGGACGGTGCAGTTGATCGGATACCCGGTGAAGCGATTCGTTTGCCGAGAGAACATGCCGGTGCTGTTGGCCACCTACCACCCTCATTGAATCGCTATTCATCCAACAATCTCTCGGAAATGGGAAGGTCCCAGGAATCTCCGATGTCATCAGCAGATACTCAATCCACGGATTTGTGCCCTGCTCACTTGACGGACCTGGGACAGGCCATGATTGACGACCAACATTGGCCGATGGAAGCGCCGTCGCGTTCTGTTTCCTCACTTCTTCACTCGATACTACCGATTAACCCTGCAGCCAATGTTGCCGACCAGAAAATGATAGACTCGGACGCAGACCGGTTCTCCCATCTGAGTATGAAATCCACCCTGGGATATTCTCACCAGGGCCTTCAAGAACCCACGACCTATTTGAGCGATTCTCATTTACCTATCAACCCAGCATTTACTGAAAGCGCCATTGGCGTCCATATGACAGGAAGGGAGTGTTGAGCCATTGCAGGACGTGCCACTTGTTCATAGTAGTCACCCATGCCTCTAAAATCATAAGGGACCGAACAGTGCAACCCCTGCGAATTTCCACTGTACAGTTAGTTCTTTTGAAGCGTTGCTCTACGGAGTATTCAGCGGGCATCACGGCGAATTCGGAGTTGGATGATTTCGGGGTTTGCTTTTCTTTCGTCTTTCTATTATCTTTGGTTTGATCTACTACACGCTGATCATCCCCCCAAAAGCCCTCATGCAGGTTTTCACTACTGCAGTTGCGATTACAGTCTCGGGAACCCATATGCTACCAGAGCAGTGGGGATATTTCTGGACATGGCGTTTTGTTTTTCTGTTTTCTTGACTGCTTCTACCTACCTACCTACCCACTAACGACTTACGACCGGCTGGATATTGTGACTTTTTGACCTTGCGCCGTTCCCATATTGTACACTGGTTTGTTAATACTATTCTAAGCAGCAACTGTATTAATCTGAAAGGATGACCTATTTGATTTGGCCGCGAACGAAACGATGGGTACATAGATATTAGCATCTAGCATCTCTTCCCATCTAAATCATATATCGTAGCAAGTAGTGTGCAACTGTAAAACTCTACTCTTCTCTTCGTACATACATTCATCATCGTCGTTATCATCATCAACCATCCTCCTCTAAGTACCGACCCCTCAACACCTAATCCACCCGCCCCAACCACTCCTCCAAACTCCTCTGCCACGCCCGCCCCCCATCACCACCCAACCCCCGACCAATCAGAACGATCTTACATTGCGTCTTTCCATCTGCGGGCTCCGAATCCCTAATCTCAAAAACGTCCCGCACCGCCTGAATAATCTTCGTCGACCCATCACTCAGCACAAGGATGCCCTTTAACCGGTGGATATCGAATCCCGTAGGTCCGGATACCTCCGCCGCGAGCGGCATCGTGGAGTCCCACAGGACGGATTGAAGCCAGGTGTCGACACGGGCTACTTGGGATGGGGTGATGGGGGGTGTGGTGAGAGCGATGGTTGAGATGGACTGTGAGTCGTGTTAGTAAATTCCTTCACCATACGTCTCTGAAACTGGAGGGGTAATACCGGATCCATATGACTATGTCCCTTCTGGGCGAAATCCAAGCTATCCAAATGATCATACGCATGCAGATCAAGCACCACGCCCTCTATCTTCGGCGTCTTGCTATGATCCGTGATGTGGATTTTAGCTGCGCTGTTGATGGCCGTCACGCGGTCTTGGACTATTTCTAGTTCGTCGGATGTTACTAGGTCTGCTTTGTTGATGATGATTACGTCCGCGTGCGAGATTTGCATGTGTGCCATGGAGAGGACGGGGCCGGTGTGCGTGTGCGTGTGGGAGTCTTTGGATTCAGCTTCTGCTCCGTGGCTGGAGACGGTTTCTTCGGGAGTCGGCTCGTCTAGTAGATGCAGGATGTTTTTGGCGTCGACGAGAGTGACGATTCCGTCCAGGTAGATGCTGCTTCCTAGGTTGTCGTCCACCCAGAAGATTGGGGCGATGTTGCCTGGGTCGGCAAGTCCGGTGGTTTCAAGCAGGATGTAGTCGAAGGCGCCGCGGCGTTCCATTAGGGATTCGATGGCCATGACGCCGTTGTCTCTGCTCTTGTATTAGTTGAGGGTGTGCTAGATAAGGGTAGGTGATGGGGATGTACTTGACAGAGCAGCAGATGCAGCCATTGCCGACTTCCATCCATTCGGTCACTTCTTGACCGTCTTGGTTGACGGTTAGGGGTTTCTCGATGTCGGTAGCTGGGTGGGTGTTAATTGGGGTTTGTTTATATAGTGGAAAGGGCGAGAATGTATGGTTTGTTTTCTCTTACAGTCCCCGAATTCTACATTATCTTAGCAATCTAATAGTTCTTGTTCTATGGAGTGGTCACTCACCGTTCATGATCACGGCAATCTTCTTGCCATGCTTCTCGGTGAGGATATAGTTGAGGAGAGTGGTCTTGCCGGCTCCCAGATAGCCTGACATGAGGAAATGTTAGTTAGTGTGGATCTACGGGAGATTTTTTTTCTTTTCTGCTGCTGGTCTACAATGAGATCGATCTGCATGTGTGGCATCACATCATACCAGTCACAAGCGTGATGGGCACGCGGTTCTGAGGCGGCGTGTCTAGTGACGTCGATGGCGGGGCCACATCGGGGGCGGTCAAGATGTCAACCAGCTGGGGTGGGGCATCGTCGTCGTCCATACTGAACGCTGTGTTTTTCAGGCTGGGGAGAAAGTTGACCGGAGTGTAAACTAGAATAGTTAGGATGCAGATGAATGCTAAGATGGAGAAAGTCGGGGAATGACGTTACCCCAACAGGAACGCTAGGGCTTAGGGCACCGGCAGTCATTTGGCAGCAATGCAAACCAGACAATCGCAGCCAATCCCCATCCGGCCAGCTCCATCTTATCTCCTCATTTCAGCTCGTTGTTGATCCGCTCGTCTCCAATTCCTTCCGTCTCTCCTTTACATCCCTCCCCGTTCTTTCTCTTCTTTATTTCTATTTTCACTCATTTGAGCCCTTTGCGAATCCTCTCGCTATGGCTACTGCGGGAGTCTCGCAGGCCACCTCTCCACGCCTGCCTAGTCCGCCCCCGTTTACGGAGGTCCAGATCGGGCCCAAGTCACCTTCGGTCGGCGAGTCCTTCGACCAAGAGACGGAGCAATTGCTGGGCGCTTCACAAACCTCGGAGGATGGCTCTACCCGGAGGATTCGTCCGGGAACTAGAGCTGGGGATATGGCCGTTGGTCCGCCTCTGATTCCTCTCTCTCAGGTACTGTTTTTGTAAACAAGGCACAGTTGTCTCCGAGTCCTAGCTCCGCTGACCCAGCCACCCCTTTCTGCGATAGCTCGATTCCCCCTTCCAACTTCAAGAACACCTCAAGGCTCTCTACAACCATTACACACGGCCCGAAGGCACTGATACAGTAGTTCCTATCAGTCGGGATGTCGCCATGCAGCTCGCGGAACCTCCGGACGGCGTCGACCGGTCGCTATGGCTCTACGAACTGTGTCGCTTCCTGACCATGAAAGTCAACAACCTCATCATCGCCTTCTTCGCCGATTCCCCTCCCTGCTCCTCCCAGACTTGCCCCGAAATGCGTGCATCCGAATGGCAGTACCTCTGTGCCGTTCACGATCCGCCCAAATCCTGCTGCGCCATCGACTATTGCTGCCATACTCTCGATTGGGCCACGAATATCCTTACGTCGCCTAAATACTTTCCTAGCCGACTGACTCTCGGTTCGGAGACAGGCGGCGGCGCACAGGCCAGCATGAGACATCTGACCAACATCTTCCGACGGCTGTATCGCATCTTTGCGCACGCCTGGTTCCAGCACCGAGAGGTGTTCTGGCAGGTGGAGGGACACGATGGGCTGTATATCTTCTTCAAGACGGTCTGCGACATGTACAGTCTCATTCCGGAAGATAATTACACGGTTCCTGCGGAGGCGGAGGGTGTCGATGTTCAGCAGCCGGCGGCGCCGGAGCACGCGGACAATCGTCGGATGACGATCTTGCGCAAGGAGAACGAGCCGTTATCGCTGGAGAGTATTGAGCCGGCGGCGATCAGCACGGGAGCGACCACGAGGCGTCACAAGAATAGCCCGTCTATCAGCTCGAGCGTGACGACCATCAACGAGGGTGCCGAGGACGACGAGCACCAGCCAAGGCAGCAGGCTGTAGCGGCGGCAACGGCTGCGGTTGCAGCTGCGAATGCCGCAGCGGCTGCTTCCTCGACCCCTGCCCCTACGCCTGCCCCTGCACCGAAGGAGGCCGAGCCAACGCCATCCGTCGAAGAGCAGCAGAAGCCGGAGCCGGAGCCGCAGCCGGAGTCGGAGCAATCCGTTGAAGACAATGGGTCTAAGGTCACCGTCTCAGAGGTCCACGCCGATGATGACGAAGCTACGCAGGACTCGACAGAGAAGCCGGAGGAGAAGTCAGAGGAAGAGCCAGAGACAGCCGAGGCCGAGGCCGAGGTCGAGCCCAAGACTGAGGTGGAAGCTGAGGCTGAAGAGCCGGCCAAACCTGAAGGCGAAGCGCCTGCAGAGGCGGAGGCGAAGCCCGAGGTAGAGGCAGAAGTAAAACAACCGAGCGAGCAAATTAGCGAACAGGAAGCGCCAGCGCAGGAAGCAGCGCAAGAGGCGTAGCGACGAGCAGATTCCTTCCTACTGATTTCTTTTTCTGATATGATACATGATGGCGTGTGTCGATACCACGGTTGTAATATGTGAGCATGTTTGTGAGGAGGCTCTGATGTAATATACGAGCGAGTAATGATACCCTTATGAGTGGAGATTCATCTGTTAAATCTGTAATTAGATGTAGACATAGATGGTGGTGGTTGTAAATGGATGGTATGGTATCTCCGCCTAACTCCGACGATATCGATTGCGATGATGTTCTCCACCGCAAGTAAGTCCACTTCATCTTCACCAACACAACCAACTCTCTCTCTCATCTACAATCCATTGCACATACCGCCAATCCACACATACACCATATACATATACACACTCTCTCAAACAATCTCATACATAGATGTGCACCCCCACCACCACCACAACAATGTCCATCCCAACCTCCATAACCCAAATCCTCAAAGCCGGTCCCATCCACTTCGGCCCCTTCATCGTCACAACCCAGGTAGCCCCCCTCCCTCCCCCATCCCCTACAACTACCCAATAACTAACCCAAAGAATAAGGTCTTCCACCTAACCCCGCACACCTACGCCCTCGTGAACCTGAAACCCATCCTCCCCGGCCACGTCCTAATCTCCCCGCGCCGAGTCGTCCCCCGCGTCACAGACCTCACTCCCACCGAGACCTCAGATCTATTCCTGACTGTGCGGCGCGTAGCACGCATGATCGAGCGGGTATACGGAGCGTCGAGTCTGAATATTGCCATCCAGGATGGGGCGGATGCGGGCCAGAGCGTGCCGCATGTCCATGCGCATGTGATTCCGAGGAAGAGAGGGGATTTGGATGATAGGGGGGGCATGGATGCTGTTTATGAGATGTTGGATGGGGAGGAGGGGGATTTGAGGGATGTGTTTTCTAAAGATGGGGATGAGGGTAGGAGGAGGAGGAGGTTTCCGAGGGTGGATAATGATGAGAGGAAGCCGAGGTCGGCGGAGGAGATGGAGGGGGAGGCGTGGAGGTTGGCGGGGGAGATGGAGAAGGAATTGGATGATTAGGGTATCTGGGTGATAGGATTAGAGAGTGTCTGTACTTATATAGAGGGTATGTGTATGCGTGTGTATGTGTAGGTCTATTGGAGCTATTATCTAAAGTAAACACTCCCCCAACGCCTCGCACGGAGTGTATGTAATATGCACAGCATCCGTAGTATGGAAAGAAAAATAAACAAGACCCGAAAACCCCCAATTCTCGTACCATCCACGGTCGTAATCATCACATTAACGCCGTAGACTTTATCGTACTATGTGTCATGTCTGATCATTCTTATGCTCATGCCGTCGCCTTGCTCTTCCAGAACTTCTCGCGCTCCTGCAGCACCGTGGCCGCCCATTCCTTTGTCTCCGGCAACTGCACCTTGTTCGCGACGTGGCAGAACTCCGAGAGATCGATGCCGTTGGCGCGCTCGTACTCCACCATCTGCAACAGCAGCTCCATCTTGTCGACGTCGTGGACGAACTGTGCCTCCAGAGTCTCGTTGGCCTCATACTCGTTGAACACCTTCAGGATCTCCTGTCCCGTCAGCATGCCACCGGGGACTCCACCCAGAAGATTGTTGGCAATGTAGTCCATAACCGCAGCCTCGCGACGCGCCTTCTCGGTCTTGTCGACCCGGTCAACGGGGGTGATGTCGCCGACAAGGGACTCGGCCATGTCGTGGATCAGGGCCATCTTCATGCAGTGGGGCAGGTTGAGGCGGGAGGCCAGGGAGGGCGGCGCGAGCATAGTCATCACCGACATGCGGTACATGTGGTCGGAGATGGATTCGCCGGAGTTAATGCCGAAGCGGCGCCATCCTTCGCGCTTGGTGGTCTTGAGACGCTCGAGGAGGTGAAAGAAGGGAATCGGAGAGGCGGAGTTCTCCTCTGGGGGGTGAGGGAGGCTTGCCAGGACTGGTTGAAGAGCTAAATGTTAGCTGGTGGGAGGGGGATGGTGGAAGGAGGGGTTAGGATCTGCTCACCGGACTGGGTGGTCCAGAGGGGATTGGAGGGGTTTTCGGAGCCCATTTTCCTAAGATAAATTTGGAGGAGAGAATGGGATAGACGAGTCAAGGTAGAAAAACGGAAATCGAAAGGGACGAGCACGAACAGTAGAGGAGAAGAAAAAGAAAAGAAGGCGAAGAGGAGAAAGAACCGGAGGAGAAAGAGAAACTGCGGGGAGAGAAAAAGCGGTCGAGCGGATTGGTTGGTTTCAGCCAGCCAGCGGATCCATCCATTCATCCATTACTTGCTCTTGCTTGTTGATCTCCAGTTCTCCGTTGTTGTTGTTACTCCCTCTCGTCAGTGCAATTCCTCGACTGGTCTCTCTGTTCAAGTATGTGCCAACAATCAATATACCATACTACTTTCTTCTCTAACCAGGAACCAGATGTACCATGCAGTCTCGAACCCCTCGACCCAAACCCCCGAACTGGTCCCCTCAGCCTCCCCTCTCCGTTTTCGTCCGCAATCTCCAGCTCCTCCAGCTCGATCGCCATGATGACTGGCCTCGCATCTCTCTTCGCTCCCTCGCAGATACGTCGCAGAACCAGCGTCAGCGTATAAGAGCCATCGAATGGGCTCTATACCACCTGGTTGCCCTTTGGGACCCTGACACCGCTCGGGATGTACGTTCCATCCCCTCAGTGGCTTTGATGCCCGACTGACGGCATGCAGAAACTCCGGCCCTTCTTCCCTCCGCTCGAGCCCCTGCAGTCCGTCAATCTGCGTGCTGCCTTGTTCCGCGTGCTCTCTGAATTGAAGAAACAAGGCGATCTGGGCAGAGAAACCATTCTCCGCAAGTCAATGCTGGATGATTGCAAAGGAGAGAAATTCGAGGAACTGTTGGCCGTCTTCTCTACTGCGGTGCTGCGGAAGACCCTCTCCGCTTCCTCAGATCCCGCACTACAAAATGTGGCCATGAAGCTTTCATTGGCTTCCGGGCTGACGCGCGAGGAATACCAGCTTATGCTCCCCCTTGTCCTCGCCCATCGGGTCTCCCTCAACCAAATCGGCGAGCGTCGCAACAGAGCCCGGGACACCCGTGAAAAGTTCACTCAATTACTAGAACTTAAGAAGCTGCAGCTTGACGAACGAGCTAAGGAGAACCCTCCTCAACTCCCCGACACTGGCGCCGACATAGATGCGCTGGCCCATGACCTCAGGGCTAACTGGCTGGGGTGTGAGGATTGGGCGGATACCCTCGTTGATGGTGGTGCACAGGGCAGCAGCGACGTCTTTCTGGAACTCCCGTTCGACACCGCATGGGCAAAAGCAAAGGAATCAAGCGTGGATGGCCTCCGTGCGAATTCATCCCCGGATCTGCTAGTCGATCTGGAATCTCGCGTCTTCCGTCAGCGAGCCCGGCTCCAGCGCTGGCGCCAGTACAGTGCCTCTATGCGCAAACATGAACGGGTACAATCCGCAAGCTCAACGAAATCTCAGGCACTCGTCTTTCGAGAACATCAAGCACTCACCGTCGCCAGCATCTCCAAAGCCGTTCGGCAGCCAGTGGAACGCGCCTCGCCCAAAGCAGACGACCGGGCACTGCTCTTCTCCATGACTGAGGCCATTGCCCGGATCAACGGCCGACCCGCAGCGCATCGTCACCGCCATACCCATAGCGACTCGAGACCACGCAACCCTACAACAGTGTCCTCCAGCTCAGCAGTTGGAAGCAACAGATCATCTCCCCAGGCTGAACTGGACACTACCCGCTCAACCACCACAAGAACATCAACACCCTCCATCCCAGAGCCCCAGCCCAGCGTCCCCTCCTTCTCAACTACTGAAGTCCCCGAAAGGGACCCTTCTCCCCCTCCTGAACGAACTAGCAGATTTACGCTCGTCGAACGAACCCGCAAGTCCATGTCCCTTATCGTACCACCCACCCAACCCCGACCAAGAGAAAGTTTCCGGTCCCACCGACATCGGCCCTCTTTCCCCATCAACCAATTCGAAACTCCCCAGAAATCACACACCATTCCCAGTCGGGCCTCTACGCCACGCGACGAGCTTTTCGACGAGGAAGCGGACTACGCCAGCGTATTCAAGTCGCGGCCCCGCGTGGCGCACAGTCCGGTCGCATCGCCGGCAGTGCACATCAGCCCCATTGGGGATTTCGATCTGAGTCCAGACGAGGAAATTGACCTGGACGGGGGAGACGAGGAGTATGTGCAGGATACTCCGTTGGCGTCGAGGCGGAGGGTTTTATGATTGTTACGTCGGTTCATATTTCGTTTTGGCTTTATTAATTCTTATGTGTGACGTTCTTTTGGGAGACCATTATACTTACCCCTCTTACATGCCTATACCTACATATGATTAATGTTTATAGATCCTGGATGAAAGCAGTACACGATACAGCAATTGATTGTTATTTTAGTGAGATACGAATACACTATTATCATGCTTTTCTGCAATTGATCAGCAATCCCTATCTATGTCATTATGTCGTCCAGTACCTCCGTCCCTGTGCCTGGTACATACCACCAACGCCAAACATGAAAACATAAAGACAATTATACATACATGTGTTAACAAAACAACACAATATCTATCGACGACCACCCCTCCTCGTACTTCTCCGCGTCGGCCGCGGCTCCGGCTCATAGTCCGACTCGGACTCTGCATCTGACTCCTCTGAATCCGGTATCTCTACGGGAGACGAGAGCTCCGAGTCAGAACTCAACGAGATCGGATTCTCCACCTTGCCATCGTCATCATCATCACTATCAGCAATCTCCGCATCAACAACCTCCGGTGTGGCAGGCTCAGTCGATACATGCTGCTGCTGTTGCTCATGATGATCAACAATCAATCCCCCATCATCATGATCATCTCCCTCCTGACCAGGAAGAAGGAATCCACCGCCCCGATCTACATCCGCCCCGTCCTCATCCTCACCAGGAAGTAAGAACCCGCCACCATGGACTTCCTCGTCGTGCTCCGGATGAGCAGGGGCAGAAGCAGAAGCAGAAGCATCTTGATCAGGCAAACGATCACGACGATTTGTAAACGGATTATGAGCATCACGCTCATGATCCACCCCGTCGTCCGCATTCCCACCATACTCCTCCTGTACACGCTGCTTAATCCGCAACCCGAAGAGAAACTTCCGCCAAGTCTGCAGAATACGCGCCTCGGCTTTGCGCTGCTCCCGCTTACGTTTCTCTGCGTCATCCACTAACCAGGCATCTTTAACAAGGTCCTCGTTTTCCGCAGCGACAACCACGCCCTGGATAACAGGGACAGCCATCTTCGACCCGAACTCGAAGCCCGTGACTGCTTCTGCATAATCAACGCCGAGTTTCTTGCATACGCGCACAGTTCCAGGCCAGGGGATATGGACCGCACCGCGGGGCACCATGCTAGGGACGAAGCAGTCGATATTGCCGTATTCGTTTTTAGGGATGACACCGTCACAGATTGGGTCTGGGATGATGTATTCCGTTTGATGGATGGCGTAGAGGCCCTGTTTTGGCTTTTCGCCGTTCTGGCGCTCGAATTCGTCGACTTCGCGTTTGCGGAGGAGAGTGACGGCGCGGATGGGCACGCGTTTCAGGGGCATCTCGCCAGCCTTGGGTCTTCGGCCTTCTTTGTGCCAGCTCTCTGCGGATAGACATTTCAGGACGTCTTTGCGTCGGAAGACTTTCTCTTCTTTGGCTTTGGCCCCTTTGCCTGTCTTGAAGGTGCGGACATGTCGCGCACCGGGTTTGAGAGCTTCTTCGCGCCGGAGGAAGCGTTCGAGGACGAATTCCGTGGATGTGCGCAGGCTTTGGAGCGTGTCACCTTCTTTGCCGGGTTTGCGTTCGGGTTGGTTTGGGAGGAGGTCCTTGGTGTCTTCGAGGTCGTCGACGGCGGTGCGTTGAGGTTGGGCGCGTTGGTAGACGCGGAGGATTACGCGGAACCAGTCGACTTCGTAGTATTTGCCTTTGCGGCCTGGTATGGGGATCTTCTCGACGGGGATCCGGTAGCCTTTGGTTTTGCCAGGCCAGGTGCGGCGGCGGAGATAGCGTGTTGTCACGTCTTTGGCAGTCTTATCGGACGAGTAGGCCACGACGTAGCAGATAACTTGCTTGGCTTTTTCGGCTTTGCCGCCGCGAGGTTCGAAGGCTGCTTGGAGCTCGGGGGTGGTGGCGACAGGGTTGCGGAGGATAAGCGGGTCGACGGGGATGATTTGGTGGGTGATGGGAGAGGCGACTTCGGTCCAGTAGATGGGGAAGGGCAGGTCTTCGTCGTATTTGCTGAAGTACTTGCTACGGGCGGGCTTTGTGTCGTCTTCACTGCTGTCTGACTCTACGTCAATGGCGTCTTCGGTTTCCGCATTCTCCGTCGATGGCTCGGTGTCTGCGCTTGGCTTGGTTGTGTAGGTTTCGCTCTTGGTCCAGCCGAAGCCAAGGGGCTGCAGACTGGCGACTAGTCGAGCTTCGATGTCGAGAGCACGCAGCAGAGCCGTGAACAGCTGGGCGCCTACGTCACGCGAGCCCTGCATGTTCTCGGCAGCCTGGCGGAACTCCTCAATGCTGGCTATTCTTTCGCCGTGTTTCTCGGGATCGTGGTCGTCCTTCTGGAAGGACTTGATCTGAGCCTCCAACTGAGCCATGGGGCGATACCCCTGCTTACGTAGCCCAGGAGCGGTGATCTTGAACTTGCTCTTCCAGTAGGCAGCGAGGACCTTGAGAAGGATGATAATGGGGTCACCGCTGCTCATGTCAGGTTGGCCGGGTTCAAGTCGCGACGAGCCTTCAGCCCAATCCCGTTCTGATTGACGACGCTGCTTCCCTTTTCCTTTCTTCGACTTCTTCTCGGGCGGTGGCTCTGGAGCCTCGAGGCCGGATGCAATGCGCCATTTCTTGACCTCTTTGTGTATGGGTTGGGGTAGCTTGCGGCGCAGGATCTCGTGGAGCTGGGAGTCGTTGGCCCAGACATTGCGGATGGCGTTGTGGTGGAGCAGAAACTGCACATGTAGACAATGGGTTTGGATGCGGATCTGGCGTTCGATCTTTGACGGGCCCTTTTTCCCTTCGAGCAGATCAGTGAGGTGGATCTCGTTCTTGTCTAGTGTCAACTCCAGGTCCTGGTGCTGGTCGGGGTTGAGGATGGAAGGCGTGGCTGGGGTGGCGTTGGCATTGGACTCGATGGCGTCCTCCCAATCGACCTCGTCGGAGTCGCTGCTTTCCTCATCCGATCCATCCAGTGCCTGGGGAGTTTCCGTCTCTTCGGGAACATCGCTCAGGGACGATTCGGTGTCAGTGTCTTCGATGACGGCGGCGATGGGAGGCGTCGCATGACGGCGTTTGGCGGCGGGCGGATCCTCGGAAGAGAGACGCTTTCGGGGGACGTATGGGGGCATGCAAGCAGCGGAAAGCAGGCGACTAGAAACTTAGATTTAATCTAGAGAAGAGTAAAAGAAAGAAAAGAATATGCCAAGGTAATGGGTGGTGGATAATGAAGGAAAAGTTGGAGGAAGGAGAAAGTCGAAGGGGAGGTTCGCGCCATCGAGGCTCGGCTTCTTCTCCGCGTCTCCCCCATCTTTATCATCAATTCACCCCACATCTTCGTCATCCTCCTCTACTATCCTTCTGTCTCACGAATCATCCTACGATTCCTTTCCAGACTATCTGTGCATATCTTCTATCATCAGTACGATCTCGAAATGTCTGCTACGATGGATGCCGCGCGCCGCTTCTTCCTGTCGCCGCAGTTTGCCGTGGCGGGGGCCAGTAACGATCGCAGCAAGTTTGGCTACAAGAGTAGGTCCCATTGCCATCACTTTGCAGGCCGTTGCGCCGGCTGACCAGCAGTCTTTGCCTGGTATCATCAACACTCTCTGCCCGTTACTCCCCTCAACCCCCGCGCCCCTGAGATCGAGCTGCCGTCGCAGACCTACAAGACGGTCGCATCGCCCCGCGCGTTGCCCAACCCCGGCCAGACTTCCCTGTCTATTGTGACACCTCCCCCAGTGACCCTTGCCCTTCTCAAGGAGGCCCACAGTGTGGGGATCCCCGCTGTCTGGCTACAGCCAGGCACGTATGATAAGAGTGTGTTGGACTATCTAGATGGTCATTTCGAGGCAGCGGTGGTGGGAGACGGTGGTGTGGGCGGCGAGGGTTGGTGTGTGCTGGTGGATGGAGAAAATGCGTTGAGGGAGGCCCATCGCGAGTGGAAGGCCCAGCTGTAGTTAGGCTTCATTCGAAATAAAGAACTAGGAACGATAGTAATAAATGCTGTTGCGGTGAACAAAGTAACGGGGAATGAAGAAAAGGTCAAAAAAAGAAAGAAAGAGGGAGGCTGGCGGTGGCTCTTCTTGTTGGGGACAATCCCGTGTTTTTTCTCCTCTTCTTTTCTTCTTCTTCTTCCCACCTCATCTTCTTTTCTCACCTCTACATCTATCTGTCTCCATCGCGCCCACGTTCTTTTCTCCATCATATGCAACCCCCTGCATCTCCTGTCCTTCCCAGCCACTGCTCGTCCCCCCACCTTGAAGAAGGATGCCAGCCAGTCCATTCTTCCTCGAGTCCCCCATTCCTCCGCAACTCGATCTGGCCGGCGCTCCATCACAGCTATTCCAAGTTCCGCCCACCCCGTCAGCCTCATCAGCTTTATATCGCTCGATCTCTATCCCCAACCGCAAGAGATCCCGTCTAGAAGTTGATCGTCGTCCTTGGCTGGATGTCGACACCCCCTCTAATCATGTTGCCTCTGTGATCTCTCCCGACGATCTTCTCCTCGGCGTGGAGGATACCTCCGTCGATCACGTCTATCGCCCCAACCGTTATCGCAAACCTCGGTCTCTCGCACTCGATGATAGTGTCGAATCTCTCAGCGAAACCGTGGATATTCGCCGTAAACGCAGCCGCTGGGACCCGTCGTTGATCGAGGCCTCTCCGACCGGTCACGATGAAAAAATGACGATCACGACTAGGACCCCGACTACGACCACGGCTCCTGCCGTCGTTACTCCTGTTGATTACCCACAGCCTGCTCCCGTTCGCTGGAGTCGAGCTGTGCTCGGTGTGGTTGGCAAAGTCTGGGACTTTTGTTGGAGCGGAGCTTTCCGAGGGTTTTATGCAGGCGGTGGGCAAGGCTATACTATGACGGCGGAGGATGCACAGCCCCAGCTGGCATCCCCATCGATCGAGAAGGAAAGCATTTCCACTTCACAGCGGCAACAGGGTTCCTCGAGCCCTTTCCCAGGACAATATCCAGAAGATGATCTCAAGCACAGTTGGGTCTTCGTGTCCGCGCGCGAGGAATTCATGGACGAAGCCAGCCCTTCTCAGCGCAGACGAGTCCATCGGCGGACCCCAGCACATACCCACTCCCGTCGGCGGTCGCAGGGCAAGCGAACGCTGATTTCGCATGCGCCGTCTATGCCGACGAAATTGCAATTTTCATCGCCAGCCAAGCCGCGGGAGAGCCCCGTGTCTGTGGAGACGCAGCGCTACATGGCTCAAAAGCGTCGCATGGAGCGTGAGGAGGATGCCAGCCTTGCCCGGTTGAACCGGCAGCTACAGGCAATGATCAAGGAAGGGAAACAGGCACTGGGGACCCGCGTGGAAGTGGACGACTTAGATATGGAGGATTAATGCGCTTTTTCACTTTTCTTTTTTACGACATGTGATACTCTACTCGACCCTGATACCCTTCGTTAAACACCTAGATGACGATACTTGACGATTGGCGACGCTCGTTACGACTACGAATCATGAAACCAACCGATAATGACTGGCGTGGATCTGTTTTTTCTCAAACCCGATTGCGCGTGTGATACGATATTGTTATAGTTAGCTACCATTAGGACAAAACAGAACCTGAACCTGAAACCATGAACCTTATAACTGCATCAATCATTCATCATCCCATACCCCGAACTTCCTTCTAAATTGTATCGATCTCATTGCCTTTCAGCCCCATCCTGAGTTCCAGCTCCCACACCCGCCGAATCCTCAGACCCATAGATAGGATCAGCCGGGCCATCCCCGTTATTATCATCATCATCAGGAGCAGCCCCTGCAGCAACATCACCAGCACCAGGCCCTTTATCATCACCAGGATCCTCATCAGCATCATCGTCATCCTTCTTCGGACTAGGATTCAAGAAAGGCAGGTGCACGCCAGACAAGAACCCCGAGAGTCCTCCTTCTTTGGCCAGCCCGTCGAAGAGGTTCTCGCCAGAAAGGCGCGCCGCTTTGCTTGTAGACTGTGCGGTTGTCAGCTTTTGACTTCTATTATGTACTAAGACATGATACGATGTAAGATAGAAACGTACAGGAACCGGCATGGCCACTACGCCCATGACAAGGGTAGCGGGCACAGCGAAGGTGAGGAACTTCATTGTCTTTGTTGTTTTCTGCTTTAATTTCCGGGTGGGTTAAGATCCAAGGTAGATGAATGAATGAATGAATGAATGAGCGACCGAAAGAGAGAAAGAAAGAAAACCAGTCGGAAGAGAATAACAGACGGTATTAAATCCTACCATCTACATAATATCTATATGTGTGTGAATCTGGCATGCTACGCGTCAGTATCCATCCCCCCCTTGATTTGTTAGAAGACGCGGTGCCTGCATTCCTTGTCTGACAGTCTATCTACTAGTTTCTAGTGAGATAGGGCGGGTTGTATGGCTGCCGGCAGGGGGTAAGAACACACATAATACTGCCCTTTCCTTCTCTCCCTTCTTTCAAGGCTTGTTTGTGTTTAGCTCTTGGATAGAGTTGAGTACGGAGTCCTTGGTATACAATAGTACCACTTTGTTTTTCTCGTGTCTTGGGTTAGGTCTGAGTCCATGTGTTAGGTTTACCCTTCTCCTGTGGTTTAAAGCATGGGTAGTGGAGTAGGTAAGGTAGGGTTACGCGGTAGGGATGGACCAACGAACTGAACTCCTTGACAATTTCGAAGTCCGAGTCAATTTAAGTATAACTGGGTCATGAGGTCTGTTTCGGATAACTCCGAATGTTGTTCACTTTTGTGCTTCTCGATGTACCTCAATGAAAAGGGAAAAAAGGTAGTCGAGTAATGAGGCGCATTCTTGTGTGAGGGGAAAGAGGGAAAGAAAAAATGGCAAAAAATTGACCTACGCAGGACTCGAACCTGCAATCTCTTGATCCGTAGTCAAGCGCCTTACCATTGGGCCAGCAGGCCAGTTGATATATGTTTGCGATTTATCTGTATTAATAAAGCTAAATATTGTTAGCTGATAGCGTTCCCTGCTTCGATGGTAGTTCGTTTGTAATGATTCTTACTCTTATTTCATCACCTTATTATTAACAGAAGAAAACGTGGATTCCTTATAAAGTATTGGTTCCTCTTTGATATATCTCGCTGTTTGATTGTTTGCTAGTATTTACATTCGTTATTGAGGAAACAAATTGACAGCGATATGTGACATGCAAGCATCGACAACCCATGTCCTCCGTGCTGTACATTATCACTTCAGTGTTGAGTATGACCGTGCAGGTTGAAACAAAAACATCAATATTCGTATAAATCAAACGCTAACCAAACGCCGTCGCTATGCTCACAATATTGGCCAAACAAAGATTCATGTCATCTGCGGCTGAAATTTGGGATTCGTCCGGATCCTCTCACCATACTTGAGTAAGAAAAGCGAAGCCGGGACAAACAAGAGTGCTATAAACCCTAGTAGGCTGTTCCCCCATCCTAGCCCGAGGGCATCGTACAAAGGAGTACCCGCCAACGGGATCGTAGCCCCGAACAGGCACCGCAGAGCCAGCTCCGCAGATACTGCGCTGGCAGCATAAAGAGTATATGAATCAATCAGGTACACCTGTGTAACCAGATGAACGAAGAAGATGCCTGCACCCACGAAAAAGGTCCCAGCGATGGGAACTATCCAGTGCAACCGGTATTCTGCGGCCCAGCCGTACCAAAAGAGTCCGATTGGGACGAGAATGCATCCGACCACTAAAGGTGGAAGTCGATCTTCTGGCTTCATCTTGCCATGGATCTTTTCCTGCTTCTTGAGGTATCGATCGGAATAGTATCCCACGACGATCTGTCCAGAGCAGAACCCGAGACCCAGTCCCAGGTAGCCGAGACCTGCTTCGCCGGGAGTAAAACCGTACACATTCTCGAAGACGCTCGTAAAAGTAGTGAATAGTGTGTACATATAGCTGTAGGTGATGGAGCTGTACAAAGAAACGATCATAACGATGGGTGATAGGAAAAGAAACTTGATCGGACGGCTGATCGAAATCCAGATAATTTGGCCAATCTTCTTATCTATGTCGTATTGAGTTCGGAACGGACGTCCAGTCTCTTTCTGAAGTCGCTTCGCCTTTCGCTGGAGCAGCGTGGGTGTATATGTCTCCCGCAAAAATATAAGCGAAGCAATCACGATGATCCCGCCCTAATCACATTAGAAATTTGTTTAACGATACGGTATCGAGCCAACTTACAAGGATCGCCTCTATCCAGATTGTCCAACGCCATCCGATATTTTGGACAATGTAACCACCATAAATCGGTCCTGTGACCATACCCTACAGCAGAAATTAGACCTGCATTGATGATTACCGTCTAATGGGTAGATTAAGACTCACCATGAGGGGACCAACTGTCCAGATCGTCATTGCCGTCCCTCTCTTCTCCATGGGAATCATATCCGCAACAAAGCCTCCACCGACCGTCACAGGTACGGAACTGGCTATGCCCATAACGAAGCGTGCCATTATGAGCATTGATATGTTCACACTGGCGGCGCAAACAACTGCAGCCACTGCAAATAGTATATTGGCCAGGTGTGTCATGGGAAGTCTCCCGCTTATCTCAGTGAGAGGCGTCAGAACCAGAGGGCCAAGAGCAGACCCCATCACGTAAATCGAAATCATAAGAGATGAAATGGATGGGTTGTGGACATTGAACTCTTTCAGAACTTGCGGCACGCCGGGAGCGAATACCGTGGATACCATAGATCTGGAACAGTCAATTCAGATGCTCGTACGGATGCATAGTCTTATCGTAGACGTGTCGGACTCACACGTTGAAGCTGCTCAAGGATATCAACCCGATAATGACCCATTTCCGCAAGGTGGTCCAGTTCATGGGGTTCTGAGGGTCGTTTGGCCCGTCCCAGTCCACAACGAGGTCATCCTTGTCTTGGGGATCATCCGATTCTAATGCACTATCTTGTAATGTGACTTCTCCTTCTTCAACGTGCACAATGTCTTTCTCCGCAAAGATCGTATCAGCACTCTCCAGGCTAGTCTCCTGGCTTAGAGCGGCGGAGTAGTCAACATCCCCGGGTGGCGCCGTAGGCATGTTAATGATCGGGGTGGTTACACGGGGATAGTAAGAGCAGCTGGAAGATCAGGGACAATGGCACAGATGATTTTCGACATGATTTCCAACAGACAACCAAGGCAATAAGTAGCCTGACAGCCATGCTGGGAAGATAGACAAACCAGGTAAATTGAGTAGATCATTGCAGACAACGCGCGTCCAGACAGTAGATGAGTCTGGCATTCCGGCCCTTGCTGTCCCTACCGTGGGTCTCTCGTGGCTCCCTTTCTCTGATTTTGGGATTACCTGTCGCAAAATTCGCCCAAGCGGATTGTTGTGGGTACAATAGGCGTAAGACGGATCATCTAGCATAGGCAGGGGTAGTAGCACTGACGACTGTAATGGTATCCTTGCGTGACCAGCTCGCCTCTGCTGCTTATCAACGTTTGCCCCATTAGGATGGAGAATAAGCCTTATCCCATAGGAACTATTCTTTGGGTAGCGCTTCAATATTCCCCACATGATCCACCATGGCGCAGAGGTCCCTGACCCGGCTCTCCTTTTGTCATTCGCAGATCGACATATCACTTCAGGAATCAGCGACAGTGATCAAAATCCCATATGGCAACTGCTCCCCGGGAAACCATTACCGTAGGATCGCGTGGCTTTGATCTCAAAATAGCTAAAACAAACTGAATTAGTTCCATCTATTGTCGAATATATGCAGCCACAGGTCGAGACCAAATCCAGTACCCACTGATGGATGCCTCCAAGCATTGGTCGTTAATTAGGTGATCACCTAGAATTTGGCCAAAATAGTCTCAAACGTTGGGTCTACACATTTGTGGGGTAATATCGAAGAGACCAAGTAGCTACTCTTCTGCTGCTCCATGGGCGTGCTGATATCAGTGACGATGTTGAGCCTGCAACTAGCTCCGCGCGGCCCTGAAACAGGCTTGTCAGAGGGCTGAGCTCATACCTGAGGGCATCACAGCCATAGCATGTTTTGGCCAAATATGTAGATCAACCATCCGGATTGGCAGTCCTAGCTCAGATCCAGAAATGCTTGGTGAAGACACCTCAGCAGACAATTCTCATAATAGTATAGTACTATTGGACGGAAGGCGGGAGATCTCCCGGTTGGCCCATCGGCTGGCGCTTTGGACCCATTCGTTCCCAGTCAACGCTTCGGCATTCCTCCCAAGTCATGCCCATCAACCGTCGCATATATGGTCGCCCGTTGTGGCAAGTCAAATGCGTGATACGGATCTTCAGGTCCACATCCTAGTTAACATATAGACCGAATATGCAAACGGAGCTGCGCCAAAATAGAGCTTGCTAGAAAGCTTATCGTCCGGCCGAGGTCAAGCGGTTAGAATTCATCAGATTTCCGCAGCCCCGGGTTCAGTTCTAGCCCGACAGCATCGAAGTCTGGACAGCGGTCCTAAGAGATTCTATCCACTCTTAACGGCGATCTCCCTTGGGGAGCCTAATTGATTGGTGACAGCTGCTGGGATTATTGCCTCGGGTGGGTTCGGGACTGCGGGCTAGAAGCTTATTCAGATTCCGATATACCAAAATTTGGGGTTATGTTCCGCTATGATGCGTTGATTTTGCTGCGGAGGTGCGGTTCTGCACGATTTCCTTCCGTGCTGTGCTCTTCAAATCGTTCTAAGAACAGGTGGACATTTAGAATTGCAAGCAGCAGGCAGTCTCACCATGCAATGTACATTCCGTCACTTGCTGAAGCCACAGTGGGCCTTGCTACCCCGTGGCAATCGTAACCAGACGGTGGCGAGGCCGATGCTTGCGTGCGTATCTTGTAGATCTGTGGCAGGTTGTTAACTCCCGAGTCAGGATGCCGAGTATTCGCCATAGCTCACGAGGTCAAGGCCACGCAATGTCCATTATCGAAAGAAGCAAACTTCTCAATTGCATAGCATGAGGATTCAACGAGAGGAGGGAAGTCTGCAGGACTGATGAAACTCGCATGCACGGGACCGTCCCGTGATCCGTTCCTTCCTTGAATTGCGAACAGCCTCAAAACATCCACCGTTTTGGATTTCTACATTCCGAGGTGTATCTGCCCAGAATACTACTACTTCCCACCCTTTCTTCCTCGCTGGTTCCTCGCTGGTAGGTACTGTTACCTGATTTGGGTCACAGCATCAACTTCAATTGAATAAAGTCGCGGGTGATTGTCGGAATCGCAACCGCCGAGTGACCCGTGAGACTGAATAATGGCCCTTTCCATGTCAGAAACACGTTTCGACTAGAGTGATCGACCTTACCCGGGTTGCTTCAATTCTGCTTAGTCTTCATTGGAGGAGCCAATTGCTCAACGACCTGCACGGTACTGGTATGTTCTTCTCCGATCTATATAGTACTATATATAGATACGTCCCGAGTCAGCCCGAAGATCAGCACGCCGCAGAGCTTCAACTGAGTGCACTGCTGTTCGCATGTGGAAATGAATTATCGTTGCTCGATGATGATACTGGACTACGCAGAACTTGATGCTTCACAGGCTCAACGCTCGAGCCGTGCACATTCTGCAACGAAGTCTTTCGGCCTCAGAGAGCCCAACGTCAACGCTAGAAGTTGAACACTCCCCGTAAGGGATACAAAACTAACCAGTAGCAATAAGTGGCTTGAACGACGATGGTTACTGGTTCCTATACTGTTTGTCTTTAATCGCTCAACATCGTGTCTTGTGAAGTAAGAAGTGTCAGGACTGGTAGATGACATGTCCACCACGCGTTGTATTGGCGAAGGTGAGCCAATTTCCATCCTTTGCGGTTCAATTCTGACATGTAATCCAGTGAGCCAGCTAGGACGGGCAACCCGGTTCAAACCTGGAGCAGAAGTTCTTCTAGTTTCCAAACTCGAAGATGCCACCGAATCCTTATGCCATGAAAGTTGCTCTGTACGAAGAATGCGGTCATCGCTTCAAAATCTGCAAGCCGTCTCGCAGAACTTGAAGTTGGACCCAATAACATCAATATTTGATGTTCCTTTCATGTCATCTTGTCACCCGTCTACGCGAATGACCCGTGAATCCACGGTTAATAGAGCGCTTTGGCATGGAGATGACGACTATACATAATTCCATAATCCTCTCAGACCATACACCCATACATCATCATGAGCCAGCCACTCACGGCGAGAAACACACAAAGCGTCTTTTCCAGCTCTTGTCGTGCTTTCTTCATCTTCATATACCCACCGATACTACAACTTCCATCCACAGGCCAGCACGATACCAAAATAAAGCTCGCGATGGATCCACGCCCAACTCCTCTTCCGACACCACCTCCCTCACCTCAACCAGTCCCTCAGCCGGCACCCCAGCCTGGACCGCAGCCAGGACCTCAACCGGCACCGCAGCCAGCACCGCAGCCGCCACAATCAGTTCAAGCTGCATCAGAAATCAGTTTTGATGAAGATCTCTCAAGCCAGTCTGGGTCCATCGGCCAAGATGCAGAAGCACAAACACGTCTGGGCCCCAACCCACCACCACCCTCTTCCACCTCCACCCCAACTACAAACCCTAGTCAAATACTCACGGCAAAGTCCGCCGTGGCATCCGCAGCCAAAGAGCTACGCTTGATCCGCAAGGTGCTCGAGCCCAAGGAAGCAGGCGAAGCGTCTTCGAGTCAGGCGGTTCCTCCAGAATTTCACGGCGGCAGTAGTAGCAGTAGCAGCAGCAGCTACGGGGACCCGTCCGCTCTCTGGCGCGAGTTCGATAATCTGGAAATTCATGCCACCAGATGGGCGGGAATGGAGGTAGGGGTGTTAAAGGACCTTCTGGAGCAGTTGGAGGCATTACTGAATGATGCGCGAAACCAGTTGATTGAACTGGAGGTCCAGAAGGCACTGTTGGAGATGTTGCTCGCCATTTCGAAGTATCGGGGCGAGGTAGAGGATTCCAGCTCGAAAGAGGGTTAAGAAGTCCTACTACTACCTTGTAGTCATTCGTACTCGTTTGATTAGCTGCTGCTACATTGTTCCACTTGTTCACATTAATTCTCATTCTCTCGAACCATAACAGAACCCAAAGAACTATACCAATTTGGTTTAAATTAGTTGCTTAGCTGAATCTATTGCTGTTCTATACACCATATTCCCCCAACCACCAACCACACAACAAACCACCCACCTAGTTCTCAAAAGGCAAGCCCGACTCCTTCCTCACCGATCCATAAACCGCCGCAATATCACCCTTCTCCCCCTTCTCCGCCTTAACAGTCTGCAAATGATGATCCGTAACCTCCACACTCCTCAACCTGACCCCCGCCTCCCCAGCCAAACTACTAGCATGTCTCAAATCCTTCCTGGCCAAATCCACCGCAAACAACGGCTCCTCCCTAGTATGATAATCTCCCGTAACCATGCGATCAGCATACAACGCAAACGGCCCCGGAAAAAACGTATGCAAGAACTGCTGATACACATCCGCGCCCAAACCCGTCTTCTCCGCCGTAACCAACCCCTCCGCCACCGTCTCCACGGTATTCAAGATAAACGTATTTCCGAGAATCTTCAGCGTCGTGGCGCGGCCCACGTCCTCTCCCGCCATGGAGATCGTCGCCTTGGAAGTAACGCCATCCAGGAAGGGCTTGATGCGGTCGATCGTGGCGGCGTCACCGGCGGGGACGACGACGAGTTGGCCGGCGATGGCGGCCGCCGGGGCGCCGAAGACCGGGCAGGCGATGAAGGAGGCGCCGTGGGAGGCGAGCTGGCGCTGGATCTTGCGGGAGGTGTCGGGGTGGACGGTGGAGCAGTCGACGATGATCTTGGAGGAGAGGGAGGCGGTGGGGAGACCGGAGATGATGGCTTCGAGGGCGGCGTCGTCGCCGACGCAGATGAAGATTATGGTGGAGTTGGAGATGGCGTCGGAGAGGGAGGTGCTGACGGTGGCTTTGTTGTCGGGGAGGGTCGAGGCGAAGTCGGTGGCTTTGCTGGTAGTGCGGTTGTAAAGGGTTACAGGGGTGGTTTGGGGACCTTTTTGGGCGATGTTGGCGGCCATGGCCTTGAATTGGGTGGTTAGTTGTCTAGTTGATGGTGGGAGCAAGTGTGGTGATGCAATGAGGGGCAGATGGGGGGACTTACGCGGCCGATGTTGCCCAGGCCGATCCAGGTGATGCGTTCGTTGGCCATTGTGGTGATGGTAATGGTGATGATGAGAGAGAAATTGGAAGGGATAGACGGATTGTAGGGTTTGTTGGGTGAATAGTGATTAACGCTGGGGGGGAGAAGCTGGATTAAATACAGATGGAGCAGGGCGAAACCGGATGCGATGCGGGGAGAGGGGTTCAATGTTTAGCCGACATCCACGGGTCGTTCTATTGGACAAAACACTTACTTATGGAGACGGTTCAATGGAACTCTCTCTTCATATTCGCTAAGTGTAGATGGATACATGCTAAGCTCACTGAGTGGACCAGCTTCGGTCTATCCGACAGCCCGAACAGTCGCGGTTCGCTGTTTTGTTCAATGCCGAAGACCGGGATGCCCCGCCCGCGGAGTCATCTTTAACTAGTCAACTAGTCACTTAAGTACATTGTAGTTAGTTTATCTTCACAAAATCAATTCGTCGCTTCAGAATGCACTTTTGTCTTCGCCGACACAAGGAAAGGAAAGCAAATGACCAATGTCATCCTCGACTGCGGCTCCGAGTATGAGGAGGCTCCCAGGGCTGGCTCAACACCTCGAGAAGTCTCTCATACGCAACCACGCGTCCATCCTTGAACGGCAGCTGCCCGGCGACCTGCATGGCCCGCATGCGCATTGCATGGGATTCGTCACTAGCAGTCACCACACGCAACAGCGCATCTCCCAGCTCCTCCCCACTCACTTTCGGCGCCGACCTGCGGCTGCCCCAGATGCCAATCCCCAGGTACTCAACTCGTGCAGCATAGTCGTACGCGTCAAACCAGACCGGGAGCACGATCTGCGGAATCTCCGCCCTAGTGGATCTCGGTGTTAGCGCTGCTTGCACTCGTTCCACCGCAGGTACAATGCAAATGAATGCATAGCCGTAGAACGAACCAACTTACCTGACAGCTTCGTGGAATACATTGGCCCCGCCATGATGCACCAAACAAGTAACATGTCCACTCATCAAAAGTGACATGATCTCAAACACAAACCGCTTCGCGATGCGCATACGTTTCCCGTGTATGTAAACCCCCAGAAGCTTAACAATCTCTCTAGTCACGGCAGGGTCCTCGACGTGCTTCAGCTTCCAGAGAACCTGCATATTGAGCTCTTGCTCGAGAAGCTTCTGTATGGCCTTGGCAATTTCAATCTGCTGCTTACCAACGTAGCTGAAACGGGAGTCCATTAGGACCAGCACAGTAGGGCGCTTCGAAAGCCAATGGGCCAGTTCGGGATCCTCCTTCACCATGGGGCGATAGTGGCGAAGAATAGGACCGCAGAGAGTCATGTGCTCGGGCACAACCAGCGGGAAGTCGGTCTCTGGCCAGGAAGGAAGGATGATGCGGCTACTCTTCTTTGCTTCGTGGGACAGGAATGGGACAGGGCCCTCAATTCCGCGGGCCTCACGGGCCTCATTGACCCCCTTGAGACTAGCGCACTTCTCGAGTTCGTGCTTGAATCGAAAACCCAGCAAGATGTTGCGAAGCTTATCCCAGAGCGACATGGGCATCTTGAACCCAGAACAGATCCTACCACAGTCAGCCAATCCTCACCCACCAGCGCAGGTAACCTCACATAGGATACTTCATCAGATCACTCAATTTCCACTTCACCACATGATCCTTCACCCCACCAGCCCCCAGCAAGACATGTCTCCAACGCAAATACCGACAGACATCCACAGCCGGGGCAAAAAGCGGATCAACGACAATCAAAACCGGCCCAAGTGTCTTCACAAGCTCAACAACGGCATCAAAGATCTCCACATAGTCATCACCGGTCCAAGGAAGCAATCCCAGAGCCAAATCCTTCCTATAATTCTTCAACGCAGCAAAGAACCCAACCTGAGGGATATCGTCAAACTGTCCATCCCTCATCCGGACATGCTTCATAGACATTCCAGGGATCTCTTCAAAGACTGCCTCAGTAGCGCAGGAAGAGCCTGAAGCCGCAGCATAGTAATTCAGCTCCGCGATATGCCTCTTCAGCGGTCCAAAGGATCCGATATGGATCTTGTAAGGCGAATTGCCAATGAGGAATTCATGGACCACGGCGAGGGTAACGCCCGAATGTTCGCGCTCGCTGTTCGTGAGGAAGAGAATGCAGGGTGTGCTGCTGCTTCTGCTGCTGCTGTTGTCTGTTGAGCCGTATCTGTATGTGTAAGACATGATGGCGATGCTGGCTTTGTAGTATGGTTTTCTGAGAAGTGATAATATGGTAAGCTAAGTAGGCATATGAGAAGCAAGATGAGAAGAAAGAGAAAGTAGTATGTACTTATCTTCCATCTTTGCGGGCATGCATCGAAGAAAATCAGCTGCGTGCATGTGTGTGTAAAGTGACTGTCTGGCGGGGGGAGGAAGTGAATCCAAGAACACGTGTTGACGGATTGAAGATGTGTGTATGTGAACTTTTGTCGTTACCATCCGCCTTTCTGATATGGGAATGAAGAACACCTCTGAACAGTCTCGGAAGGCGTATCATACTGTTTTGGAATGTCTCCGCTTGATGTTCTGAATGTCTCCGCTTGACAGTGAACGAAAGGCTTGATATTGGGATCCGGACTCTCACAGTGAAAGCGAGTGTTCGTTCTGAGGGAAAGGTTGAATACTGGGGAAGAATTTCTGTCTATAGTCTATGTCATTAACATTATTCTATGTCTCTATATAGTAGGTATATCAACGTTCAATCACAGCGCCGAGGAAAGTAAAAGATGGCGATGCAACCCTGTAAGTGCAATACTCGAGGATGAACCCTATTGACATCTTCATGGAGATCGTTATCATCCTTGCTCCAACAGTGCCCTAGCTACCCTGCTGTAGCCGGTTAGGCGGCCCTGACGCCCCAATTGTCATGTCCACGCATGTGCTGCGAAGATTACAGCCCTCTGATGTAGGGCTATATGTAGATGCCGCGAGCTTTTCAGCAGATCGTTCTCTCGAACGTATCCAGCCGCACTCCTAGTAAATGCACACAATGCACATAATGCATATCTAGGTGGATAAATCGGCGGCACATCTTTAATGGTGCCCTAAGGCCCTTCATGTGATATTGCCTCACAGGCTCAAGTGTGGAGGATTCCCTCATGCCTTAGTCGAATTCTTCCTAGGGCGGCCGCTGATAGTAGAGTTGCACGTATTGACTCGATCAATATCATACGGATTCTCCTCATATGTGACTGTACGAGCAAGAGAGCGAGCGGACTTCTTGGAAGCACGCGACGCCCGCCTTTCGATTGCACCCCTAGAAGGCACGCTGGAAAGGCTGTCGCTATCACTGTCATCACTGATATCGTTGTCAGCCACGGCAGCAGTGTCTCCTTTCTCGACATCGGACTTCGCCGGCGGAGGAGCTTGGCTCTGCTGCGCCGCGGCAGCAAGTCTCTGCATGAATGCCTCTGCCTGGGCAGCATAGAGGCAGCGCTTGCGGATGCGAGCACCATACAGGTAGAACACGATAGGGAAAGGAATGCATGCAAGCGACAAGAACGCGGGGATTGAGGAAGCCCAGTGAATACCAAGGTTTTCGTACATGTAGGTCGTGAACAACGGGAATGCAAATCCGAACAAAGATCGGAGAGCCGAGTTCGCGGCCAGCACCGATGCAGCATAGATCGTGTATGCGTCAATGAGGTAGTTGAAAACACTTAGGAACACCAATACCAAGCCGAATCCGAACGGGGCCCCCGCGGCCACAGATGCCATCCAGTGAATGGACGGATAGTTGGTCCAGGCAAACCAGAAAAGACCGATAGGTAACGCGATTCCTCCAAGAATACTTGGGGGCAGACGAACCTCGGGAGGCAAACGGCCGTTGGCTTGTTGGCACTTCTTCGCATAATTCAGATTGTCGGGAATAGTGAGAGAGACTGCGATCACCATCCCGACTAGGATACCCAAGAAAGCCAAGCCTCCAATACCCTCACTCCAGCCGCGTGCCTGCTGGAAGACGATAGGATAAGCTGCAAACAGCATGTAAAGCGTTCCATAGATGATGGACATGTAGATACAGAGGAGCAGCACAATGGGCTCTCTGAAGAGCATGAGCCAAGGTCGTGACAGGGCGGTCTTCAATGCTTGGCCTAAAGCCACCTTGCCTCTCTCGATATCCAGTTTACTGCGGTAGACCTTGCCACTCAATTCAGACAGCTTCTCTGCCCGTCGGCGCAAGAGAACTGGGGCATATGTCTCCGGCAGGAAGAAGATAAGGCATAACCACATCACGCCGGAAAAGGCTGCCAGAAATCCTTCCACCCAACGCCAGCCTGCCCCGGCACCGAGAAAGCCACCAATGACAGGGCCAATAGTAGGTCCGCAAAGAGGTGCCGCGGCGAAGAGACTGATAGCGATACCACGTTTGGCAGCGGGGAACAGATCTGCAATCGTTCCGCCCGCATTGCCAAAAGGTGACGATCCGAAGAATCCGGCCAGGAAGCGAAGGATGACCAGCGTTTGAATGTTCTTGGAACCTGCAGCCCCTGCATTGAAGGCTGTGAGAAGCGCAAATGTTACCGAGAAAACATTACGGCGTCCAAACACCTCGCTCATTGGAGCCCATAGTAGGGGGCCAAAGGCGAAGCCCAAAACGAATAGAGAGATACCGAGGATTGCAACCTCTTCCTCACACTGAAACTCTATAACAACCTGACTTATACTTCCTGAGTATGCTGATGATACCAAGGCGACAGTAAGGGTCACGAAGGAAACTAGAATGGTATATAGCCATTTTGAAAGACTGCCAAAAGCCATGGGGTTTCGAGGATCGTTAGGAAGCCAGGTGACGACATAGGGCGATTCTTCTGTCCCTAACCCTTCATAGTTGAAATCGATGATCTCCGGGGTGACGACTTTTTGGTCGAAGACAAGGCGCCAATAAGGGATCTTCGAGGGCCGAGGAGCGCCGCCATTGGCGACAGTACCTGCCATGCCCATAGTGCCCGTTAATTAAGGTTCAGCACAACGGCTATTCTGCAGAACGGTGCTGGGCGATATGAGGAGTCGACCCAATAAAAAGGTATACCTCAACTTCCTCCAGCAAATGCTAGAATGAGAAAAAAGAATGACGAATAGATAGATAAATGTAAAACCACAGATATGGTCTAAGATTGAACCGGCACAACTTTCCGATTACAATTTCTTCGTTTATCCGGTTACTCGGCAGGGGCGATTGCCCTCAGCGAATCAGGACTCGGCATGAGTTCTGGGAGCCGAGGTTGCTTCAGAATTTGCTGTGCCTGTCTTATCTCCGCCCAATTTCCGCTGTTCTAGTACTTCTCGTTGCTGCGGCTGCCTAACTAATCCTTTATTCGGTTCGAGGAAGCGATAAGGCCACATGTTCGAGAGCTTTGGTTGTGGAAGATCAGGATCAGGTTGGCTGCGTTGAAGTATTGCTTCGGCTGCGTTCCTTATGCGTCCGCAGTCTGAGGAACGCCAGCCCAATTCAAAGAGTTGCGATCCTCAAATAAAGTTTTATAATGAGCTTCGGTAAGCTTCAGAATCGTGGGATGACGAGTCAGTCTAGATGATTAATCGTGAACTCTTCGTCGTAAGCGATCATAGTTAATCCCAAACTCCTCGCAGCCTTTCGTATGGAAACGGGGTTCTCGGTATCCTTTTTTCCAAGGTAGTAGTCCGTAGCCTCTTTGTCTTGATCTTCCAGACTCTTGTAGACAGACGACATGGTTCAGTTGCGTATTTCGCGAAGAATGTCTGAACAGTTCCATTGAAAGCGCTTAATACGACACGAGGAGATGCGGGGGATGCGTTGAGCTGTGGCATACCGAAGATGTCAGTGTGGGGCACACATGGTAACAAGGGAATGAATGGGCGTCATAGACATCAATACAATATCCTCAAACCGCATTACTTGAGCATAGAGCAATGTGTGCCTGGATTATGGGAGCATGCTTTGAGTTTAACTAGGTCTTGCGTTTGTCCTGGATGCTATTGCGAGAATCAGAACGCAACCGTTAGTAGAAGTATATTTCTTTATGACTGACATGTGCCTAAGGTGCACCCCCAACCACAATCTTTCTAATCCCTGCAATTTGTTTCCGGAAAATAAGATCAACACTTACTTCCAGTGTCTCAAACCTTTAGAGGAGACTTGTACGCTCCCTTAACTAGCACAAAACAAGGCATTATTAGTCCCCTAGTCGCTAATGTTGGCCATGCCATCCATACTAAACATACAACGTTGGCATTGATAGGAAAGTTTCATTTACAAGCATAGAAATTCAAAGCTGGAATATTATATCTATAGGTCTCATTTCTTCATTAAGAAGAGAGAAGTCGTAGCAGATGTACATACATTTTAATGGTTTACATTTGTTCTTTCATGTATGAGATATTTATTGAGAGGGTCCGACCGATTAATCCCTGCAATCTTGTTTTCCGGAAAACAAGATTGCAGGGATTAAAAATCTTAGGTGGGGGCTTTATGCGCTTCCAAAGTAAGCTGACAGCAAAGGGAGGTCCCGTGTTTGCTCGCGTCCTTGGAAGAGGTAGAGAGCAAGCAAGTGAACAGTATCGTCTGACCGGACCGAGATCTAGTCACCTCTGACACAGAACCTTAATATTGCTCTAGAATGCATACTCTGCAAAAGAAACGCTATAGACGAAAGACGTATAAACATGCGCCCGGACCCAGATCTCCGCCTCCGTATCACTGACATGTCTACCTGTGAATACCTCTATCCAAGGGTGGGGGTTATAACTACAGCTTTATAATAGTTCTGCTGTTCCTCCTGCGATTTTTCCAAAGTCAATAGTAAGCGAACAGCGCGTATATGTAATTCTAGTCATCTGTTAGTGTATATAGTTAATATGGAAGAAGGGATCACCATACCTTCGATTAACAATTCATAGCTCGTGAATTCGTCGTCGTCGCGATGGACGAGAATTGGCACATTTTGGTTCATTAGTGGTTTCGCCTTGACCCGCACTTTGATGCCGACACTCTTGCTCTGATCAACCCATAGCATTTGCGAAGGCCCTGTACCATCTGGTACCACATCCCGGAAGCGCTTCTCTTCGTCTCTCAGCCAGTCGCGGAACACCCTGATTACCCCGTCCTCAACCGTGTGTGCACTTAGAAGCAGATTTGTACCCGGCATGACCTTCACAATGTTCACGACTACACAAAGCTGAGAGAAGTCTTCAAAGTTCTCCAGGTTTATAGGGCGCGTGACAACCAAGTTGTCTCGATCGGAATCTTGCTCATCGTCTACCAAAGTCAGAGACCTCGGGGCCGTGACCGCTGTGTCCGGGAACAGGGACACATACCTCTTAGGGGAACTAGCCTTGTTCCGCTAAATCTTTCTTCTACCACGACTTCAGGACGGAACCGAGAATACACCGAACTCAGTTTCCCAAGTTGCTGGGCCGTGTCGGTGTTCTCATAAAGCGAACCACCCCGCCCGGAGAGCCAATCTAAACCGTCGGTGTCAAGGTATGTGCAGAATACATGAGGCTCGGTTAGCTTTGAGTTCGGATGAAAGCATTCTAGGATGAGTTTGTATTCATGCAGTGGAGCGCCGATGAGTAGGCGATAATGTAGGATCCGTAGGACGAGGGCGTAGAAGCGGTGGGAAACTGTCGCCCAAGAGATGAGGGAGCGCGTTGAGAAAGAGGATAGGATCTGACCGAGAACCTGGAAGAGCCATACAAGCATTAGCGAGACATCTTGACAACCGTTGGAGATCGCGTTGTCGCACTTCGTTGGGAAGGGAGTAGAGGTGGAGCTTTGGATGGGCGTCGTCCATGATCTGATCAACTGCGGGGAATATGTGTGAATCTCATATCTTCGCACAAGCAGAATGAACAGAACACAAATCGTACACAGCAGTAACAGCAGTTCAGTGGAGCCCAACTGGAGGGATGTGACGTGCGAGGGTCAGATGATGCCAGCGAGCTTCTCCGGGGATGTGGAGGTTTCGGTGATAACGGGCGATAAGGCTAGCCAGTTGCCCCTCGTTTCCCCTGACGTCAAACGAATCGGCCCGAAAGAAGACGGGCAGGTGACTGTCTGGATTCGGGTAGCCGCGGGCTTTAGTCACCAGTGGAGTATGGTTCTTATGTTCAATTCAACCGGCAGACATGCTGTGCAGGTCTATTGATTCTATTTGTCCTGGATAGACTAGCAAAATGCAGGAGTCCAATGACATGAGTAGATATCTTAAACATGGAAGGATATAAGATTGAACAGTCAGACCCCATCATAATTGCAGTTGCTGCAGCAAGAAAAGGGTCCAGGGCTCCCCATGAATTTACCCGAGCAACCGACCGGATGGCTGCTTTTTACCCCGTGCTGGTTCGGTGCCGAATCGCCCATAATTTCCGGAGACCCCGCGACTAAGCCCCGCCGCCAGGGCCATCAGCCGACTTTTCTTTTCACGCAGTTTCTTCGCTCTTCTTTTTCTCTTTCTCTTTCTTTTTCTCTAGTAATAACACGGCTCTTCGATTGCATTGACTGTTTGCATTATCTCAACAATGGTTGAAAACGTTCTGGACGATATCTCCCATCGGAGGTTCAATCCCCTTCGAGGATCCTACATTCTGGTCTCCCCACATCGGACCAAGCGCCCCTGGCAGTAAGTTGGCCTGCTCCTGTCCAACAGAAATGGACTTGGACCCGTTCAGAGAGGAGCAGCTGAGCTAAATACTGCGATCAGAGGACAGCAGGAGAGCCCCTCTAAAACTACTTTACCAACCTACGACCCCGCTTGCTATCTTTGCCCCGGAAACAAGCGCGCGCAAGGCGATACTAACCCTAAGTATGAGAAAACCTTCGTCTTCGTAAACGACTACAGTGCGGTCAAGGAAGAACAAGCGCCGTATAGCCCTGAAGGTGGCGAGGGTATGTTTGGCTTGTAATCTCATGGCCCGGCGAATGCGACGCTAACAAACCGGGGACCAGACCTTGAATCATTTTTCCTCAAGGCAGAGCCTGTCACCGGCAAATGCTATGTGCTTACCTTCTCTGCGGCCCACAACCTCACCTTGGCCGACCTCTCGCCTGCTGAGATTGCGCCTGTCATTGACGCTTGGACTGAGATTTACACGGCCCATTTGTCCCCCAAGTCGCCATTGGCTGCTGTAGCTCCAGCGACCACTTTGCCTCCAAACTCCCCAACTGCTAGCTTGACCAAGCCCAAGGAGCAGTATCGCTACATGCAGATCTTCGAGAACAAGGGTGCCGCCATGGGGTGCTCGAACCCTCACCCTCACGGTCAGGTCTGGACCACCAGCTCTTTGCCCGAAGAACCGGCTATGGAACTCGAGCAGCTGAAGAAATACCGCCGGGAAAATGGTGGCAAGCATATGTTGGAAGCCTATGCTGCTCTGGAAAGCCGGAAGCAGGAGCGCGTGGTGTTTGAGAATGATGCCTTCCTTGTCGTCTGCCCCTGGTGGGCTGTCTGGCCCTTTGAGACTATGATTGTCAGCAAGACCCACAAGCGTGCGCTGGTCGACTTAGATAGCAGCGAGAAGGTGCAGCTAGCGGAAGCCATTGCCGAAGTCACGAGACGTTACGACAACCTCTTCGAAACGCACTTCCCGTACAGCATGGGTATCCACCAGGCACCACTTGACGGAACCGAGGAGGAAATCGAGTCGTCATATCTTCACCTTCACTTCTACCCCCCGCTATTGCGCAGCGCCACTGTGCGCAAATTCTTGGTTGGGTGAGTGATTCTAAACTATCACGTTACGGTAAAGGTTGCTGATGAGTCATAGGTATGAAATGATGGGCGAGCCCCAGCGTGACATTACACCTGAGCAAGCGGCTGCGAGGTTGAGAGGCTGCGGGGGAGAGCTCTATAGGAAGAAGATGGACAACTAAGATCAAAGAGTATTGGATCAAGCTGGATTGTATGTTGTATACGTATGTGTTCTGACAGCAATGAATACTTGCATTCGTGGGTCCATCGGACCAGTCCCGGCCGGCTTCTGTGTTTCGGACTTGTATCGACTCCTGTCATCCCCCCCTTCGAGAAAGGAGCTAATCGGTTATGCGTGTCTCAATCACCCACGCGCAATTAATGACTTGCACCCTTACTTCGGCTGAGCCTCTATCCCTTGCTAATTCCTGCGTCATCATGCTCGTCCTTTTCGATTGCTCCACGGTCCACCCATTCAGTGATCTGCATGAAGCGGCTGAGGTGTGCATTCGACGTAGCTTTACCTTTTAGTTTAAGGTGGTGAAACATGGTTCACCTCTCATTCTTTGAGGCGCCAACTATCGATTTACGAACTTTGCTTCGCCTTCTACGTGCGCAAACCTCATCACATGTAGGATACTTTGCCGGCCAAAACACACTATACATCCTAATACGTAGAATAAGCGAGTTACAATCCGTGCCTTCACTGATACATCACCACAAGCATTCCTTTGCCTTTTCATTACATTATTGATATGATCATAATCTAGCCGATCCGTAGCTCATCCCTGCCCTAAGAGATTGAACATGCATAGAAAAAAAAATATTCAGCTGGATATCCGGCGAATAATATCAAAACCCCAGCACAACCTAAGCAGCCAGATACGCCTCCCTCTGCGTCAACATCCAAGCCAGGGTAGACGAAGCAACAATCAGAGGGCTGACAAAACGCCCCTTAAGCTGGGCACTACCGAAGCCCAACCACTCGCCGACAAAGTGTACCAGAGCAATGCCAAAAGTCCAGAGCGCGAGATCGTAGACAGCAGGGTTGTTGAGGTTATAGGCGGCGTACATGCGGACTACGGAGGAAAGGAAAGTCCAGGTACCGAAAGTCCGAGAAGAGAGAGGGTTGGTGGGCGGGCGACCATCAGCAGTTTTTCCGTTGTAGAGATCTGCGGCATAGGACTCCGATCGGTAAGCTTGGATGCTGTTTGCGGCGGAGACGACGGAGACCTGGATGGAGAAAAATGGTCAGGTTAGCATGGGGTCGGTCCGGGGAACGGGAGTGTAAACAATGGGGTTAGTACCAGGAAGAGCCATTTGGGCAGCAGACCCTCGAATGGGGGTAGGTAGGAGAGAAGAGCGGCCATGGTTACTATGATATGTAGCACTCCGTAGTGTTTGAGAGAACTGGCTGCAGAGAGATAGAGTTGTGGAGGATCAATTGGTTGGGAAGACTGATAATTGCGATGAGGATATTGCTTCTTTGGAGTGGCCGAGGTCTGCCCGCTTGGGAGGTCTTGGCACCGCCAATCCCCAACCATTATTCTGCTTTATGATTGCTGCCGCATCTCCGTCCGTCTCCGGATTCTTTCTGCAGCCAGCTTCCATCCCCACGATCTTCAATCGGCACGGGTTGAACAACAAGCAACCATGGACTTTCTGACAAAACATCTGGACTGCCTGTCCAACTGGCAGTTGAACCTGCAGCCTGGCTGGCAGACGGTGGGCGCCTCGGCTCTTCTCGCCGCTGGCAGCTTGTTCGTCGTCTCTCGGGCACTCGTTTTCGTCAGGGTCCTCCTGAGCTTGTTCGTGCTCCCTGGCAAGCCCGTATGTTGTCCCTGACAATCTCGATTGGAGACTATATCACTGACTTCCATTCTGCCAGCTCCGCTCCTTCGGCCCTAAGGGCAGCTGGGCCGTGGTCACAGGTGCCTCCGATGGACTCGGCAAGGAATTCGCTCTTCAGCTCGCCCGCGCTGACTTCAACATCCTCCTCGTTTCCCGTACTGCCTCCAAGCTTGATACCCTTTCCAGTGAAATCACGACCAAGTTCCCCTCCGTGCAGACCAAGACCCTGGCGATGGACTTCGCCCGCAACCAGGACAGCGACTACGAGAAGCTGAAGGAATTGGTGGACGAATTGGACGTGTCTGTCCTGGTCAACAACGTTGGAAAGAGTCACAGCATCCCCACTCCCTTCGCTCTGACCCCCGAGGATGAGATGACTGATATCGTGACCATCAACTGCCTGGGTACCTTGCGGGCCACCCAGCTGGTCGTTCCGGGTATGATGCAGCGCAAGCGCGGATTGGTCTTGACTATGGGCTCGTTCGGTGGACTTCTCCCCACTCCTCTTCTTGCTACCTACTCTGGCAGCAAGGCTTTCCTGCAGCAATGGTCCACTTCCCTTGGTTCGGAGCTCGAGCCCTACGGAATTACTGTCGAGTTGGTCCAGGCCTACCTTATTACCTCTGCTATGTCCAAGATCCGCCGGACCAGTGCTACGATCCCCGACCCCTGCTCATTCGTGAAGTCGGTCCTGACTAAGATTGGCCGCAACGGCGGATCTCCCACGTACGCGTACAGCTCTTCCCCTTACTGGAGCCACGGATTGATGGCCTGGTTCTTGACCTGCGTCACTGGTACCATGGGCAAGATTGTCGTTAGCCAGAACAAGGGCATGCACGAGTCTATCCGGAAGCGTGCTCTGCGCAAGGCCGAGCGCGAGAAGGGCAAGAAGAGCACCTAAGGTGCTTGGCAGTCGCTTCTAGATGATGACTCACGTGCGTTTGTCGATCAAACTGGGGTAAGGGGAGAGATAAACAAAGGAAAAAGGGAGTATGGAGAAGAACGAGCCGGTGGGGGGAGTGTCTGTGTGTGAGCTGAACCCTGAGCTGAATCTGTATCCACTGGGGACGTGTGGCGAACAGTCTCGGGGTTCGGTGAAAGGTGCATGCAGTGATGGAGCCAGATCGAAGACCGTCTAGATAGGAGCGGGCCGCATCTTATCTTCAGCGGAACAAGCGGCAGTGGCAGTGGCAGTGGCACAGGTCCGGATGGACCTTACCTTTTACAAAGTACTCTACTAACCTACACGTGGTGTGTGGTGTCTGTCGACAGGGCCAATCAAACCTCCGACCAGGGGGTTGTGGCTACGCAACCCATGATCGACAGCACCAAAGATGATATGATATTACTATGTTTAGCAGAAACAGATAGCATAAAGTACGGTTAATCTAATAATGGAGAAAGGGAAGATTTTCGCAGTTATCTCGGTGCTCCATGCTCTTTCATTCTACTAACAGGTCTAGTCTTCGCTAAGTCTGTCAAATGCGCGCGCGCATTACAGAGAATCCAGTGCAATGAAAGAAACCAGTGCAACTATGCAGATATCCACCGAGATCTCGGAAATCGGAAACTGCACATCAAAGCATGACTGAACTGAACTCAATCGGACTGGACCAGACCGGACCGCATGGATGGGGGCCGTCTGTCCTAATCTTGGGACCACCGCTGGTGGATAAATCTTAATGTTGCTTTGTGTCTGTGTCTCGGCTGTCTGATGACTTGCAGATAAGGATGGAGGAAGAAGGGGGAGCCTGTGGGACTGTACTACTGATCTGAGGAGAATTTCCTGCAGGGATAGTGCAGTGCTAGGAGGAGTAAGTTTCTGCACTCGGAGAATAGAATGGCGTGCGAGAAATCCTCCGTAGGGGGAGGAGACTCGGAGATAGCGAGAGTTGTATATATAGAACAAGGTGGTCCTGGCACGTAGTACAGACGATCAGATAGAGTAGATAGTAGATAGTAGATCACCTTCCAGGTTTGCTTTTTATGAAGAATATCTATTGAAGCTTAGCCAGGGACTTTGACTGTCAGTAATGGCAGTTCCAAGGTTTATGGTGATAAGGACGTAGTTAGAAGCAGTCAGAAAGTCACCAAAAGACGATGGAAGCAGGTCAATGATATCATGATCCTCAGGTTGCGGCTCTCCTTGGTAGTAGCTTAGTAGGTTAGTCTAATTGACATCTACCCATACAGTATTATTATCTGAACATAATAATGGGTTATTCTACATACACCACATGACACAATACCCATCAATCCATCCTCATGACCCTATACAGGCTTTCCCAAAATGACCACCAACCATCATCGCCACCACCAGCAAGAAACAACCAGCCCTGGCAACGTCCCATCGCACCGTCACCTCACTCACCTCACCTCAACCACGAAATCCCAGTTCTATTCTAACGTTCCTAGCTATCCCTCCTTAGTCATAACCCAACCCACCACACTCTCCCCTCTCATAGGCTCAATCCCAACCAACACGCATGGGTCGACCCCTGTTCCTGAAAATCTAGACCTTCTAGCAGAGACTGACTGGTACGACTACGGTGGCCACTACTTTTGTTTTTGTCCACAGAGCTCCTCGATGCAGCATCATGCAGAAAACCAGCCCGCCTTGCCCGCCAGCTCACAACATATTGCACACATACAGGCAAGGAATTCGCTGGTTACTGTCCCATCACGGCTGTATTATTTTCCATAGTATTCTTTAAGACAAATAGGTAGATCTGGGATGAGTGAATTACGTAGGTGTTGTGTTGTCTGAGGTGGTGAAACAATGGCTGCTGTTTCTGTGGTGGAACCCGCTACGCTATTTACTTACTTTCTTGGGAGGAGAAATTTTTTCTTTTTTTCTTCGGTGGCCCTGTTGAGTATGGATAGTTGGATAGTGGGACGGACGGGATGGGCGAAGAGACCTTTTCTGGTTAGCTTTGGGTATCGACCGGGTTGGCTTTGTCTCGGGCTCGGTGGGTTGCGTGATGCTGCACTTTCGGGATACTACGTCGGCTGATTGTGCCGGGATTATTCGATCGGTTTGTGTTACTTCTTGTGGTGGTTTTTCTGTGGTTGTATTATACACTGAGAGTGCATATAATGCTCTTGCTACGTCCTGTATGCTATTGCTATTCCATCTGGAGTTCACATGGGAGCTCGAGGACAGCAAGCAGTGTCTCGCTCTCGCTCTCGCTTGGAAATACGGCAATATGCCGGCATGCCGAAACCGACCTAACGGAGGGAAGTGAAACCTCACCGGAAGCCGAAAATGTCATCGATTGCAGGCCGGTCAAGTTCCGACCGAATCCATGGTAAGAGAGGGAGATCTCTGATAGGCTGTATGGTGCGAGTCAGGCTATATGAGCTCCAGCTAGAACTGGACCTGAGCATCGACGTGCACGAGGGGCTCTGGTTGGATGAAAATTTTCACTGGTGGAGAGGATCAGCCAACGCTAAATAGAAGATCCACTGGCCCGGTGAGCTTCAAACGGGAAGGGACGAGAAGTGGTGCGTAGTTAGCGTGAGATATCGGCACACCGAAGGCAGTTGGATGGACAGGCATCCCGAGACCGAGACGGTCGGCGGATGGCCGAAGTACTCGGGATGGACGACGGTGAGACTGGTTGTGGTCTCGGTGAGCAGGGTTGGCCGCTTAGGTGTGATGTACTTATCAGCGACGGTCGCTGCTAAGGAAGATATTTAGATTGCTGGTTAAAATTTCTCCCTCTCGCAGTTGAGCTGTCGGAGGTGATAGTCCTTCCCACCCTCCTTCATTTTTTTTTTTCGTTTTATTCTCCCCCTTCCCTTTGGCCGCTGCTGTCGGGCAAAAAGTGAAAAAGCATGTGTTCGTGAGAGTTCGGGATCGGCCAAGAGCCAAGAAGGGATTTCCCAACGCATGCAGAGTCAAAAATTAGAAATTTTTGTAAAAGAAAATTCTTTCGTGGTTGGACCCACTTGGCGCCCGGTGATCTCCCTCGTTTGGGCCTGAGGTTGCGTTGGAACCGGCAACTTTACTACGACTGGGCTTTTTTCGTGGCTCAGGGGCTGATCTGACGATTTTTGAAGGAAGGAAAAAATTTTCCTGCTGAGTTTGACAGACAGGTAATGGAAACGAAGAAGATTCCAGGAACGTAGTGGATCACGAATGCTCGTCAACAATGCTTTGTTCAGCAGGCGGGCTGAGGTTCCAGGAGGGTTCTGACTAAGTTGTTGCATGGCTGCGGGAGGCAGGGCGATAGTAATATTAGACTGCGTTAATATTATGCAGGCGTGGCTTTTTACTGCACCCGGCCATCAGTGATTCAAGGGAGGGTGGATCAGCCAATGTCGCCCCCCTCCTTCCAAACAAACAAATCATTCACGTTGTCAAGATGCTTCCCTTCCTTTCTGTGACACGGAATGGCCGGAGACAGCGATGTTTTAGCCACTGGGATTGCAGTATGTGGTGGTTCCGGGTAACATTGACATGTCAGTGAATCAATCAATGATGCAAACCGTTTTGGTCGTACGTAAATTGTTTGTCTGGTGACGGGAATCGGTCTGCCAACCCGACGACAGCCGCATCATAGTTATTATTATTTTAGATTATGATTCGGTTGAAGGAGGACTCGGTACCATTCATCATCGTCGTCATCAGCAATCATCATCAAGATCAATGCTCTCCTTTGGGATCAGTGTCACGGTCACACTGTGGCAAAACATTCTGTGTAGCCGATCTGGAGATTCCTACTCTATACAAGGATAGATGAAATCGATAGGCAATAACAACATCATCATCACCATCATCATCATCACAAAGGAGCTGTATACAAAGAGTATAGTATGCATGTATGCATGTATGTATGTATTTACGTGGGATACAGAATGTGTAGAGAATCAGTTAGGATTCGGAAAGTCACGACTCAAGAATCCTCCGAAAGAGGCAAGAATGTTGGTAACAAAATAACAGCAAAAAAGAAAGAAGGCAAAAAGAGCAGGTGATGCCCTCGTGACCTGCCCGCATCCATCATCCCAAATCCTCCCGTCAGGAACTCCAGCTTCATCCACTCCATTCTTTCTTAGCGCTACTCCATCCAATCTCCAGTCTCTCTCCTCCTTCCCTCCATCTCGGTTCGTCTCCATCCGCTTTTTCTCCGCCGGCGAAAACGGATTCCCCCCGATTCAGGTACTCACCGTCCACATCTCCCCGTTTGTCGTAGCCTGCTCCGGCTCTCTCCAGACAGTCTCTCCACTCTCTCCCCACTCCAAGACACGCTCTCGAAGCATCCAATGAACTCTCCGCCCCCTAGCTTCCGAATCTCCCACCTCGTTCGCCTGTCTTCGGGCCCTTGAGATCTGGGCCCCCGTTTTTTCTTGCCATGGTCCTACCCCGAGGATGGGGTCCCTCCAATCCCTGGGATGGAGGCGAATTGCCGACGGATGGAGCGTCAAATTCTTTCACTTCCATTTCAGTGGCATTCACTCGTTGACACCGTCATACTTACCGAGTTCATCTTTGTGTGCGGCCCCCCTCCCCCCTCCTCTCCCCCTCTGCCCGGACCCCATATATATCCCTCCATCTCCCCCGGGTCTGTCAGCCCTTTGGATGTCTTTCTCTCCCATCAATCTTCTCTTTTTCCCATCTTCCCATCCCTGGCAGAGGATTCCGCGTTGTATGAATCCACCGGCAACATGGGTGTCTCTAATATGATGTCCCGGTTCAAGCCTCAGGCGGACCACTCTGAGTCCTCCACTGAGGCTCCTACTCCTGCTCGCTCCAACTCCGCCGTCGAGAAGGACAATGTCTTGCTCGATGACAGTCCCGTCAAGTACTTGACCTGGCGCTCCTTCATCCTGGGTATCGTCGTGTCCATGGGTGGTTTCATCTTCGGTTACTCTACTGGTATGGTGACATCGATTCTCTGCAGCTAGTCCCCTCGGTTGCTAACCTTTTCCACCACCAGGTCAAATCTCTGGTTTCGAGACTATGGATGACTTCCTCCAACGTTTCGGTCAGGAACAGGCGGATGGATCCTATGCTTTCAGCAACGTCCGTAGTGGTCTCATTGTCGGTCTGGTAAGTGGCATACATCATGGACTGTCCCTAGAGACCAACCCGACTGACAACCTCTTCAGCTGTGTATCGGTACTATGATCGGTGCCCTGGTTGCTGCTCCTATCGCAGACCGCATGGGCCGCAAGCTCTCCATCTGTCTCTGGTCTGTCATCCACATCGTCGGTATCATCATTCAGATTGCCACCGACAGCAACTGGGTCCAGGTCGCTATGGGTCGTTGGGTTGCCGGTCTGGGTGTTGGTGCCCTCTCCAGCATTGTCCCCATGTACCAGAGTGAATCTGCTCCCCGTCAGGTCCGTGGTGCCATGGTCAGTGCCTTCCAGCTGTTCGTCGCCTTCGGTATCTTCATCTCCTACATCATCAACTTCGGTACCGAGAGAATCCAGTCGACTGCTTCCTGGCGTATCACCATGGGCATTGGCTTCGCCTGGCCCTTGATTCTGGCTGTTGGCTCTCTCTTCCTGCCCGAGTCTCCTCGTTTCGCCTACCGTCAGGGTCGTATCGATGAGGCCCGTGAGGTTATGTGCAAGCTGTACGGTGTCAGCCCGAACCACCGCGTCATCGCCCAGGAGATGAAGGACATGAAGGACAAGCTCGACGAGGAGAAGGCCGCCGGTCAGGCTGCCTGGCACGAGCTGTTCACCGGCCCTCGCATGCTCTACCGTACCCTGCTCGGTATTGCTCTGCAGTCCCTCCAGCAGCTGACCGGTGCCAACTTCATCTTCTACTACGGAAACAGTATCTTCACCTCCACTGGTCTGAGCAACAGCTACGTCACTCAGATCATTCTGGGTGCTGTCAACTTCGGTATGACCCTGCCCGGTCTGTACGTCGTCGAGCACTTTGGTCGTCGTAACAGTCTGATGGTTGGTGCTGCCTGGATGTTCATTTGCTTCATGATCTGGGCTTCCGTTGGTCACTTCGCTCTGGATCTTGCCGACCCTCAGGCCACTCCTGCCGCTGGTAAGGCCATGATCATCTTCACCTGCTTCTTCATTGTCGGTTTCGCCACCACCTGGGGTCCTATCGTCTGGGCCATCTGTGGTGAGATGTACCCCGCCCGCTACCGTGCTCTCTGCATTGGTATTGCCACCGCTGCCAACTGGACCTGGAACTTCCTCATCTCCTTCTTCACCCCCTTCATCTCTAGCTCCATTGACTTCGCCTACGGCTACGTCTTTGCTGGATGCTGTTTCGCCGCCATCTTCGTTGTCTTCTTCTTCGTCAATGAGACCCAGGGTCGCACTCTTGAGGAGGTTGACACCATGTACGTGCTCCACGTCAAGCCCTGGCAGAGTGCCAGCTGGGTTCCCCCGGAGGGCATTGTCCAGGACATGCACCGCCCCCCTTCCTCTTCCAAGCAGGAGGGTCAGGCTGAGATGGCTGAGCACACCGAGCCCACTGAGCTCCGCGAGTAAGCCACTCGCACTCGCGCGAACTCATTTTGCTAGTTGCTCTTGTACATTGAACCTGCATCTTAAGCTTTGATTTATTTAATTGCATGATTGCTCTTTGCATCGCATTTGCTAGCTAGCTATTATCGGCATGAATGCGTCCACGCACGCAATGTTTGAATGGCTTGACTCATCGGGAAGGATATGGTTGGGAACTACGACATCGGCGTTTGGTGATACCTGCAACTGCATACATCTGTTGACGTTGACATTTTTTTGAGGTTATTGAGAAACGATTTAATACAAGTATATACGAACCTTACTTGGTGATCCAGTAGATTTTTCACTTGTCTTAGTAATGTAGTAATTGTAGACAGTAACGTGGCCAAAGTGATCAGTGCATTCTCCATTCGACCATCTCCGTACACGGAATAGCGTCCTCCACATCGACTCCCTCGGTGTCAACACGAAGTCAGGAACGGCTCTACACAGCGGGTCCGGGGTTCTCTCTTCTACTGACCTTCTAGAATTCTTCTAGAAACCCTTATAATAATAGTAGACCACATACATTGCACGTGCACATTCCCCATCTACAAAGTGGTCTACATCACACATGAAACAATAAATACAATCGTTTTTTTTTTTTCCGGTCTCCTTACCCACCCCCTAGCAGATAAATGCAACGTAACACCTACCACGTGTGACATGATCCCACCCCTGATCTATGTAATATACCCATCAACCCAAGCATAAATCATCATACAGACCTTTTCCATGTTAGTACTACTAGTAGAGTAGTCGTTGCTACAATAAGCAAGTAGTCGTTCATCCTGAATGACTCACTATACACAGTAGTAACATGAGCAGAACCATCCTAGCATGCTTCTCGAGGAGAGAGAGGGGAGAGTGAGCAGGAACTTGGAAGATAGACAGATAACTTTGTTTTCATTTTTCTTCCCTCGAGATGAATGAATATGTGTGCAGGTGTTTGTGCTAGCTAGTACTACCCAAATTCTTGAGAATGGATAGAGAGTCAGTAGTAGTCAGTGTTTATCGATTTCATCTTGGTTGACTTATACAGTCTCTTTGTCATAGGGTTATCGGTAGTTGGTTCAGGGTGTATGTGTATGCGTATGCTTGTGCTTTTAGGTTCTTGGTTGTTTGGTTTGGTGGGGGAAGTCATTCGATTGACTTTTGCAGGTGTATTTCTTGTTGGTAGGTAGGGGATGAGATGTGGTGATGGTGGCAGTACCCAGTAGTTTTGCCCCAATGTGTCCATTTGCTCACTCAACTTACTCATCAAAGTGTTATTTGGATCAAACCATTCCTGTCTTGTCTCTCCTACTTGTCTACTTGCTATGATGAATGAGGATAATGGTATGCAGTAGTATGTCGTCGCATGCAATTCATACTTCTATAGACAATCTACTTCGTCCACCACAACACAAAGCACAACTAAACTCTTCATCAACATGACAATCGATTCGCGGGAATAAATCCCAGGTATTCAGGAGAAGACTATATTCATCCAAACGAAAAGGAAGAAGACGACAAAAGGAAACACCCCCAACGCCCTTTTTTGGAACACCCATGTTTCATGACCACTATGTGTATCGAGTACTGTATTAAGAAGAAGGGACTTCGTCTCGTCATCGACCGTCCAAATCCGGACGATGCCTTTAACGACGCTGGGTCTTGCCAATGGTACGCTTTCCGGTGTACTGAAGAAGAAGTTAGTATACTACATTGCAAGATGATCAGATAGATGCAAGAACTTACCAAGTGCTTGGGCAGAGAGGCGGTCGTGTGACGATCGGCCTCTCCCTGTCTTGCCATCCGGTTCATCTTCTTCTGACCCAACTTGGCCAGGCGCTCGGCCTTGGTGCGTGCCTGATCGTCCACAACACCATCGTCGCGACGGTTTGTCGCAGCCTGGCTGCGAAGACGGCCCTTGGCCTTGGCAATGGCCTGGCGAGGGTCCGACATGTCCACATCCATAGCGTCGTCCATGTCCACATCGCGGGTGGTCGTGCGACCACGGACCTGGCTTTGGGAACGGGCGCGGGAGGAGGCAGCATCCACATCGTAACCAGCCGCATCCAGAGCATCCGACATCTGGGACAGCTTCTTGGCCTTGGCGCTGCGGGGAATGGGAGCCCGGTTCTTGAGAGACTTGCGCATCTTGGCGTCGTTGCGCATCAGGGTCCGCTTCTCGCGGATCAGGTCCGCCTTCATACGGGTATCGGCATCCTCCACATCTTCGACACTCTCGTCGGACTCGTAGTAGCCATCGGCTTCCAGCTTCTCCTCCTCTTCCTCCAAAGCAGCCAGCTTGGCCTCGATCTCCGGGTCGACAAAGTCGTAGATGTTCTTGCCGTTCCAGACCTCGGGGATCTTGTCGTGCTTCCACTCGTCGTCGGCCAGATCGTAGGTCTTCTTGAGATCGATGTTGTAGACACCAGCACCACCGTTCTCCTCCTCGAGATCCCTCTCCAGTTTGCGGCGGTTGGGGTCGTCCTTGTCGTACTTCTTGAGCGTCTTGACGGCCTCAGGAATGAAGGTCTCGCGCTGCACACCACCCATGGGCTGAGCAACGTGGATACGGGCAAGGACGTCACCCAGACGACCACCAGGGGTACCGGCGTTGTTGGTTCCGGACTTGAGTTTCTGAGCCACTCGCTCGGCGAGGAGCTTGTCACAGGCGGCGTTCTTGACAGCAGTCACACCCTCGGTGGTGGTGCAAGACAACTGCAGAAGCTCGACATCACCCGACTTAAGGACATTCTGGAGCTCTTGCTGGTATTCGGGCTCCAAGTCCTCAGGACGTCTCACATCAATCTTGTTCACGACAAGGAAAACGATCTTGTTGGCGAACAGGGGCTTGATGCTGTGGAAGAGCTTGATCTGATCGCCAACAGAGTAACCGCACTGCTCGGACAGATCCATGAAGTACATGACCGCGGACCGAAGATGGGCAATGGCGGTAATGGACTGCATTTCGATGGTGTTCATCTCTTCAAGAGGGTGGTCCAGAATACCGGGGGTATCGATGGCCTGGAAACGCAGGTACTTGTAGTCAAAGTGACCGACGAACAAACTCTTGGTGGTGAAAGCATAAGGCTGAACGTCGACGTCGGCACGGGTGATGCTGCGCAGGAAGCTTGACTTTCCGACGTTGGGGTAACCGCAGATCAGGAGGGTGCGGGTGTTGGGGTCGATCGAGGGCAGACGACCCAAGTGCTGACGGACCTGCTCAAGGTAGACAAGGGGATCCTTGAGACGCTTGCAGATGGTGGCCATACGACCCAGGGCAGCGCGCTTGAGCTGCTTGCACTGGAACAGAGACTGGGCATACTTGATCAGGCGGACGTAGTCGCGGGAGACCGTTTCGATGAGATGCTTAGCAGTCGAAACCTGACCCAGAGCGATTCTGAAATGATCGGCATCGTAGAGGGTGTTCATCAAATCCTTGTCTGGGAATTGTCAGGATATGTTGTTGACCGAGAAACAGCGAAAGAAATGGTGGGGTTTGGAGCTTTAAAAGCAGGCAGGCGACTTACGGAAAGGATGAATATCCTGCAGTCTGGGGAATCCATCGAGGATAGCCTGGAACTTTTCACAGAAAGTCTCCTGGGTGTATTTGACCTTTCTGGTGTAGAAGCCTGTGGGCAGAGAAGAATTTTAATTAGTTTAGCCCGAATATTTCTGATTTGCCGCTTTGGGAGCAAGCTTGTGCATCCCGCACAGATTCTGAAGAACCCAAGACATACCGCGAATACGACTGATGTTAAACCCAGCACGGATCTGGGTAGGAAGCTGTCGCTGAGTGCGACTGAGGACGATGTCCAGGAATTCCTGGCTCGTGGGCACAGGAGCGATCTAATCAAGCGGTGAAAAAGAGACGTCAGATCGAATGTTTTTGCGACCGGTTTGGCTGGATCGGGGATCAACGAGGAGCACTCACATCTTTCCACGTCGTCTTCATGATGGGCACCGGGGATGGAGTCGATACAGTAGGCGACTCTTGAACAAAAACCCCGTGGTTAGTAAATAAGAGGTGGACAAGCGCAAATCTGCGTTGGAGCGATAAAAGAAAAAAAAATATTCCGGGCGGTCGGAGGCAGATTTTGGCGGGCGGTGAGCGCCGAGTCAATGTGGGGAATTTCCCCCCTTTGGGAGTCTCCCTGCGTGCTTCTAGGCGAGGCAGCCAGCCAGCCAGCAGCTGTTGGGTACTTACGCATATTAGTCGATTATATTGGATACTTTTCAAGTCTTTGAACCATGTCTATACCATATTTATTTACACTGACTACCGGGGACTATGATACAAATATGCCTGCCCTGACCAAACCATCCGTGGTGCTTCAATCCGGCCATCATAATACCAGCATCATCATCATCATCTGTCCCTAAACCCTCGTAGCCCGACAAAACGCCGTTGCTTTTTATCATGAACCCACCAGTAAGACCGAATCCTGTGTAATCCATAGCATGCGTCATATAAAATGGGGTAGTGTTAAAAGAGATCAAGAGAAACGAACAAAACGTGAGAAATCGAAGACAACATAAGGGGGCGAACATAAGATATAACACCATGCCCCAGAGATGCAGTAGCATTTAAGATCAAGCCCACGAGCGCTTACTCCTTGGCGAACTCGAAGACCTGGGGACTGTCAGCTCCGAACTTATGCAGCAAGATACATGCCGAAGAGAACTTACCATGTTCACCCAGCCACCACCGCCGAACTGGCAATTGCTAGGACCGCGGTTCTCAAAACCAAAAGACTGATAATAGGGCACCAGGGGGCCATGCGCAATGATGGAAATGCGATCGGCGATTTGCGCATCCTTGATCCTCTGGATATATGCCTTCATCAATGTGCTGCCAACTTGCTTGCCCTGATGCTCTGGCAGCACGGCGAGAGAGTGGATGGCAATCGTGCTGCCGTACTCGTCATGACCAACAGTCTCTCCATCCTCCACAGTCATGCGCTCTTCCTGCCACTTCGGCGGGAGCTCCATAGACTTATCCGTCACCACCGGGTTCGAGGTTCTCGTGGCGATGACATGGCCCACCAGCGTCGGGCGAGGCTTAGGCTCGCCCTCACCGAGGATTGGAAGAGTAAACAAGCCGAGACATAATTCCGGGCATCTGCTCAGGCGATAACGAAACTGTGAACCCAATTAGCCCAAGCTCCAACCAGTTTGCTCGACTGGCGCATAGCATCCAACATGGCACTCATACCTTTTCGCGCGAGCAGCGCTCGTGTTCAGGAAATGCCTCCTCGACCTTGACGCAATCTTCGACGTTCGACTCAGTGAGAACCTGCACGAACGGGTGCAGCTCATCCAACTTGGTGCGTTGGTGGACGGGTGGGCGACGGAACCAGTAAGGATATTCGTTGATATCGTCATGGTCCACAGCGACATATTCTCCTTCAACTTCTTCCTCTTCGTCGTCGTCATCCTCTTCAATCTCAGCCTCTCCTAGAGGCTGGCCATCGGCGTATGAGAACTCTGCGCGCTCTGCGCGGCGGGACAAGTCGCTTGCGGTAGCAGGCAAGTCGTAGCCTTCCGCATTTGATAACGGCTTAAGCCCGTTAATGGGTTCCTGGTAGTGAGAGTTGGCCTGGTCCGACATGATGTAGGTAGGTGTTCACGCGAGCTGAAGAGTAGTGGGGCAAGAGAAAAAGCGATGGCGCAACACTCGGGCCAGGGAGAAAGGGAAAAAACGAAGGGTGAAAAGACAGGCAACGTGACAACGACAGAATCAAGGCCGAGGGTTGACCGGAAGGTAAAAAGACGGGACGAAAAAGGGAATCGAGGGGTACGAAATGCTCGGAAAAGCCTAGAAAACCGGGTGGGGATCGATTTAGCTTAATGCGGCCGATAAGCCTCGGGGGGGTCAATTCACGCCAAAGCTGGCAATGGTTCACAAAAGTGGTGGAGTTGGGGAGGGAGAGAGAGAGAGAGAGAGTTTCAAGCAGGCAGGAACTGGCGATGACTCGAGCTGGGCAGGCGTCAAGGAGAAACGGGGGCCTTTTCTGGAACGCGCAGACAAGGGAGTCAATCAACCAGTCAGTCGCGCAGGCAGAGTTTGTGTGCGATTGAGATTGCATTGAGCGAGGGGGTGGATTTGGTTTGGTTTGCCACACGCGGAGGGAATGCGACAGATCTCCGGTAGGAGTGATTGGCTGGGGGTGGAGTGTCTGGATGATTGAAGGACTTTCCTCCCCCAGACCTAAAATCTGATGCCAATACCCATCGTCGTTTGGTGTGACTCTGATGGCTGTTTCATCTCTCTCGCCTATCTACTTCCCTTGAACCTTTCAACCTCATCTCCCGTGAGGACCTCCATTGCCAGCACTGACCTTCAGCTGGCAGTGCGATGGGCGGGCAATACCGGACAGGTACTGATAAAGGCTCCTGCAGGTCATGGCGGTACTGTATCATTACACGTCCATGCTCTCGTGCAATGCACTTTGCTGG